ATGTAATCTTATGTTGTGATAGAAATGTAATTCACGAAACGAAGGATGAATGTTTTATCGATGTTCCATGTATAATCTTTTATCGATGTTGAATGTAAATATAGCAAACAAATATAGATAAATTCTTTCTGCGATAAACTTTCTGGTCTTACTTTGACATTCTTTCATCCCTCGGATTAGAGGATATGAATTTAATACTGTGTTTCTAACATTTACGAACTTGGATCAAATATAAGAGGGTATAAAATATTATCGTACTTCATAATATTAAAGATGAAAAGGTGGTAGAAAATTTTATACTCTTTTTTTTATTGGAAAATTGCAATATCCTTTCAATACATCAGGAAAGAAATATCGTAAAAGTAATAAAATAAAGAATATACCCACGTAAAATACTAAGACTGTATCAACCAGATATAAATTTGCTTCACGACGTAACATATAACTGGAATAATTTATTTACACGAAATTTAAACAATATTTTTATTTCATTTCTAATATTCTCGAATTATTACAAACGTACCCAATTCTTCTAATCAATACGATATTATAATTAATATATAGACATTATTGCTAGATAAAATAATAGAATATATAATAAAATAATAAAACTTGAGACTCCCTGTATTTAGACATAAATACTTACTAGATAACGTTGGTTTTCAAAAGATATTTTTTGTCATAATGTAAAAGTAATCAGTTAATCAAATTATTAAGCATTATAGATGTATAATAATTGTTGTAGCTACGTAAAAAAATGAATCATTAGAAATAAAATATCTAATGCTTCATTATTTATTATTTTTCTCAGTTTTTTACAAAATAAATAGGTACTGCTTTTTATAAATAACATAGGGTAAAGTCGATGTCTTTTTGTTTATAACTAAGTGTTTCGTCTACACGTTAGACGTTAGAAACTGTTGTGGAACGTCTCGAGGAATCACATGTTAATAAACATGCAAAAGGCACTGGTTATATGTTGTAAAATAATAAAGAGTTATTGAATAGTTATCATGTTGTTTCTTGATATAAGATCGTTGGAGGTTCCTATGAGACAGATCTTATAGATACCCAATTATGTTCATTTTTTTAGACAGACTTCGCCAAAAGATCGAAAAAATAAGATAAAAATCAGATGGTATTGACAATTAAAACAATTTAAAAGAGTAATATTTTTCAATGTCCCTAAAGAAATTCTAAAACATTATATAAAAACATTATATAAAAAAAAATCGATTTTTCTCCTGAATAATTGCTATCAAAGCCTCTTAGATAGAAAACCTGCGTTAAGCTAAAAGAAATCGAAACCAAACTACCAAAAATTTCCATTAAGAAACATAGGCATTCTGGAAGTGCTGCTATAACTCCGTCATTCTATAAAGACAAACTAAATATTAAAATCAAGGTAATGAAGAACAACAATTAAAAAACCCATTAAAAGGAAACACGAAATAGTGAAAATGATGAAGATACTCGTATTTAAACGATTCTCGTGGACCGTTCTAGTATCTGTTGTAGCATAAATGAATTAATTTAGCAAATTTTTGATTGTAATAACTTCTAAGCTATTAGATTTATGGTATAAATATGTTAATATTTTTTCGTAACGATTTAAAAACTGCATCGATTGGTACAATCAAAACTATAAATTTTTATATAAAAAAAAGAAGGTGCAACTAGATTTCCCAGATGCACCAATGCATTAAAAAAAAAAACGAAATTATTTCCAGATTAGATACCATTTCATTTTTACTTATAATATTTTTTTCTATCTTTAATCGTTTGCTTGTCCTAATTGCAATTCACTTTGCGAAATGTTACCGATGAGTTCACAAAAATTACGGGCTCAACATTTTATGTGCAAAAAAGAAATTAAAAAAATAAGTTTCAGAAAAAAAAAGTGAATTCTTATATACGAAACCCGTTTTTTTTACTTACGAGTTTGCATAATTTTTGTGTTTAATTTAGTATACTGATTTTTTTTTCTACTTTACTTCTAGGTAGATAATAGAAGAAGAGATATAGTTTTGAAATGTCTAGAAAAGTTTAAGAAAAGTGCTTTTAGTCAAGAATTGTTTTTAAAAAATGAGTTCCATGTTAGGCGACTTATGGTACCTCAATATCTAAGTAGATGATTGAAGGACGATGAAAAAATTGTTTAATGAATTAGATATAAGTTATACTTAAGTATAAATCGATCAACAGTATGTAAGTAAATATCTACTTTCTTTTCACATAAATAAATAAAGTGTATAAAAATTATTATAGATATAGTTATTTAGACTTGTCTTTTAAATTTAGTTTTGAAATATAGCGCACTGGGAATTTCCTATTTTTTTTAGATATTTTCATCAAATATTTAAGCATAATATATAAATATTATATCTTAGTTTAATATTTATATCTAAGTTTAATATTTATCTAATATTTATCTTGTTTATTCTCATTCAGAATAACAATATTTAAAAATATAATGCTACTCTTAATATATATTTTGGCATAATAAAAATCAAGTTTCAGGTATATTTACCTACATTTAAAACCTAATTTCTTAGTATAGCTCTTTTGCAAAGCAAATATGTTATCTAAATGCATTGGGAGTAACAAAAACGCTAGTGAAAATATTTCATGATACCCTCAATTAATTCTAAATGCGTTAACACAAATTCCATAATAATAAATATATAATAATGAAATGTATTCATAATTATACATCTTATATACAATGTACTTTCAAAACCTATCTACCTACATTATATATCTAATCTAAGTACCTTCATATACTTATCTCTTTTTTTCATAACATTTTACCGTTTCCTCTTGCAACATCCTTTTCTCTTTCCAAGAATGAATCCGCAAATACAACAAAGATCAATCGTTACAATTGCTACAACCGTACCTTATACTTCTTTATTACTAATTCAAACGAAGTAACCAAATGCGTGACGATTCCTAAATAGTCCCACCAACACTTGATGCCTAAAAATTCATGCTGACGCCTAGAAAATGGAAAAAAGTTAGGAACGATGAAAAATTCTGCAGAAAAGATTGAACTTGAGGTGAATTAGTCAGTTAAGGAAATAAAATGATACAGAAGAATGGTCATCCGATTACCTGGAAGTGCGTGCGCGTCATCGTCAGTATGGCGCTTCCCAACGCGTCCCCGTGGCGCCACGACTGCCTTGAACTTCCGTCCTGCCCCACGAGCAACCCGAACCCCTCCTGCATCAGTACACCAGAGAAGCGAATGGTGCCGTTTTGTGTGGTTTTTGCTGACAGTGATGCGGTACCACCCGGTACAAGTTAGTTCTGGATGCCGCTCCGCCTACCGACACCATCGCAGTTACACGTACCTAGGTTGCGCATGCGCGGCATATAGAGCTATATGACGCGTGTTCGAATTACCCTCCGCCATCTTTCCACCAGCCGGAATCAGTGATACAACCCAACGTGACTCTCCTTGCGCTATCCTTGTCTCTCCTCCGCTAGCCTGTACACACTGGCTAGTCTGCGCAGCTTTCTAGCTTTCTCTCTCTGTCTCTGCGATATTCTATCTTCATCTCTATCTATCCATCGCTCCTTGATTTCGACTTTCTCTCTCTCTCTCTCTCGCTCGCTCGCTCTCTACTTCTCTATCTCGTTCTTTCTCACTCTCATTTGATTCTCCTGGAGCAGTTATTGCCGCGTTTACTGCTGTCGCAGTGCACCGTGGGAAATACGCTATCGAAAGTGCTACCAAAATGGCGACCCGCTAACTATGCTACGCTTATCCAGATTTACAATGAACTTTAATTTTAAAATGACGCTCGCTACTTTAGTCAGATCGTAACTTATTGTTAGCTATGCTCGACTTGACGATGCTTTACATATCTAGATAATTTTATTTGACCAATGAAGGCGCATGTTGACCAAACTAACCAAAAGAATAATGCTATCTTTGTATACGTTCGAAAATTGTTTATTTGCAATATATTAGTTGTTAACGTGTCTTTTATGTCGTAAAATAATTTACAATGAACCTGTACCCAAAGTTTTGTAAATATTGATATTAGCATACAATAAATAGATATATATTGATGAAGAAAGCTCAAGAAAAAAAATGTATATGTAATTCGTAATTTGGAAATGTGTAAAGATATATTTTATTACATATATTTAGATATCTCTATAGATAAAAGTAAATACCTAAATATATACATATTATAGACAATATTTCTTACGACATAACCTTACGATCAAAGTATTTATTAATTTATAATTTTTCTTTGTTCTTAATTCATGTGCATTGATAATTATGGAAATGAAATAAACAATTAAATAGCTTTTATGAATGTATTTTACAATTTGAATTTCCTACAAGAGCAATTTTGGATTCGATTCAGTTTTCCCGTAAAGATATTCATTTAATCAATACATATTAGTTTTCATTATATTTTGTTCTATTTGATTCTGTTATTAATTATTATTACTTGTCCAACTTTTTATGTAATTATGTAAATATCTACGTATATTTTTCTTATCTATCTTATTCGAGATATTACATAAAAATATAATTATTGCAAAAATGTAAAAAAAAAACATTAACATATTTAGATATATAAGAATTAGAAAATTTTATAAAACTATATATAGAGATATAAAAATATTTTTTATGCTGTGTGTGTGTACAACCTGGAATCGAACTAGAGGACTTCCCGCTTTCTATATTTGCCCAGCTAAGCTTGTCCAAACTGTTTTCTTAGTATATGAATATTTATTATATAATATATATTGCAATATAAGTTTTTATGTACTAATAATAAAAAATATTTATATTAATAATGAAAAATATTAACAATAATAAAATATTAATAATAAAAAATATCTTTTTAAAATATTAATGATAAAAAATATATCTTCTTAAAATTGTAATTTATTTATACTTTATTTATAGATGTAATTTATTCGAGAACTTCATAATTACATCATTCAATCAGTGCCTGATTAAATGAACTGTTACTAGTTCAATCCATTTATTTGAACTTGGATTCTTATTACACGAACAAAAAATCACTAGCAGAAGGAAGAATTAGTAACTTATTATGTGAACTCCATACGTATGCATGAGATATTTGACCATAACAAGTTCATATAAACAGAGTTCTACTGTAATCTGTTATAAAAAAGCGATTAATTGATTGTAACAGGTGCAAACGCCTGTATAATATATCCATATTCTTAAAATAAAAATAGCTTAAATAATTACATATATAAACCGTTATCACAGGTACGTTAACCCAAAATTTTTGTCTAATTTTTATCCAAAAATGGTAATACAAATACATAGTAAAAAAAGCGATGAATTTGATACATAAGTAAGAGTTATTAGTAAAGCTATTGAATAAATAATTTTATAAATTACAAATTATTTTATTCTAACCATAACTTATCTCTAATATTATTGTCTATGTATGTGTCTAATGCCTTATATGTAATATTGTAATATATAGTCTATATGTAATATAATATTACATAATAATATATTAAAAATCTAATTACAGCAAAAAAAACAATATGCAACGTGCAATGCTACAATTGAATGATGTACCTACTCAAATAATTACAGAAGGTCGTTGGGTAGAAGAAGGCCTTGCAGAATATGGTAAAAAGGATGTAGTGGTTGTTATTACAGGTAACCCTGGTATACCAGAATTTTACGAAGGATTTATAAAAACTGTAAAATCAAGAGTTCCTACAGAAGTGCCTGTTTGGGTGATTGGAAATGCAGGCCATGTACAACCACCAAGCAATTTGTCAGTTACCATGCCAGATGATTCAACTTGGAATGAACATTATAGTTTAATGGCACAATTACAGCACAAAGTTTGTTTTATTTATTAAATTTTAGTGCTATAAGAAGAAAATTTTAAATAATCATCATACTATAATTGCAGAAAGATTTCATTAAAAAATATGTACCAGAAAATGCAAAGCTGCATCTTGTTGGACATTCAATTGGAAGTTGGATGATATTAAATATGCTAAAAGATGATGACATTGCTAAAAAAATAACCAAATGTTACCTGATATTTCCAACTATAGAACATATGGCCAGAACTACTAATGGATGGTGGTTCAATAAAGTAAGTTCTTTTATTTCAGAAGTTATTTTAGATGAAAACATAGGATGTCAATTGAACAAAAATAATTTCTTTCAGATATCAAAAATTGCATTTTTTCTAACTTTTATGTGTTCGCTCTTTTTTATTCTTCCACATTCCTGTCAAATTTTTTGTTTAAATATAATTTTACCACTAATACCAATTCCTTTAAAATACAATAATGCAATGTTACAATTGTTAAATCCTGGTACTGTAAGAAGAGTAATTAAAATGGCAGAAGAAGAAATGGAAATAGTAAAAGAAAGAGATGATGATATAATTTCAAAATATGCAGATAAATTATGGTTTTATTATGGCAATTGTGATGATTGGGTACCAATTACATATTACAAAAATTTGATGTTTAAGCACCCTGAACTCGATACAGTACTCTGTAACCATGGCTATCGTCATAGTTTTGTTTTACAATATGATAATCAAATGGGAAAACTTGTTGGGGACAAAATTAATGACAACATAGTATGATCTCAAATAAGAAAAATAATAATTAAGCTTTTTATACTTTTTTAAAAAATATTTACTTGGTAATTAGTAACTTATTTTAAAATTTTTATTAATATCTTAACATTTTAATAATTAACACTAACACTTAAAACTTATATATATATTTATATATAAAAATACAAATAAGGATACGTATTTACTATATTATGTAGACAATTAAATTTATTTTTATCATTTTATTATGCAATTTATTATATTTTAAACAATTTAGACAGAGATTATTTTTAATACTGTATTTATATTTTATATTATGTAACAAGAAGTATTTAATTCATAAATATAGAAAATGCACCAAAATATGTATTTTTTAATTTTTTATTAAATATATATATATATAAATAGAATCCTATAAAAAGATTATTTTTTTTGTAAATAAGATGCCACAAAATTTTATATTTCTGCACAACTTTAAAATTATAAAATTAATATGTTCTATATTACTTTACTACTACAGCTATTACTTTATATATATGTTGAAAAATAAATATATTAGTAGACATATAAAGACTATTATAAATGATTATAATATAATAAATAAAATTAATACAGGTTACAAATTAAATTATAACATTGATTCATACGTAATTTAATATAAATAATGCCAATATAATTTAGTATTCAAACAAAATGCATTATCTTAACAAATTAAAATTAACCACCAAAAGTATGATCAAGCATTCGGCTTTCTTCGGCAATAATCGACTGACGCAAGCGATGATGCTGACATCTTTTGAGTCATACTCACAAACATGTAATACTATATTTAACAGTCTGCAACTTGCAGCTTTCTGTTACTCATCGGGGAGGAGTACTTGAGTCACTGTATTTGTTTATTAATTGCACGATTAATACATATTTCAATTTCAGTGTAATATTTTTGTATCTCATTTTAATAAAACCGTAACTGTGTAATTTGAAAACGAAATTGTTTAAAATGTCGCGGGTTACTACTTTGCTGATGCTTATTTGCATCAACGCGGGATTGTGCTACGGTAAGTATATAATATATATAAGATTTCAATGTGATAAATCTGTTTTATGGTAATAGAATCCGAATATAAAAACGAATAATTGATTCGTTATGATGATTAACGTTATAATAATTAAGAATCAAAAGTGTTGCATTTAAATTCGGTGTTGAATCTATTTGAATAATCTAATCATTTACGTATCTCTCATTCTATTTTATGACCTATATATGTATACAGTAGATAATGAATTAGCAATTAATGCCTTCAGCTTAATATTGATTTCCCAGAAAACATTCAATATTTTATTTCTTAGAAATACTTGATTTCACAGAAAATATTGTTTCTCTAAAGAAAAATTTAGAAGAAATTAATTTTATATTGTATTAACCCTATCTTAGTATTAAATACTATAACAAATAACTACTTTTTTCTGCATTATATGTATAAAAATACAATTACAATTATACATTTTAAGTTTACTGTCCGAATAGTCATTTTTTTCTTTGTATGTTTTGTTAAGTATAAATATATCAGTTCTTTTCTTATAATGTTGAATTTCCTATAATATTGAATAAACAAAAAACATAATTACTTAATTTTTTTATTTTAAACCTTGTAGTTTTATGTAAAATCAACATATAACAAATAGCTAACCTCGTTGATAATTAATAATCATATTTTTCTGTTATTACTTAATGATATTAAAGGAATTAAAGATTTACAAATTTGCAGGTAATTTAACAGATTCATTGCTCATAAGAAAAATTGATTAGTCGGTAATCTATTGTATGTTTTATTATATTCTTATTTTTATTCTTACTATTTACGAATAGTAAGTTATTAACTAATCTACGTTTTACATTTTAATTAATATTACGTGCATGTATTTTTATATTACACTTTCAAAGCATAATATATAATTTGAAAATCAATTTGTAATTTTGTAACACATACACATTTGTAACATCGATCGCAGATTTCTATAATAGCAGATTTTTTACTTACAATTATTTCTTATTAATGCCTTTCTTTTTTTTGTTATTACGATTTGAAACTTTGGCTTATCTGAATTGACCGTTGAAATATAAGACCGGAAGCTGATGCTATCAACAACGTCTACTTTATCTACTTATATAATGAAGTCACTAAATTGGACTATATTCGTTGAAATGAATATTATGACGCCAGATTTCACATGAATCCAATTTTATCGTACAATAAGATTAACTCGATCTTTTATCATGTAACAAATTATAATTGATAAATTAATTAATAATATTTACGATAACCTTTCATCTCTATCGAAATTTATTCATTACTTATAATTTCTGCGATCGTGGCGAAGAAATACACAAAGTATACAAATATATGCTGAACACTTGTTGATGTAAATAATATCCATCTGTGTTAAATATGTAAATATGTAATTCGTGAATAAAACTAAATAGAACGTATATTGCAGCATAAGAGACATAATATCATAGAATAAGGAAATTCTTCTATTTTCTTTTCTTGATACAATCGACAATATTTTAATTGTTTATTTGTTCATTAATATTTTTAAATGGACTAAATTGTTTTAGGTATGAAATGCTCGTGGGGACATGAAAACTTCATATCTAATGTAATAAATTCATGCCCAGGATTACTTGATTCTGAAGACAGATCTTACTGTTGCTATGATATTTCTAATGAAAAAATGTATTGCTGCGATGCCATGGAATTTGCATTGAAATCATCATGGTAAAAAAAATTAACATCCCGTGTGACTTGTAAATTAATTCATAATACTTGTATGGTAATATTTATATTGGAAAAATATGCACATGCTTGCTGATAAAATGAGACTCTTATAACACATTTATTGGTGTATAATTTTTTAAATTATACATAACATTACTTAATTGAAACTACCTTATTAGACTTCAACAGCAAAATTCCTCAAATGTATATAGTTCTTTTTAAGACATTCAATAACTATACAAATTAAAATTTCATGATTGTATAATTTTTTCTTGAACAATACGAGTTATTTTAAAATATTATGTTTTTCTATGACAGATTTTAATTAATTTTAAATTTGAAGAATCTTGACAGTAAAATTATATTTATAACACATATTTATAATATACAAATTCTTCTTCGCAGGATCGTGCTGATAGTGATTATCACATTTACCATTGTACTCTCACTGATAGTATTCTGCGTATCGTGCTTATGCTGTAGCTGCTGTCCATGGTACCGTAGACGACATCGAGGAACAGTTTATGGAAGTAAGAATCTCTTTTTGTATGATATTTATTAATTTTATTTTTTTATATTTTGCTCCACAAACGCGTATGTAAATAATATATTTTTTTATCTTAGTCGTATATTATATATTTTTATACTTTTCTAATATTTTAATTCGAATTAAATACATATTTGTAGAGACAGTCAAAACGAATATTGTTCAAAACAAAATAATTTATTTATCTATATAAGTATGTACGAAAAATAATAGCTAATTTCGCCCTGTAATTATTTTTAGAACCCATGATCTGAATCCATTTCATCACATCTTCCAGCCTCCTGATACTACACACAATATTTCCCATAAGTGTATATCAAACACATATTTTTTAAATGTTTTTACCTTGCTTTCAATTTGTATATTCTTAACGCATGAGACTTTGTGTTTGTAAGCTTGATTACAAACTTCTTGAAGTATATGTATGTAGGCGCGCGATGAAGATGATCTGTAACTCATTTCAAGAATGCAACAATTACAATACGATATATGATATGATACGATTGTTAAAGAAACAGTTTTTAAAATATTTTAATGAAAAATTACAATTTTCAATCTCTATCAAAATATTATCGACAATTTTAATCAAATTAGAAAATTATTTACTACTTAAAAATGTAACACGCTAAGTATTATTATGTTGTTAAGTACAACAACTATATATAAATATTGAATGACAATTATATTACTAACAAGCTTTCACGCGTTTGCCTTGAAACTGCGTACCAAAAAAAAAAAAAAAATCGCACCTTGAATGCTTGGAGGAAAAAAAAATATTTCTAAGCAAGCAAAGGTTGATTAAACATTCCATGACTTTTTTTTTTTTTTATCTAAAAACTGTGATTTTTTTTGCTTTTTTAAATAACTATGTTATATGATAATATAAAGCGATTATAAAACTATATAAATAAATGATGTTCGTATACTGAAAACACATAATGACGTTTATGTGTATTGAAATATATATAAACATCATTTTGTGTTTTCATTACATGAACACAATTTACTTACGTATACACATATTTTTTGTATGTGTATTGAAGTACATGACACACTTGTTAAATGCCGCATTAAAATCGTTATTCGAGTATAAAGTTTATCCATATTTGTGAAAATAGCAGGATACTATTTTTGTCAAGTTGCACAGCGAAACAGAACAGTTGACTTCCATCTTCGGTATACATATATTTTTATACATGTTTTTATACCGACATATGCAAAGTACCGTAATAATACTTGTGATCAACTTTTTTTTTTATTTATGTACACCTCATTGACTAATGACATAATATAAAAAGCTATTGAACTTGCAGAAAAATGTAAATTTAAGATATAGATAAGTGCTTTTTATTGTAACATTATATAATAAATGTCTTTGTGATCTTTTGATATGAACGAATATTTTCTTCCCACTATCACATTATGAATCATAAAATACATTTCAAAGCAACGATGTTATTAAGGTATGTATTCTAAAATATAGGTCACGTAACTTATCCAACGATTATCGTTAATATAAAAATAAAACATAAATTTATGCAAGAAAAGAATAGTACTATTAATAGTATCTTTTTTTTTTTGAAGTTTTTCTGAAATCCGATTATTGGTTTGAAATACATTTCTAAAAAATTAAGAAGATAAAGTAACATGTAATTTTACTTTTATGCAATGAATATGATAATCGCAAAATTTCCATTCGTATTAATATATATTGTAAAAAAATGATTTTTTGTTAATCATAAATGTTTTTCTGTTCTAAAAGAAAAATATTATATTAATTAATATATTAATTTAATATAATAAAAATTTCTCAAAATACATTTTTTTAAACAATTTATTCAAACATTTCGTAAATTCATCAAATATACCACATACCATGAAATTCATCAAATACAAATAAAATTCAGGCACACGTAACAGATTTTCAAACAGGAATCTCTTGAAAATTTTACGTGATATACATTCAAGTATTCGTCCACTGTCTCTATAAATAAAGTAATTTCTCGGGTTGAACCCACCTTATGAAAATATTTGTTCTAGAAGTACAGGTACCTAGTGTGGTACATGTAATTCAATCACCCGCGAGTGTTCCGCAACCGACTCCACACTATACAAATCCTACGTATCCTACGAGTTCAGCAGGTGATTATTACGTATATATAAAACATAAGAAATATATATATATGTATATTTTTTGAAGAAAGACTTTAATTTACAATTTACAAAGATTAAAGATAATTTTTAATGAACATTGTATTTTTACATATTTATGAACACAAATATATAAGTTTAGCTATATATTTATTAAGACTCAAATAATCAAAATGTCAATTTCAATTTTTTCAGGAATATCACAACCGCCATCATATTCTGAAGTTGTTTACGAAAAACAAGCACCCTATAATCCAAATTATACATCTTCAACTCAACAGTAACGTTGAATAATGTTATTGTTTAAAGAAATTACGTTACAAATCATATATGTATGTATATATAGTCTCGAAACGGTGCCTGTATTGTGATCTTTCGTTTACTAGAAATATGAATACTCGTCTTCCCTCGGAAAAACGCTAAAGTCGCGACGAAGTAATCTTTTTCAATGATAAGGAGCTATGTATTTAAATTCCTAAGACATTTTAGTCAAATGCAGAAAATATTAACATAAATATCTGCTTAAGATATACATTATTTTAGACGATTTTACAAGAATGTGTTCAAATAAGGAATTTTATAAGTTATGAACATTTCATTTATATTTACATATTCATTACTGAAATGAAATTGTTGCCATATCAATTCTACAAAGTTAATATCTTTTTTATAATATTTGAAACACTACTGATAGACATTAAATATACTTAAAATAGTCAATTTATAAAGAAATTAATATACTGAATTAATATGAACAATGTATTAAAGCTCAAATGAATTTAAAATATTATAGATATACGATCTTTAAACGAATATAAAACACAAAATGCATTTGGATTCACATTTTTATAAAAGTTCCTGATATCTTTTTACATGTTATTTATAGATAAATTATATTGTTTATCTTTATATATTGCCATTGAAGCACAATTGAGATTTTCTTTTTAATATTACTTACCATATTATTATAAATGTCTGAGTATTAAAAGATATACGTTGAAGTGTATTATTATATTTAATTAATGATAGATATTATGTATAATAAATATTACAAGAATAAAACTTTTAATTACGTATTTTAAGTCTGAAATCACTTTTTTTATTTGTGAACTTTAAATAACGTAACATTTTCATATAATACGAGTATATTCACTCCATATATTTTTAAAAATTATATATTATATAATTGTGGTGTAGTATATATTATGTTGCTGATATTTTACATTAATTGTTTATCATTTTTTAGTAAACAATGATTAATTATTATATTGGTAAATTAAAAGAAGACATGACTTATGGGAAAATATATATTTCTGAATATCTATGTTACAATATGTATATGCATATAAATAACTTACTTTTAATGTTTCACAGTTTTTCTTTCTACAAATGATTAAAGATAATTCTTTAATACAAGATAAAAGCGAATGTTCATTGCTAAATTCATAGAAATTGTTTTATGATTAAGTAGCATCTAATTGAAGAAGAGTTATATATTTTACTTAATATTGACTAAATACATTTGATTCTATATACAGAAAGAACAATACTTCTACTATATGTAGAAACTGTGAAACAACGAATTATTCAAATTTAGATGTATACCTTTTTTATTAGTTGACCATGTTTAGTAAACTTATATTTTGTTATAAATACTTATAAATAATTTTGATTATTGTTTTTGACTATGATGAATTACTCATTTCAATATTGAAAGCTAGAAATACGTAGAATTAATTATTTTCCAGAGTCATAAAAATTACATATTCCTATTTTGTTAATTTATACTTTTAATTAATTCCAAATAAAATATTACAAACTATAATTTCAAAAATTTTTTACAACATAGATGCATTTATTTCTTTCTTTTAAAATCCATGTTATGAGTATTAGTGTTCCCTTTAAGCACATTAGTAATTTTTACATATTACAACAAAATCGTACTTAAAACTTATAACTTTTTTTAATAAAAATATCGATTGTTAATTATATTATAAGTTAAAAAATTTGTATTATATGATTTTAACTCTAAATAATGACCATTTTATTTTCTACTATTTAGCATATTGCCTAATAGGAAATCAATATCTATAATAATATCAATCATGCAGTTATTGACATCAGATTCATATAGTTATTGTTAATTTCATTATGCAAAATTCAATTTTTTTAGTTATATGAAAGAAATTTGGATCATAGGACGGTTATATCGTTTCATCAGCTATCACTCAAACAGAATTATATTATTTCAGATTTTATAACTCGGGATAGATGGAAATTGTTTTTTCACAATACAGTCACAATTCAGTCAGTGTTATGTTGCAATATATAAAATATTAGTCCACTATTTTCATTTCTCTCATCTAAATCTACAATCTACTAACATCAATTACACTCATATAAATATTTATTATTTCTGTATACTGTCTACGAAGAAAGGAAGAAATAGTATCAGTCGTATTTTGCAATATCTCTGAATTCTATTGTTTCTTATTAAATGTTATTAGAATGATCCTAAAAATATTTCAACAGTACTTTTTTCTATATGTTAGTAACATATTTACAGACATAGAAATGCTTACAAAATGAGAAATATTAATTCTGTAACATCTTCTCTTACGTATTAAAATTTTTAAAGATATTGTATACATAATTATCGTACAATAATCAATCAATTACGACCAAAAGTTGTTAGAATCTTTTTCTTTATATAATGCCTGTATAATTTACTTACTTAAATTTTGGGGTTTAATGCCGTTATATTTACTTTACATTATTTTAGGAAAAATCTTTTAGTACCAAAAAATGACTTAACAAATTCTTACTTCAGATTATCATCTTTAACCACATTCCATAGAAAGCTGAAAAGTGTTGACGAAACTTTGTATCTACTTACCAATATACATAGAATATATAACACAGTACATCTGAGTCTTAAGTAGACACCATTGCTTTAGGAAACTACACATGTAGATTGCGAATTAGTATTTTCCATGTTATTAAGATTACTGTAACTACCTCGGAAATTTACATCTTCAACTTTTAACGATAATTCATGTGATCGTTCTTCATCTAACGGAGCAGTTGTTGAAGTATGACTTATGGAGGAATGGCGAGATCGTGACAAAGTTCCTCGTTGATTACTACTTGCAGATGGAGCAGGACTGGGAGAAGGACTCTCCGGTATCTGCTCTTGTTCTTGTTGCTGTTTTGTTACAATTAGTCTGTTTAGCAAAGAAATTTGGCCTTGAATACCTGACACGAAAGGTCTATATCCTAAACTGAAATGTAAATTTATTTTTTATTTATAATTACTAAATTATTCTTATTTCAAGCACGTAGTTTTTATGTAATACATACCATTCTGAATGAGACCATTTAGTTAACGTAAGAAGACCGTCTCTCAAATTAATTACAGACTCAAAAGTTTGCATAGGAGCATGTGCTGCTCTGATAGTTCTAGCCATAGCAGGTGCGTCGCGTAAAACAGTTGCTAATACTGCAGCCCAGCCTAAGCAACCACCTTCCAAAAATAATTGTAGGAGATATCTAAGCTGCACTTCTGCACGACTTATCGGCGCACAAAGTGACGCGTTATGAATTTCTGTCTGTTCTACAGGATCTGAGGAAACCCAACACACTGTTCCAACTCCAGTTCCAACGATTGATTCGGTATCATCTCTCCAAATAGTACTACTATCACTAAGAACGCTGTTAGCATCTGTCAAATGGAAAATTTCTTAATTTAAAACTACATAGTGATTAAAATTTATATATGTAATAAGATGATGCAAATACCATGTAACATGTTTGCTGTTAATTTTGTTTCAGCAGCAGGAAATTGTGTTTCTAAACTTGCAACGGGTGATATTAATGTAGTATAAGGTGGTCTTCCACTTGGTAAACTAGTATAACCACTATCAGGCAAATCAACAATAAAACTGGAATTCAACGGTTCATCCTCTGGACTTTCTAGACTGACTGATCTTATAGAACGTAGAGACGTAAGGCTAGATCTTCGAAATTTTTGTAAAGTTGGAAGAGACAGCACGGGATAAGCGAACGAAAAATCTTCGTGCACTGCTTTTAACGTTGCAACATAATCGTCTATTTTTGCTGCTCTATCACGCTCTCTAGCAAACCATGTAACTAAATGGAAATCTAATCGTGCAGCAAATCTGCCTAAATCTGCAAGCCGCTTTGCTGAAAGTAATCGACGAGCATGACGTTGTAATATCACGTCAATAAAAAATTCCTCGGCTGAACCTTCTCTAAAAAAAAAAAAAAAAAAAAAATAAATGAACATTTTGTTTTAGCATCAATGATATATTTTAAGTTTTTATCGATATTTATTGGTGAATATTTAGAGAAAACATACTTGCTATCAACTTTTTCAGTTTTAGAAACGCTTGTAGGTACAGACTTTTTTCGTCTCATAACGACGTTTCTAGTTTTCTCAAGCATTGAAGAAGGTGCTATATCTTTGGCTACTGAATCAGATTGTACTTTAGGCGTTACTGTAGTACTATAACTTCGACTTCGTGAAACTTGCATGGTTCCTAACACTAAAGATAAGTCATCTTCATGAGGTGAAAGCGGTGGAGTTTGAGGAGGTCCGCCTAATTTTGATGTTCCGCCCCAAGATGTTCTTGGTGATTCCACATCATTTGGATCTTATGGAAAAGAAAAAACATTATATAAAAATAATGAAAGCGGTATATACGTATAATAAATTTGTTACGTTACCAATCGCCCTAAGGAAGCGAACAAGATCTTTTGAAAGTTCCCATCTTCCTTGTTCCAAAGCAGCATCCAATAATAAAGTAGCATGTTGTCGGCTAACGGTTGAAGGTTCTAGGTTTTGTAAAATTATTAGATAACTAGCAGCGGTATCAAGTTGTTGACGTTGTAAACAATCTTGTAACAGCTTCTTAGGTGGCCCAGCAACAGAGAATAAATAAGGCCATAGTGCTATTTCAGTCTTTCTAGCGCATTGTACAACTGCTCTAGCCCATACTCCTGGAAATTCACGGATGAATTCCACCACAGAAGGCAGCTGAGCATCTGGGATTGGTTCTTTACTAGTTGCTTCTTCTTCTAGTACCTCGTGAAGTAAAAGCTCTAATGAATGTGGAAAGTATGGCAGTGCAGAGCACGAACGAGCAATTTCCCAAGCATGATATCCTAAATTGCGGTGAATAAGTTGTCGTAATATTTGATGAAGATAAACTTGACTCTACAATTAAAATGATAACAATAAAAATTTTTAACTGACTTCCTGAGTAAGTTGTGTAGTAAGAATGATATTGCACTTACTGTAAGTTCTAATAAACTGAATGGTAACGAAAATGGAGAATTGGTATCCGAAGTAAAGAGTACTGTATCGTTTTCTGCTCCCAATAAAATAGCATCCTCGAATAATATAGCCAAAGGATAAATACGTAAATGGAAAGGTAACATTATTCTCTTGCTCATGAAAGTATGCGTTTTTTCTTGATGATTTCTTGGGAATAATGGAAGCCAAACACGCATGCCATGAGCACCGCAAAATAACCACAGAGCTTCTGTTAAGTGAGGTTTATCTCTTCTTGATCTCCCCGGTACCCATACATTTTCTACATATGAAGCTAATACTGTTGGAGCACTACACGTAAACAGCTGTAGAGTGCAAATAAAAATTAGAAAAAAATTACTTATAATTAAATACAAAAATATAATTTACGTACAACATCTGGAGTATCAGTACAATGTTCTCGTTGAACCATAAGAAGACGCCCAGATACGTTCAACAGAAGACTTTCAGGATGTGGGTGACTTCCAGCAGTTTCTGCACGTATAGTGGTTAAAGTGGCACTTACAACACAAGCAGGATGAACACAAAGTCCACTGATATCTACAGTTTGCAATCTAGTTAATTCTATACTTCCTGCATCTAAAACAATAACGCTAACGTTTAATCTTTTAATGTTTTTAATGTTTTAGTGATCTATAAAATTATTTTTCTTGCTTACCATTATTGCTTTCTATTACCATATCATAAATGCTAATTTGTGCATTGGCACAAAATGTTAAGAGCCTGTCTTTTAATGTATTGAGCAGTAATACCTGTGACGGCATTCTAACAGTTCTAACATAATTATTATCCAAACGTGTATCACGTGGATATATTCTAACTTCGTCTTTATCATCTAATAGTGAATAACTACTGGCTATCAAAAAACCTCGATGCCATAATAGTCCTCCAGTTACAATAAAGTCCCTCTCTTGAGTTTCATTACCGAAAAGTTTCCATTTGCGTGAAGGTAAAGAATAATGTGCTAACCCTGTGCGTCCAGCTACAGCTATACTCATACCTTCGTTATCAATAGCAGTATACTACAAAATAATAATATACATATAGCATAAAATCATAGTATACAAATTTTGGTAAACTATATATGTATAAAGTATAAAATATATACTCTTATCGGCCAATTGGCACCACTGTATGCGGTAGGAATAGGAACAACTAGCCATTGCTTACAACCCGCAAGTGTCTGTGTTATGGAATCATTAGGAATTTCACTACCAATGTGAAAAGTTGAAGCACTTGTAGAAACTCCACCACCCAAATTTAAATACAATCTATCTTCACCTTGTAAATATAAATGTCCATGATGACCCTGTATAAAAAGTTATCATTATTATAATAAATGTTCTCAGTATAAGATAATAATTATAAAAATATTTGTTTTAAATATATACCATACAAGGATTAATAGTTAGAGGACTTTTTACAAAATCTAATTGTATCAAAGATTTTAAATTAGTTTCTTCATTTCCATTTTCTTCAATCAAAGAAGGAGTTGGAGATTCTCTTAACATCCAAAGCTGATAACCTTCCGCGGACCATTCCTATTGTATATATAAAAAAAATCGAATTAAATAAAAAATTTAAATATCAATAATTAATATTAATAATTAATTCACTGACCATTGTGTGGATATGTAAAGGATTATCGTGCGTCAAATCTACTCTCAAACCATAATCCCACTTTAAACTACAAAGTAAAAGAGCTCCAAATGTACTCCATATTGCTATGCCACCACCTTCCCATGCTAGTGCGATAGCACAACTATCAGGAGTCCACCTTAAACATCTCACACGACCTGGTCTTCCTGGATAATCTTTCGAGGATAAACTTAATGTATGCGACATTTCTAAACTTCCTGTGGTTTCATCAACATAGTACACTACACCTTCGGAACTAATAACAAAATATACATTTATAAATCATATAAATTCATGTTTTAATATAGATTTTAAAAAACATACTTTTGTCTTCCAATTGCAATAAGACGATATTTATGATTTACAGCTGCGCAAGTAGCATCATCAACATCCCTAGCCCAAATTCCTTGTACTTGCTAAAAAGTAATACTATTGTAAATTATTTGTTTACATATTTTGACAATAATTGACATACATTAGGATCAAATTTTAAAGATTGTGCTGTGAGAAATGCTGCTTTGCCAGTGTTGAGTACAATTGCAAATCCACCAACTAAAGGAGAATATTCAATATCGGTAACAAACACATTGTTCTCAGTAAGTGGTATAGCTACAGTAGATATCTGTTGATCTACGCTAAATGGTATTCTTCTTAGATCAAGAGAATAATCTCTATTTACTGTACCATCCCACTTATGACGTATTACATGACTGGTTTTTGTAGCTACCATAAGCTCATCACGTATACAAACTAAAGAACTAATTCCACCATCTATCCAAGCTGATTTTTCCTAAGTGAAAAAAGTTTTAATCGTAAATTATACAATCTATAAATGAAAAATATATTTATTTATTTACGTACAAATGTTAAAACTAAGGAAGGGATAATTTCTTTGATAAAAAGTTCAGCGCTATCCCTTTTCAAGCTGGAAACTGGAGAATCTCTCTGTTCATAGAGACTTCTACCTTCCGGGCTGGTATCTTGTAAGCGATAAAATAAAAGATAACTGTCCGATGTCTAAAAACAAATTGACAACATAAGACATATTCTATATATGTATTATAATATTTAACTTTTAAAACATTTTTCATACCGCAATAACTATCATACTGGAGTCTGGCCTCCATTGTATCAAAATATTATCACCGTGTTTTTTTAAAGAATCTGTAGTTCGTCTGATAAATACAATGGGCACGCATGGCTACAAAGAAAATTAATATTTTACAATAAATTGTACAGATACATACTACTTGGCAAGAAAGTACAAACATAATAAACATATATAGTAAATGACAAATGACAAATAGCAAGTGTAAACGTTTATACAATAATTATATTCAATTATATTTAAATTATATTTAAATATCACAATATAAATAAAATAAAACTGCCAAGTAGAAATATTCATTTACTATAGATACAATTCGTAATGAAATTTATTACAACATAATTACAAATGGAATTCATAGAGAGTTTTTTAGAATGTTTGTAGTAAAATTATAATACTAAATTTACAATACATGCCTTGCAATACCAGATGGTAAGAGTATCCGTCGTTAAGACAGCAAAAAGTATCTTATCCCTGTTGCAAACAACCGCGGTTATCTTTTCTGGTTCTGTCGTGTTCAGAACCCGCGGCCATCCGATAGGGAAAAACATGATTCCACCTTAGGATTGTTCACTTTTTACGTTCACATTCCTGTTATGTTTAAGCTGTCCTTTGGCTTCATTCTTTGCCTCAAGGAATTTGACAAGTAAACACGTCCTAACCTCACCATCTTACACGAAGGATAAATATGTACTAGGTTCCTCATACAACGAAACGGAGTGAAGTTTTTCGATATCCACGTAGCCTAAAGTCTGGCTTAAACTATGGAAACTCGTATAATGTTCATATTATGTATTTAACTCACGATCATTTACATTGTTATGTGCAATCTTTATTTTAGGTATAGACGTTAGAACGCACAACTGTTTCTCGAGTGATTTGTATACAAATATTAACGTAAATACATACAAGCGAAAAAATGCATAACGCAACTTTTGAATATACATACATATGTAATTTTATCGTATATGTTTGATAGTAAGTAGTTAATTAAATTAATCTCTTATATGTGAATATAAATATATATTTGAAAGAAATAAAAGTATTAATTATTTCGTTATTGAGTTATATTTATAAACGTATGTATATATAATATATATGTATATGTATGATACCAAGAATTTAATTTTATATTAATATTTAAAAAAATAATATTTTCCAATCTTTTTCTAATATATAAAAAATTAATTTTACAATTAAGAACAGGTAAAATAATTATAAATTTATTTATAGATTCAATTTGAATACGACATAGAATGATCAAAATCTGATACAAAATTGGCACAATTAGAAAATTACCGTACCAATATATTTTCACATATTTTTAAAATGTTTATACAATTAACATTTATCATGAATATTCTTATAGTATCTTTAAATGTCCAACTACATTGCTGATTGAGTATCATTAACAGTATACAAATGCATGTCTGCCTACAGAGGTATAATCTATATACACACGATTTCGAAGTCTGTACATCATTCGTTAATATCACAAAACTTCATCATCAAACATTTTTATGTAAGGCTTCATACGGCTTTCACGTATACTTATCACAATTACATTACTATTATAACACTATTATTTACATATTTTTTCAGAGGCAAATCTCTTATTGTTAAATAATATGTAATTAATATAGGTAAATTAAGTCATATGAATTTCTTTAAACACACTCATTTTACAGGCGATTACAGGCAGCCTTTATAAGCAATTAAAATCGTCTCATCATATTAAATAGAAACATGAATGAAAGAGGAAATTAAATCTTTCATAGGTGTACAAAATACAGGTCGCTTTAAACTCCGTTACATGAAAAACAATGCACATATGAAAAATGTGTAATTCACCTATAAATTCAAACAACGTCATCCAGTTGTATATGTACAACTAATATACATATATTAAACTATGGTAGATATACTTGTATATCAACTGACGTATTTGTACATCATCATTTACTTTGCTTAACTTTCAGCAAACTTATTAAACTTCAGAGATCTCTTGTATAAAAGTCTTTAAAAATATATATGTGTGTGTGTTATATATATATACATATACATCTTCTCTTTTTTGGAACAACAAAATTGATCAAAATTCGACAAATAGAAGAAGAAACAACGAATCAATGAAACTGATATCTAACAAGTGGGTTCCATAGATGGTGACATGATATTCATTTTGGGTGGTCTACCAAATCCACGCGTTCCATCTGGTCCAGACGGCATTCTCGTCACATTCTCCGGAAGATGGGTCAACGCAATGCCACTGTTGCTTCTGGATCGACAGTAGCTACCCTGCTCAGAACCGGAAGAACACAGGGATATCCTTCTGGAACCTGTGTCGAAGGCAGAGTCTCGACTGCAGGCAGACAGCCTTCTCAAAAACGGCCCGTAATCCGCAGAACCGCGGCGACTAGAATGATAACAAGCACCGTTGCACTCGGAGCCGGAACTCGAACAGCAAGAAAAACGTCGATTCTCTTGATAACAGTAACTCGGCGGGAAAACCGGATGACAGTAACCGGTCTCCGAGCCAGAAGAACAAGCAGAGTAACGTCTGCCGAAGCTTCCAGCATCGGAACTGGAGCCTGAACCGGAACAGGAAGACAAGCGACGCAGAATAAAACCGTTGTCCGAGCCTGAGACAGAACAAGCGGACAACCGACGTGGCAGCCATGCGTCTGGTGACGGGGGTCCTGCAACAATGATGTCACACAGTGAATTTTAAAATATACAAATTACATTTTCTTATCTCTTCTAATTACATCTTCTTTATCGAAGTAGTAGAATTGAGTAGTTAATTTTTTTTATACGGAAGAAGTTTGTGCAACTCAAATCTCAAAAGTTCAAACTGTTCGATATTTTCAAGTATTACAATTACATTGAAATGTTGCAGATAGCTGATACAGGAATTTGATGACACGTTATTCTATGTTTGAAATGCAATAACTCAGAGATCAGAAATTGATGCAACTAGAGTGAAATATATGTATATAGAATAAATAGTATACACTAAAGTAAAAGTAACAAGAAACAATACTACTGACGCTCTATTAACTGGAAGGATTAAAATTATGAAAGCTTCAAAAAATTCAAAAAACTTGTTTCTACCGTAAGAAGAAGCTAGATATAGTTTCTACCATAAGAAGCGTGATAAATGATATAAACAATGTCCAAACCTTGATACGAGTGGCCCGGATAAGGGGCATGGTATATTGGATAAGTATAAATGGGTTTTTTGTGTCTGGCTCTTCCATCTTCTGCCTCGGACCCGCTGGCGCAACTTGAGGAATTGTAAGCTTCCTCTTTGGTCAATCTTGTCAGGGCACTTTTCTTTGCTGGTTGTTGCTTCCTCTTCTTGTCGCTGGATTGTTGCAGCTCAAATACCTTGGCATCGCCCAAGGTCATTTGTAAGGCGGCACGAGCGGACGCTGAATCCGTGAACTCGACCATGGCGCACTCCTCGCTCGATGCCAACTCTGGCCTTTTGGCGATTGCTTGTCGCACCTGATAATAAACAGATTACGCGATTACTCTTTGTTAATTACAACTACCGGAGATTTTCATCCCTTCATAATTTTATAAATGTCTTCGTTTTTTTTTTTTTTTTTTTTTTTACATTTAGAAACGTAAACGACAAAAAAAAAGGGATGTTACCTCAGCTGGTGCTGGATGTCCAGGTCGAAGTATTCTAATGAGAGCGATCTCTCCGCATGGTCTGAAGATCTCAGCCACCAATTCGACCGACAATTTCTCCACCGGAAGTCTCGCGGCTAGTATCGTCCTCGATGGAGTGGTTTGATCGAAAGGCGGTAAAGAATCGACTCTGCGTAACTTGGTACCCTGTGGATTTACTTGGAGTTTCTTCGACTTTGCCAAAGCGGCCCCGACAACCCTCCAGTCTCTGCTCAAGTGTTTCACACGTTTGAAACTCGAGATGAGCTTCAACGACACGTATCCCTCCTTGTTTCTCTTTACGTGTTTCAGCAGGAAAGCATCTTTCACGATGTTTTCGTCGGAGAAGTAAAATTCCACTTGGGCGCATATTTTCTCGGCCAATTCGTCGCTCGGCAGAACGAAATCATCTTGGGTTGCTGTACTTACTTCGATCGACGTTTCCTGCTTCTGAGCCTTCGGATCCCTTACGACGTTCTCTTCCAAGGAATCGGCTCCCGAGTCTGGATCGCAGTTTTTCGCAGATTGCTTCATCGCGTTGTTCGCTTTTCTTTCGTTGTCGGAACTCCCACTGTCCGACAGGTCAGCCTCCTCTCCTTTGGAACCTCTCCGATCGAAAGACAGGCTCACGTCGCTATCTACGGAGGAGATACTCTCCCTCGTGTCGGACTTTTTCATCGGCGGTGGAGAAAAGATCAAGTTGCCCACTTGGTCCCTCGACTCTTGCTGAACATCCGCCTCTTCCATGTTCGCCGTGCTTGCGATCGTTTCAAATTCAATATCTAAGAGTCCAGTTGATTATATGTATACGTATGTTTGTCGAGTTAATCCATCAGAGAAACTGAATTACCACCTGCCTTTCAGGGTGTATCTTGCAGCCTGTATTTCGACAACCAGTCTCCCCAACACTCAAACCAATATCACACGGGCGTGTTTCATGGTAGAGATGAAAATTCAACAAACTGTGAGCAAGTGTATTCTTATACTCGGCGACACTCGATGAACAGTTGAAACAAAATGAAACTCTGAAGAAATCAGATGTATTCACGATCAGTTTGATTTTGAAGAAGGTGTGTTCATGTTCTCGAAACTTGGTTGGTTTGAAGAAAAATTTGTCTGGCCGATGACGGTGATCTCTTCCTTCCTGTCACGTTTGCCGATGCCAAATTAAACCTGCTGAGACAGACCAGCGGGTCTATTAAACGAACCGATGGCACACTGACGATTCTTGGAGAGGGAACGCGTGGAGGACAAACAATTCTAAAGGAGGAGGGGGACCTGTGACGGTGTTAAAGGGACGGCTGCAAAAAAGAAGGAGAGAAACAGACTAAAAGAGCCAATTTTCGCGCTCTCGTTGGGAACGCGTGCTCATTCGCTGGAAGGGAAGGAAAGTGGGGGACTTGCGCGATTCGTGACAGTTCAGGGAAGAGTGGCCTTCCCGAAGGCGCGTCCACCTCTTTAAATACTTTCGCCCGTGGGTCGCGCATGCGTGAATACTTGTATCGCGACAAACCTACCCTGAGGTCGTGACCTTCCTAAATACTGTTCAAGAATAAGGCTCCGGGAAGATAGAAATCATTTGATCGGAACCTTGGAAACGTAACGATATAATAGGACACCTGTGGGGTTGATGAACGAGATTTGGTTTGTTCTCTTATAAAGACGTTCATTTTAATCGTATTAGGCAAATACGAGTATCTTTATCTTATAAATATCGAAGCTATCGAATAGCTTTTCATATAAGATTGCAGTGTCAGCCTGCCAGCCTAACGCATTATACGTAATGCAACGTATGCAGTCTTCTCAAGACCAAATTTTGCTAAGATAAATATAACATTAACATACTATTATAAATTATATTATTATACTGTATATATATTATATATTATACTATTATACTATATATATATTATATTATACTATTATACTATTTATATACTATATATATTATATTATATATATTACTATATATATTATATTGTACTATTATAAATATAACATACTATTATGCTTTATCAACAATTATGCTATATAAACAAATAACAAATTTAAGAAGAAATCAGATGTATTCACGATCAGTTTGATTTGCAAGGATGTCCAACGACCAGACATGTCAGATTAACAATATTAATGTTAATTACTTACCACGAAGAGTACCAAGGTTTGTTCAAACATCTCACACGTAGAAAAGAATACCGAATAAAAAAAGATTATCACTCGAAATTGTGTTGTGTCTAGTCGATTGCATTTGGGGCAAAACCGTAAGATTAGAAGAGCGACGCGAGCTCCTCGACTACGTGGACCTTGTTTGCGTTTGCCGCGGAAGCCAGGATGTCGAGACGACTGCTACAGGAAGGAAGGACTTCTTTATGGTGGTGGTGAACCTCGGTAACCTCGGATAGACCCGGCGGGCTTATTCACAAACGCTACGCATTGCATCCGGACGCTGCCAGCATAATAATATATAGGTCAAGTGCGGCTGGTACCATGTATGGCCATACCTGTGGCGAGGAAGGACAAAGATATACGCAGGTTATCGTTGTCGAATTGAAAGGGTTCATTCTGCATCTTCGTCTTACCACCTCTTCGTCTATTTCGCATAAAACTGAATCTTATCTAAGATTTACATTTTTACAGATATAAAAAGCGAAAATTATCTTTTAAATGTTGCAAAATATATTTCGTTTTTTCGCAATTTACACGTCTTTGCATTTGTATTCATTTATTTATGCTTGTCACAATGATCGAGATCGAAATTCATATATGAATGAAAAAATATTTAAAAATGGTAATTTATGCACCTCTTTAATGATGGCAATGATCAGATTGATATCGGTGAGTCACCAGAATCTAATTAATGGTTCTTCAAAACGGTCATGAATAATCATAGGTATTTTCCTATGTGTTATCGTTCACAGTTATATCATTTGTTTTCATTATAATTTGCATGGAACTATGATAAATTTTCATAGAATTATATGATTGTGATATAATGTAAAATAAGTCATTGAAACAAAGTCTTTGAATTTTTTAAGTTCTAATGTAATGTTTATTTCTTTTTCAAGTGAAGAGAAAGATCAAGGATATCAATACTATCGCAAAAAAAGAAAATTGGATTAAGATTTACGTAAAAGTATTTAGAGCTGCGCTGTATAATCCTCTTAGGTATGGCTTCATATACATATTGCGTAACTTGTCGGTCCAAAACCTTTCAGATTTTTCAAGCAGCGTTCTTTCTTTGGGATCGTTATTGGCCAGCTCATATATGATAATCGTCCGTTATCTTTTGTATAATCCCTGTCATAAGAAAAGCATAATAGTATTATACAACGTGTATCTTTATCTGTTATCGATGATGTATTAGATTCATCTTGTTTGTTAACGCTGTATGAGATTGTTATTACTTTCATGTAACATTTGGTAACTTATTTAAAAGGTTGGTTTCTACAAGTTTTCCATAACTTTCTTCCAAAATTGCATGCAATTTTTCATCATAGTATTAATAAAATTCTGAGACATTTCCAAGATTAACAATTGTATAAAAATTACCAATTGTCCAGTTAGAAAATTTGAAATTCTAAAATCAATCTCATCCAAATTCACGGTATGAACAGTTGTATTTAGTATCCAATACATGTTTCAAGTATTCAACCCTGAGGGGATATTTCAAAAGACAATCTTTTAAAAGACTACATAGTGCCATAAGTAGAATGCCGAGAACAATATTTTTAACGACGATATATGCATATTATACAATGAAAATGTTCTTATTTATCATTGGATCTGAAACAGTTCCTCTTTGTTCTATAGATTCAATTGTCAATTTTGTTGTTAATTTTTTCTTAACATTATTAAAATAAATAAAGTACAAAATACAGTAAGTGTATTTTATGAAACTAAAAGTGATCCGAAACGCTTTTATGAGATGTTGGAAATATAAAGATAATAACAAAACAGATATTGAAATTGATAATTACTTTCAGAAATGTGATCACTGCTGCTGAATGATAGATGAAAGTAAAACGATGTTTCCTTGCTAGTTCGATCAATCATAATTGAAATGGAAACAGTCGCCCAGGAGCATTCGTTGAACGTTCTATCGCCTAAGGGAATGAATGGTATGAATATCGGGAATGAATGGTATGAATAATGATAATAGCCACAAGGTGTTATGGCATATATTTTTGTATGCAATAACTTCACATAACAATATTACTCGTTAGTTAAAAATAAATTATTATCAAGAACGTACAATTGTTACATAAATGTACACTCGCACTCTCCAAAATGTAAATAACAAATGTAAAAGGAAATTGATGAAATGCCTAATAGTTGTTAGCCAATGTAATTGAACGCGATGTGCAAAAGTCTCTGATCAGATAGATAAATTTGTATAATGCATTATTTCAAATTATCATGATAATGTCTATTTTATGACTGTCAACAAATGTTGCAGTGTAGATTAATTATCTGTAATTCAGTTGGTTCGAGAGAAACCAGGACGCGAACATTTGTAATTGCCGACCTACCAAGGTCTTTAGGAAGGATTATAGATACAAACGATCTATTCTTTCTTGTATGTGTCCTTGTTGATGCTTTTGAACAATTCATCCGGTCTTGTTCACAAATTCATTCTTAAAACGAATAGTTTCACACTTGATTGTAATACATCATTCACACTGTTTAAAAATGATAATGTTTACTCAAACGACTTTACCTATGCAATATGTTTTATCATATTATTCGTAAAATACAAAGCATCACAGTACATAAGCAGTATTTATTATAATTAATGTGATGTAATTAATGTAATAGTACGTACACAAGAAATGTGTAAATGTGTTATTGAACGTATCTATGTATTCGCGTACAATGTAATTGAATAAATAAAATCCAATGAAAGACAAAAAGATGGAGGTGGAAGCCAGATAAAAAATTAATCCAAGTTTCTATATGATTTCAGCCTTTTTTTCGAAAATTCAACATTAACTTTAATATAAAATACTTGAACTAAAGTCAATTCGCGGCTAAAATAATAAAATAATCGTATATTTAAGGAAATAAAAAACTCGTAAATATCAAGATAATGTCTAGAATTTGTTTATCTTCTTAGAAAAACACATTTTCATTTTTATCGAGTGATCACTTATTTTTGCATCTCTCTTTTGTCAATTTACGACCCATAAAAGATATATTTTGAAAGTCAAGTTAGGCAAAAATCGTATATCGTTATTCTTAATTTTCAAACTTATTTAACGCAATTTATAAATTTCATATAACTAAACATTATTATAAATCGTTCATTTCGTAACTTGAAATCTAAATTAAGATACAAAGTAAACGAATCTTAATCAATTTGTGTCATTAGTTTATTTTTACACATTCTCAATTGAAAGAACTCAATCACCTGTAAAACCATCGCTTTCTGTTTAGAAAAAAATTGAAGATTAAGTATTTGTTCAAAAAAAGAAAAAAAAGGGGGGGGGGCAGATGATAAAAAATAATTACAGAATCTTAAGAACAATTATTCTTGATTATTCAGATATTCTTTTACGATGCTAATATCTCGAAAAATTTGTCTCAATATCAAATAAAGTACCAAGCAGAAATTAAACAATTTTTAAAAGTACATATTATCATTATACACTTAAGACGATTTATTCCATAAGTTTTGGAACGTTTAATCATTTATCGTCGTTTTTTTCTCAATCGATTACTTAAAATCTGGATCATTTAAAAATCTGGAAAACCGCAGAAGGCGGCACAGCAGGATACCATACAGTTGTCCAATGTTCACGACGATTTCCCGAAGCAGAGGGCGGCGATTCCCTGAGGCGATCCTTGGTTGTTCTTCGTCTTGTTCTGTCCGCACGTCGGAGACGGGAGCAGAACTCAAACTGGGTCAGGGCAGCGCGCCAAATGGTTGGATCAATTTTATTTTAAATTTATCAAGTCCGCTTCGCACTCCATGGACACGCGTGATCAGTCCGGATTTCCAGACTGTGCACGCCGATTAAAAATGTTTTTATTTAATGTGAAAAATAACCAGCTGCCGAATCGTTTGTGAATTGAATCGATTCTCAATTTTTTTTTTTTTTTCCACGAAAATCTCGTCATTTTCTGCTTGTGTTTCTCCATATTTTGCAAAAATACACAATCGTTCAACTTTGAGAGTTCCAACTAATTTTATATTAAAAGTTTGCGTAATTTTTTCTTGTATCTTTTCAATTGTTAGTTTTAATGGCTCATCTTCCGATTCGTTTTTATTAATTTAATAATCGTTTACATCCCTAAAGCTAAAACAGAGGCAAACGGATGAATCTTGATAATAATAATTGCGCAGTAATCGTGCAAATTGAAATTGCGAGCTGAATCAGAGAAATATCAGTTCAATGTTACGTTAAACCGATTTACGAAAGGAAGTCGCGTAATATGTATATCGCACCAGCGACTAGAAACCTTCCGCTGTCCTTCTTCAATCGGAGAAGCATTGAAATTTTCCAGATAAATCTTCCAGTGTGATTGTTCTTCAATACGATGCAATTGAATTGTTTATTTTTCTCTCATTGTTTAACTGTGATTACTCATGAACGATGCAACATCGTGAGCTCATCGTGTGTACGTATATCTTTTATTGTATGTTGACACGTGTATTTCATATTTTGATGTATGAAATTGTCACTTTTTATTACATTGTCATATCAAGAATTTATGCTTACATTCGATTCTAGAAATGATTATTCTTGTGTTTATTATTAAATAGAAAAAATGACATAACTCGCAAATGGAACAGCAAACAGCGGAGAACCACTGGAACTATGTGAGTCAGGCAGAGTAAGGTCCAGTATAAGGCCCTGGGGTGATTCGCCTAGACGGCCATGACCATATTACAGGCCAGAGGCCCCCAATACCATCCAGTAAACTTACTTCCAGTAACAATTGGCGAAATCATTACCGGCAATTCGCTTCTTAGATTTACGGCGATAATACTGTCAGTATTTTGTGAATCGAAGTACGTCGAGGGCTTATTCTTTATTACAAACGGCGAGTTTGTAAAATATAAATATTAATTATTAAAAACATTTGGTATTTTTAATATGTTTGTATTAAGAAAATCTTAATGCAAACTTAAAAGTATCTTAATATACACATTACTGTTTTTTAATACAATAAATTTTATTTTAAAAATTTTCTATCGTTTCTTTATCACATAAACTGTTTCTTATATTTATAAAAATGACTCTAATTAACACTGTACATGTTTACGACGTATTTGGAAAATTTTTGACTTTTTATAAGGTATATGTTTATTTACAGTCATGAAAAGAAAAATTTACATAAATATAAAATTTACCGTCAACGGTACTGCGGGCAATGTTGTTTTATTATTGATCTTGAAATATCTGCATGACCTGTTGCATAAAAATAAAATCGTTAATCATATTTTTCGTAATATTATTCATAATTAAGAATATTGTCATTACCTAATTGCAATTCTATATATAAAGCTAACATTATTACATGTATAGGAACATCACAATCTGGACCCTTTGACATCCAAACCTAAATATTTGTCAAAATCATCCATAATATATTATTAAGATAATTCATAATTCATATACAAAAAATAGAAGAGTTTATTACCTGTTTTAAGGTTTCTCCAGACTTATCAAGTTCACCACGGATTGCATAAGCCACAGCCAAGTTATAACGGAGTACAGCAATACCCGTAGGAACTGTTGTCGGGTACCACACTATAAAATTAATAATAAATTTTATACACCGTTTATAAAATTATAATTAATAATTTCAAATAATTTAAATAAATTCTCACTTTTTATTGGCTTTGAAATAACCTCATCCAATTTTTCTTTATCTTTATCTTGAGTTTCAGGAATAAGTACAGAAGTATTTAAGTCTTGAATGTTTTCTGGTTTAAGATATTCAATAGCTTCGCTAATTTTATCCATAAATATTAAACTTTCTGCTGCGTAAAGATTACCCAACATTCTATATGCTCCAGGTAATTTATTAATATTTAATAGTGATTTAGCATGTTCAAGCGCAATAACATAATCACCAAGGCATAAGCATACGTAAGCACTTGCAGCCAGTACGCTAATTTTTAAATTTAATGCTTCGACAGCAGTAGTTTGAGATATTAAAGTTGAATGTTGAGCACCTAAAATATTTTTGATATAAATATTCAAATAATAAACAAATTTATTTAGAATATTTATATTTTCAAATATTTTATGTACCTAAATTATGACCAGCTGTTAATGATAAAGGTACTGTTTGTGGACCAGCGATCGTTGTAATTGGTATATTAATTTCATTATTATTTGGCAGTAAAAATAATGCATTTTTTAAACATAGAGAGGCAAATTCCAATGTTAATTGTGGTATAGCAAAAGGAAAACCTTCAGAATGATACTTTATATCTTTGGAGAGAGAAGAGGCTAAAATAATTTTCCTATAAATTCCACTACCAACAACTTTTTGCACTAGATCTTTCCTTCGTTTCGGAATATTAAAGTCAACTTCATTTGTCTGAGAAAATAACAAATAAAAGTTAATAGACGATATTTTGCTTCTCGTGAAATATTGTGTTAGAATTTCATTGACACTCTCATATATAATAAATATATTTACTGGTTTATGACAATAAATGCAACATTCAGCAATCCTTAACCACAATTTAGGATTGTTATGAAGTTTTTGTGCAACTTCCATGAAACAATCAAAAGCAACTGATGCTTGTCCTGCATGCAATAGTGATACACCTAAACTATACATTAATTCATAATGTTTATTTCCACCAAGTGTATATAATGGTCGTGATGATAAAGTATCTATATGAAAACATAACTTTTAAAATTATTATTTCCAATATTTCTAAATATAAAAAAAAATTGTTTTAAAAAATGGATAATTACCGTTATCTTTTACTTGTATACTTTCTAGAGCACATTTATTTTCATGTAAAGCTTTTCTTAAATAAAAACATGCTAAATTTGGTTTACCCATAGCAAGATGTAAACATGCCATATTATTATAATATAGTACAGCAGAAGACTCTCCACAAGTCCTAGAATAGAAAAATACAATAGGAAATGTATTGTAACTATAAAATAAAATTTTCTATGATGTAATATAATTATCATACTTAAAATCTAAATTCTCAGATGTTACAGAATTCAGTAATTTAATGGCTTTCTTGTAATTGCCTCTTAAATATTCAAGATTAGCTTTCAAAAATACAGTTGATATATTCTGAAAATAAAAGAGATTAAACATCAAGTATAACACACAATGTAAGAATGTTATCTTTAAAAATATTATATCTTACTACAGGTGTACCCATAGAGACTAATATCTTCCACTCTCTTTTACATAGTTTCAGTTGATGCATCATAAGATATATCCTAGCTTTGCACTTTAATAATTTCAATTTGAATGCATCTGTAACTACATCAACTTCTTTTTTTGGTTCCTTCTGTTCTTTCATGGATTTTATTATACCTTCTTTATCAACAGACGAAATTTTAGAATTATCTGTGGATATAAGTTGACTTTCTATATAATTAATTAAAGATAATGCTGCATCTGGTTGTTCTGTTACTATATGTAGTTCTATCAACAGAAGGCATACTTTATGTGCTAGTGATTCCTCTAGAAAAAAATGTCACACTCATAAGACTTAGCATTGTTAACCTTGAAGGTTTATAGAATTTACCAATGTATTATTTACCCATGGGCTCTATAAAAGCAAATAACCTATTCATAATTTGAAGCGAAGCATTATAATGTTTTGTATGATATAATAAAACTGCTTGATTATATCTCATAACACATTTCTCAATATCATCTATGGTTTCAGTCGAATCTATTGTAGACATTTGTCCGCATATTGCATTCAAGCTTTTCCTTAATAATTCTGTTTTCTTCAAATCATTCTTATAACATTCTACTACAACTTTATTATGCATTACTTTCAAGTCTTTGGGCCTTAAGGTTTCCAGTTTATTTAAATACAACAGACAGTTAATGTATGCTCCCTTTTGAAATTCAGATAACGCATTTTGAGCCAATTCACGTTCTTGCTCAGTTATTACTCCGGGACCAATATCTTTATTTTGTGTTTCAGACGTCTCGCTCATTTTTATTTATAGTACTGTATTATATTAAATGATATTTCACATTTTCACACTTGACATTTATAGAGGTTAAATTTGTGTCAAAAAGCTAGAAAAGATTCTTGTTTCTAAATAAAATTTGATAGTTAAAATTTACTCACATGTAGTATGTGCATAATATTCTAAAACATAATATTAAAACATAACAAAACAGCTTTAATAAAAAAATAATTGCTACTATATTTCAAATAAATTTAAAAGTCTACTAAGTCTCTGTGACGAGAACTTTTCATATTGACATTAGACTTTTGTTGAAAGATGCCGCCACATGTTAAAATCATGTAGCGACCTCTACTTCGAAGAATTTAGATCAACGACATCTATGTTCCGTCGAGATGTGTATTTAATATAAACAATAGAATATTTAAAAATAGCTATTAATTTTATTATCACCATAGAAATGTTTANACACTTATATATATTGTAGCCATAGTAGAAATTCTTCATTCGTTATTTCGTTATTTCGTCATTTAACTTCCATTATGTAATCTTCATTAAATTATTAGTAATTGTATATTTTGTGATATTGTTAATATTTTTATATAAACAACTAAAATTAATTACGTTATTATTTATTTATTTATTTAGAGTTATTATTTATTTATAGTATTGTGATATAAATATAAATTATCATAATCACTATAATCACTTGAAAATAATTGAGTGAAATAAATGTGGCGGGCATTATCATATATATATATATATAAAATGATAAAATGATATATGAATACACTACTTTAGATGAATAAATTCAAATTTAAATTCAGTAATAAGAAGATCTTGACACAATAAAATAATTAAACTAATTTTGCATTAATTAATATATAGTTTCACTAAATTCTTTAACTATAAATATTTTAAATTTAAAACAATAACGAAAAGAATGTTAATAATCTTAATAATTCTTTTCTAAATTTAAAGTGTATTAAATTTTTTAACATATAATTTCAGAAATCTTTAAATTCTAACCATAATAATTAAATAATACATTGAATTAAAAAAAAATAAAACATTGCATCTGGCTATTATAATAATAACAATAAATTTAATATAATTATATTTATGAATTATACATATTCATAAATTATATATATTTATTAAGATTTTGTACTATAAATAATATGTAGAAATTTAATGTTACCAATTGTATTTCAATTTATCTTCAAAATGTTATTTAAATAAAAATGCTCATTGCTTTAAATTAAAATATCGTATACCTATATGAAATATATTAATAATCATACATAAATAAGTATATCATCTTGAATATACATCGCATTTAATCTTAGGTATATTATGATCGTATTATAAAAGATATCTTAGTTAATAGATTTGTATTTAAATATCAATCAGAGTAATAGTACAATAAAATCGTTATGTCCGATATATCATGATTGTCAATTTAAAAAATATAACACATTTGTGCATATTAAAATATTACGAATAGAAAAATGTATTTATATATAATTATTTGATAACTTAATTAATGTTATATAATTGAGATAATTGATGTATTTAAATTGAACTTATTTTTTCATTTATAATAATTCTTTTAGGTTATATTAAATTACATACATCATAAATGTCATAGGAAGCTTAATTAATTTCAGCTTTGGCTTAAAGACTATCGTACAATAAACGCCAAATGAATTATTATACGAAATATTATATGCATGATCCGTTATTGTCATTTAAAATAATTTAAAGAATGTCGGATATAAAGCACCAACAATCGAAAATATCATCACGACATTTATTTGAAGATCAGGTAAGAGTTTTTAAGACAAACTTATACAAAAGTAGGAATACAATATGAATACAACATTAAATAATTTTATTAAGGAAAAAATAATATTAAACATAAATATAGATTAAATTTTTTTTTATTAGGTTGATTTAACTCTACAAGTAATACAGAAATCACCTTCAGAGATTAATGAAATTAATGTCTTCGATTATTTACACGACTATGTAAATAAACTTGAGACTAAAGATTCAGGAATATATTTATCCTCTTCAAATATTGAATTACAGTTAAAGAACACGCATACACAAAAAAATAATGATTACACAAACAATAATGAAGTTGATTCTATAGAAGTTGAAAATATTTCTTTACAGAATATATCAAATTCTCAAAATGAATTAAGATTAAAATGCACAGAACAAAATCATTTAAAAATGAAAAATGAATCTGTGACTCATTTAAATGAGAAAAATACTGATAATATTAAATTAATAAAAATTAATAATGCGGTTGATACAGAAGATGTAAAAAGTGATAATATTCCTATTAAAATAAAAAAGACTTTTATATTTGAAAAAAATATTTTTGCTCAAATGAAAGACAAATCACATAATTTAGAAGTTAAGAATGAAAATTTAAATGATGAAAATAATGATCCTGAAACTAAATTTTCAGCATCAACTAGTCAATCTAAAAAAATCAATAGTTTAGTTATGTTGAACAAACAAATTAAAACATGTAGTCAATGTTCAATGACATTTAGATACAAAAGACATTTAGATCGGCATTTGGAAGGTCATCAAAAAAACAATTGTTCTCACTGCAATGCAAAATTTGCCAGGCGTAAACATCTTGATATACACTTATTTCGTTCACACGGTGAAAGAGTAACAAAACATCCACATTCTTGTGATGTATGTTCTCGGAGTTTTCCTAAACGTATTTTATTAAATCGTCATCGTGCAAAACACAACTATGAAAATGGCAAAGTTTGTTCAGATTGTGGAAAAATGTTGAAAGCAGAAGAAGATGACAAGGAACACAAAGAAAATCATTGTACAAAGAAACAATTTAAATGTAAAAGATGCTTACAAACATTTAGTATTGAACAAACATATATAGCTCATATTCAAAATCATGATAATCATAAATGTTCAAAATGTGATGTCACTTTTGCCTCCAAAAAAAAAGTGCATGAGCATTATAAAATGGTACACTCCTCAAAATTGAATCATAATAAAATATCAAATAATGGTGAGTTTCTTAAGATAGGAAAATATATATGCATAATTTATAAAAACTAATCGTTTTATAGGTATATATTTTTGTGCTGACTGCAGACATACTTTTTTAAAAAAAGATGATTATTCTCGTCATTTAGATTCTACATCACATTTTAATAAAGTAAACCAAGAAATATCTCAAAGAGACATTTTTACGTGTCTAATTTGTTCTAAGAAATTAATTTCACAGAGAGCTCTTGATCAACATGTTAGACGTATACATAAAGAAGAAAAAAAATTTACATGCAATATATATGGTTGCACATTTCAGTGTGCAAGAAAATCAGACTTGGATAGGCATAAACAGTTACATGTAGAACAAAGAAATATCGTATGTGAACAATGTGGTAAAACTTTTACTAGTGTTAGTATTCTTAATGATCATGTTCTTTATATACACAATAAGGAAAGACAATTTATATGTGAAGAATGTGGTAAAGCATTTAAACGAAATAGTTTATTAAAAAGACATAAATTATCTCATCAGCAATATCGACCATTCGCTTGTATGCAGTGCAATACTGCTTTCAAAAGGTCCCATCATCTTTCTCGTCATATGGAAACTTGTCACAGAATTACACTTGAACGAAAAAAGAAGGTGAACTTAATTACATATATCTATTCTATTTTTTAATTTGTCTACATCATTTGATACAATTAAAATATAATAAACATTCAACAGGTCGTAAAACTTATGCAAACAGAAGATGGTCATCTTGTTCCAATACCAGAAAAACCAAAACCCCTTAAACCTAAAAAATTAAAAATTAAAACAGGACCTAATGTACTTTTGTCATCAGATGAAAAAATTCCATCTCCTCAAGACATGGATATAAATAAACATTCTGATTCATATTTAGGAACACAAATATTACCCACATCTAATGACTTGTGCGAAAATTCATCATTGCCATTAGAATCTACAAATTTATTTTCGAATCCAGATTTTACTTCACAGGTTCTTTCATTAGTAGATATTAATTCAGAACAAATTGTCACTGTAGAAGTTACTAGCCCAAAAACATTAATAATGAATGATCTTATAGATCAATTTGAAATAAATTGCAATGAAATATTGAATTTAACAAATTATCAAGATTTGGAACTTCAACATGGAATTTTAAATACAGATCAAAATTTGTATGATCATACAAATTATTCTGAATTATCATTAGGAACTGTTGAAGAAACATCTTTCGTGGATTCAAATATTAACAAAGTAGATACTTTACCAATAGAAAACTATTTAAATCAATCATTTTCATCATTTTTAAATTTTTAATTACAATTGTAAAATATTTAGCTTATAAGCTAAAGAATTGCTTATATTTATGGATACAAAATTATAAAATTAACATAATTTATAAATGTTTATAAAAAGTACATGAAACTGCCTAAAATTATTTTAAGAATAATTTAAAATTTTTAATAACTAATGAATAAAAATGTGATATATTTTTGTAATACTTAGAGTTTTATCAAAATTTATCATGCATTTAATAATTAGAATGATTGTATAATAATTTTTCTAGATTTTTATTTATAACTGTTTGTATTAATGTTTATATAATATAATGTATAAATGTCATAAAAAATGTTATCATTATTTTAGTTACTTAAAAATATACATTTTAATGAATGTAACTAATGTTTATTTCTTATTTATTAGAGACATAAACAACTCGTGTATGACTATCTTAGAAAAAAATTACAAAATAACATATGCATGGTATTATATATTTCAAATGAATCCATATATTTATTCCATTGAAACATCCCAAATTAATCTTTTCCATATAAATTACTATTTCTTAAAATATAATGTAATTAAGTATATTTATTTATCCAAATTTTATAAGTATTAATTTATTTAGTATTACTCGAGTAGCATTTAGTATTACTCAATAGGACATTTATGCTTGAATTTATATCTACACCTATATATTAGTTTTTTATATTATGTATATTCTTTTACATACAACCATATTTATTATACAGTATCGTACATTATTCTAAAAGTTAATATAGAATAATAGTAAGAAAAAAAGTCGGAAGTATTTATTTTATTATTGATATTAAGATAAATAATTAATGCAAATAAAACTGTAAAGTTTTTTCTTATTAATTATATTTGTAAATGTATTTGAAAAAAGTTCATTTTAAAATCTATGTCAACAAAGTTTAAGTAAAGTAATGATTTAAACAAAGTATATATATTGCTCACAACGCGTACAATTTTTTTATAAACTTTTTCAGCACCAGATACATCCAATTGACAAAAATCAACTATATTTTTACACATTAATGTTTGTTGCAAAACTTATAATATAAAATGCAAGATTTGAACAAAGTTTAAATACAATTTTATTAATAGTACGATCTTTTTTGGGGAGGGGTTTCTTTATACGTTATTAAAATTATCAAATTTTTACAACTTACTTGATTTTATACCTATACTTGTTTTTATAGTCATTTGAAATCAACGATATTTCATTATATACTAATATTTTTCACAATATTTAGACACTGTCTTTCATTTTAATTTATCCCCAAATTTTTCTCACGAAACAAATCTATATAAGAATACACTTAAAATTGCCGCAGCTGCTCCACCAATTAAGCTCCATGTAAGCTTTGATGTATTTCTATTTCTTTGTTTTTTTGTATTTTTTTGAGAACTATTGTGTGTTCCTAACATTTTACGATATAGATTTTTTTCATGTCGAGCATCCTTAGCATTTTTCTCTTTTAAAATAGCTAATTCCATCTGAATAGCTTTTATTTCTGGGTCTAATTTTGCTGCCTGAAGCAATGTTTGATATGCTAATGCATGTTCTCCTTTATAATGCAAAATTTTTCCTAGAAAAATATAACATATTTAATATATAACTATTATTATTGTATATTAATTATATGAAACAATACATTGTACAATATTACCTTTCCTAAAGAGTGCTTTTACATTTTGAGGTTGACAGCTCAAGACACTTTCTACACTTTTTAATGCTGCGTCATAAGCTTGTGTTTTCATTTGTGCAGCTGCTAAATTATTATATACTTTCACACGATCTTCTAATAAAGCCTGCAGTTCTGCATCAGTAGTGGTATCTTCTGCCTCACTCTGATAGGATGTACGGCTTTCTGCTGGTAATAAAAATTCTAGTGCTCTCCGATAACACTGAATTGCAAGTATTGGTTCACCACGAATAAACCACCAATTTCCACGTTCTCGTTTTTTATTGCTTTAAAAAAGATAAAGGTATCAGATTAGTTATAAATTCAAGTAATTTTAATAATTATGTAAAAAATAATTACCCAATTTCTTTTCGCTGTTTGACATTGAGGGTCTCTATTTCTTCTTCTAATTCACTGGACTTCAATTGAACCGTATAAAAAATAGTGGCATTTGGTGGAATATTTGGTTCTTTTCCTCGAGAGCCATAAGCAAATCTTGGATCAACTTCAATTTCAGCAACTTCACTTATATCCATTAATGGAATTGCTAAATCTAATCCCTATAATTTAACAATACAATGCAGATATTATTGGTTTTATTATATTAAGTAAAATCTTTCTTATTGAAGAATTGATAATAATCATATTATTGTTCATATCAATGAAATATATATAGCATTATGACTGAATAATCAATATTATCATTATTTTAAAAAAATGTCCTTGAGAAACATATTAAAAATAAAGATATCATTCAGTACCTGAATCACTTCAACATCACCTAATTGAATTTTGAGATCTTCATATTCCTCAACTATCGTACCATCTTTTAATTTGCCAACAACCTTTAAAGTACAGATGTCAGATATATTTGGACGTGTTCCATTTTTCCCACTTTCTACAACTTTCTTTTTAAGCTGTCCACTTCCTAAGATATCTATCCATTCCTCAGGTGGATGTTCATTTAAAGCTGCTTTTGTCATCGGTTCATTTGGATCTATGTTAAAGTTCAATTCCTTTTCAATAAAATCAGCTTGACTTGTTCCTGGTTGTATAGATTCATCTTCCATCTTCAAAAGAATTCAACAAATTATTCGCATTTTATAAAGAGTATAATGATTCCTTACAAAAAAAATGGTAAATCACAATAATATCAAGCACGTAAAAAGTAATTTTATTGTACACAGAAACAAATTTCAATCACAGTAAAATTGAACTTTGCAATTCTAAATATATTACGTTTATTAAACGTGAGAACGCTCTTAATTTTTTAAAAATGTCAAAAATTATAAATTTTGTATTCCATTTGGCAAATCACGCGTGTAAATAGCGATACAAACAGTAGAAAAATGCACATTCATTCGATGAATCGAAAAAATTTGAAGTAGGAATACAATGTTAACGTAATTACTTCTTTTTATATTGTAACGTAATATAATTTAACTTTCAAACTGATTTTTGGAGAAAAAAATATACCTTATTCTCGAAAGTTTCAATAGTCATCAGAAATGCTAAGAAATAACGTCGAACGTTCGTTTATTCGTAAAACACGCGATCTGGTCAACTTCACCGATTACTTGAAATAAGCACTACTTAGAGTATCGAAAGCAGTTAATCGATAATCGAACTTTTATCAAATTTCCTAAACCGTTTGATTACATAAATGTGTGACTTTGTGTTCGTTCGAAGGAATTGAATTGCTTGCTTCAACCGAAATAAATTTAAGTAAATATTCGGATTTTATGACTAATTTTCATATGTAGTAACCAAAAATGATTTTAATTCCTAAAACCGACAGTTACTGGTCCCTAACGAAGTCATATGTCATTATCCTATTATTTAACAATCTAGAATTTTCTGTAATTTTATCAAAACAAAAATATTTTCTCTCTCTCTCTCATTCTCTTTTTCTTTTCATCCTATACACATGATAATCAACAAAATGAAATATATTATATGATAATCAACAAAATGAAATAATGAACAAATGTATTTGTATCGGAAATTATGTCAAATTATATTAATATGTGGAGTTTTTATTATATATTCTATACATCTAGATCTCAAATATTAAAATTTTATTTTTAACAGAGTATATGTACATTCTTGTATACGAAATTCCATAATTAATAAAATAAATATTAACAAACGTTGCTGAGTAAATACTAAAACAATCATATCATATCGTGTCATGTAATCTACTCAATCCAATTTTTTAATATGAAATTGATAAAATATTTCGCAATTTTCTTCTCTCGCGAAGTTTGTGTTGTATACAAGGTGAGTGGAACCAATCGAACGATCCCACATTTCTATTATATGCGCATGCGTAAGGGATCCACATTTGACTGTGTACCATTCTGATAGAGTGTACAGTCGCTGAAAAGTTTTTGTCCGGTTAATTCCCGTTCAATTGAAATTCCTTTTATTAATAATGAAATCGCTTTTATTAGTGGGAATCGTGCTAGCGATCTTTTGTTCGAGCAGTAATGCTGATGATAAAAAAGGCCCGAAAGTTACAGACAAGGTAGGCAAATTAAATACACCGGTATGAAATATCAGATGTGTTAACAAAGAATTTCTTTTGAATGAAGCAGATAAAAATAAAATTAAGTAAACAGAAATGTGATTCATTATTGCAGAATAATCTCCTTTATTTTCCAATTCAGAAGTGTACCTTAAATTTCTATATTTCGATTTATTTTTTGTACATATGTCACGAAAATTTTTTCAAATTAATAATTGAGAATATAATTTTCAATTTTTATTTGCATACATAAACGTACATACTAAATAATAATTTCCAAAGAATTTTACAAGTCTGTTAAACGAAAAAAAAAATTGAATCTGTATATTATATATGGTATGATATATGTAGGTATGGTTTGACATTAACATTGATGGTAAGTATGAAGGAAGAATTGAAATTGGACTGTTTGGAAAAACAGTTCCAAAGACTGTTCAAAACTTCATAGAATTGTCCAAAAAACCTCAAGGAGATGGATACAAGGGTAGTAAATTCCATAGAGTCATTCGTGAATTTATGATCCAAGGAGGAGATTTTACAAAAGGAGATGGAACTGGAGGTTTGATATCATATTTGTCACTATTTTGAAAATTGGTGTATTATGTTTTGTTTATTATGAAATTAAAATTAATGGTTCCTTTAAATCTTATTAAATAAAATGACTTAAAATAATTAAGATTAAAAATATTTAAAACTAAAATTACTATATACTTTTCATTAGGACGCAGTATTTATGGACCTCGCTTTGAAGATGAAAATTTCAAATTGAAACATTATGGTGCTGGATGGTTGTCTATGGCAAATGCTGGAAAAGATACTAATGGTTCACAATTCTTTATTACTGTGAAGCAAACACCATGGCTTGATGGTAGACATGTTGTATTTGGAAAAATAATTAAGGGAATGGTACGTAATTTTTTTTACATGATCGAATTACATGGCTTAATAAATATGTTATAAAAATAATTTTACAGGATATAGTAAGAAAAATTGAAAATGTAAATACTGATACCAGAGATAGACCAACAAAAGATGTTGTAATAGCTGATTGTGGTGCAGAGGTGGTAGCAGAACCTTTCAGCGTATCAAAGGAAAGTGCTACTGATTAAACATATTTTTATTTTTATAATGATGAAGGCTAACCATTTGTGACTGTCATCTATTAAAAGAACAAGCTTATTTACTCTAATATGTTTATAATTTGTTTACCTATATTCAAAATTTAAAAAAAAGCAATATTTATAAATTTATTATGCAAACTGTTTGTTATGTATATTTACACAATTGCTCAAAAAATTTTTTTACAAATCTTGTTACATATTATCTAAAATGCATTTTATCAATTATGATCAACTATTAGAAATTATTATATAAAAAAAAATTCCTGAACAGTTTTAGTTATAGAACATAAAAAATGAGATATATACATATAAGTAGAAATTTCTTAAACATATGGAGTTGAAGAAGCACGAGATTGTATGAAATAGTCTTGTAATCCATTATCTTATTCCAATTTTATAAAATTATATACATATACTAAAGCGCGCAATAAATTTTATATACTTATAATCACATTTTTTCAAATAAATAAATATAACTTATTATTATAAACATATTATAAACATATGATGCATTTTATTCGTCCTTTCCTCATGTTTATTTTTATTTAATACAAACGTAAATAAAATAATTAAACGTAGCACAATTATGTGAAATAAAAATTGTATATATTGTGAATAAATATACGTATATGTGCATAAGTGAATTTTTTTTAATTCAATGCAGTAAATATAGCATAAACAATATTGGACCTTTCACTTCAAAGTTCATGACATTCTCACAAGTAAATTTTTTATAAAAGATCGATTGCAGAAATCAATTTCAGGTAGATAATTTATGAGTCTAATCATCTGAAATATTAATATTAATATAATATTAATTCTGAATACAATATTAATTTTACATCCCATTCTAAGAAAAAAAGATTGCCACCAATTTCGGAAGAAAAATTATATAAATATTTATGTATGTAATTAGTTGAAATATGTTTTTTTTAGTATTTGTCAATAACGAAAGTGATAAATAACTGATCAAAGGTAAGTTTGACTACTTTTTTGCAAAAAATATTGTTTCGTAATTTTATAGTTTAAAATTTAAAATTTCTTATTCTCTGTTTGTAAAATAATATCAAAACAAAAGTAAATAATAATTGCAATCTAAGCAGTACTAAAGATGAATTGGATTTAGAATTATATAGAAATATATTGTGAATACAGAAACAATGGTAATACCAGTAATAGTAATAATGATAATGATAACATTCTATTGATCACTAATGACAGGAATAAATGTTACAGAAAGTGATAGTATGTTATTAATTAAAAAAAATTATTTCCCATCACTTATACTATTTTATTTGAAAAAATGTGTTCGAGGTGTCAATAGATAGTTTACAAAAAATATTCAGCTGCAAAAAATATTTATATTTAATAATTAAATAAATTATACTAAAATATTTCTATGTCAATAATTTGCATTGAAATATTCTTTTAATTTATTTTTTATACATATTGTATAACAAGATACGTATGGAGCATAGACGATGTAGTATACATAAATACACGTTATAATTAACTAACTTCATTATATTGTTGTATCATAACCTTGTTGTGCATCTTAAAAACGAATGTTGAAAAAACAAATATGTTTCTTTATATTCTATCATATTCTTTCATAATGTAATATATAAATTATATTATATTAAATACAACAGCTGATACATCATGTTATTCCAACTTCTATGCCGAAATAGTAATGCTTCCCTTCATTCAAAAAATTAAAAATATTTTTCATTATTCGATAAAATGTTTCTAATAAAGTCTGCAGTAATTTATACTATACTTTTTTTATTTTTAATGTTAATTTTCTTGCTCTATATACTTGGAGCTGCTCGTTATATTACAGATTTTGAAGAAAATACTTGTGATATGACATACATGTTTGAATATCCACAATACGTGGTATGTAAACAATACGATGATTTAAAGAAAAAATTACTTCTGTTTACTTGTTAAATAACTGTTATTATGTTAACTGATGCTAATTATGCGATAGATTAAAACCTATAAACTAGGCATTATTATGATTAAAATTATGAAATGTTTAATATTTTCATTAATTTTACTCTCCCGTTGAATAATATTTATAACATACCTTATGACTTTGATTAAAATATATCTAGTAATGATAATTTATATATCTACTAATAATAATTTAAAGAATATGAATTATAATTATGATTTATTACAAATATTAGAGAATCTCTTTGGATACTGAGATAGAAGAACAATATCCAAGATATGGATTATACGCATATGGAGAAGGTTTTATTACCGAGAAGCTTAGAAGGATGTATTTCTCAGGAATACCAGTACTTTTTATACCTGGCAATGTTGGATCTCATGAACAAGGTTTTTAAAATGTATTACAAATGCTATTTCAGCTTGAATTGTTGTTAATACTTTTATTGTTTTTAGTAAGATCTCTTGCTTCTGTCAGTTTGAGAAAAAGCCTGAAAGATAGAACTCCATTTCATTTTGATTATTTTACTGTTTCATTAGGCAAGGATTATTCTGCTTTATATGGAGGTAAAAATAATAATTTTGTTAAGTCATTTCATTATCGCTTTTACAGCTTTTGAAATATTTATGTATTGTTTAGAGTAATAATTTATTAATTAATTCAAGGCGTGTTGATGGAAGAAACAATGTATGTTTCATACTGCATACAAAAGATATTAAGTTTATACAAAACTAAGATGGACAATATTATTCTCATAGGACACTCAATGGTAAATATAATATTAGATTTATTTTAATAAAAATATTAAAATATTTGTATTTTTAGGGAGGTATTATAGCTAAAGGTTCTGTTGTAATGACACCAAATATAAATGCTAGTGTTGCCAGCATTATTATTACTTTGGCTACACCTCATACACCTACTTTAGTATTAGACCATACTTTCGCCAATTATTACCAAAATTTAGAAAAACGCTTAAGTGAAATAAAAGCTGCAGGAACAAGTGTAGTATCAATAGGAGGTGGACCACGAGATACACTTATAACTTCAACTCAAATTTTAGATCCTACAGCTGATATTAATGTTATTTCCAATACTATACCAGATGTTTGGAAATCTACTGACCATTTGAGTATTTTGTGGTGTAAACAATTAGTACTTTCTATTGTGTGTTCATTATTTGATTCTGTTAATTATACTCAAAAACCATCCAAAATTGCCTCTACAGCTAAGGAAAGAATGCAAGCATTGTCATATCACTTTCATCATGTAAGAAAGTTCTTTTAATCTACTTTTAATATATAAAAATATTTGAATTAACGATTAATTTTACAGCGTGCTTCGGGAAAAAGATTATATTCTTATAATGAAACAATGCAATTTGAACCTGGTGGAATATGGATAGAAAATATTCAAAGGCATTATACATGGTCTAATAAAAATTTGCCTAAAAAGACATCCTTTGTCTATCTTATGATCAGATTGAATGGACAACCAGATTATTTAACTATTGATACCATAAATTTAGAATCTAAGGATTGGTTATTTGCATGTACTGCATCCAGTATACAAGGACAATCAAGAGTTTGGTAATACTAATTATTATAATTAATATAATTAATATAAAGGTTATTGTCTTAAAGTAAAGATAACAAACTCAAAGTATCATTGTATAATTTTGTTTTTAATTTAGTAATTGGGGTTGGAATTTGACAAATAGAACAAGAATTTTGCCAGATCCTTTACATCGCTTAAGAAAAACTGTTGACTTAAGTTTCCAAGAAATAAAATATCCTGGTGTAACACATATTATAATAAAAATTACACCAGATAGTTTAGAAAATTATATTACAATAAATGTTGATTTGTATTCTTATAATACAAGACTTGTACCTGTTAAGAGTACTTTTCCTTTATTGAAAAATGTATTTATAAAACCTCGAATTCAAAAGTCTGATCTAGGACATGTTAGATATTATGCAAATTTTGATAATGCTATGGATGTTGTTACTGTCGAATTTAAAATATCTGACTGTACAGATCCAAAACATCATGCAATAGTTGAATTATTAGAACCAGAGAGTATTGGAGTCACACAAATTCAGTTTTTTACAGTTATGTGAGTATAACTAAAATAAATTTGTATTTATTTTAAAATTATTTCATAAAAAGAAATTTTAATATTTTAGGGACAATGGGCCAAAATCAATAAAAGTTCAAATTAAACATAAATATTACAATGTTTCTCCAAATTTAAGGATAACTCTAGATCCCGCATGTTCATATATAATTAATATTCAAGAAGCTGGGATTATAGATCGAATATCTTGTATTGTTAGAGATCGCTGGTATCTATTGTATACAACGATTATTAGTTTACTTCTACTGTTTTTATCTACCAGAATTGATCATGGTCTTAAACAAACTCCAATAATAGTAATTACGGTATTTCTATCATATTATTATGATTTAATGTTTGAATGTTTAGTTGCTTTAGCAATTGTTTGCATATTTACCATTGGACTATGCTGTTCTATTATATTCCTTGGTTCAGTAGCTCATAACATTGCTGTAAGGTAAGAAATTTTAATTATATCAATATTTATATCACATTTTGTGGATAAATTTATCATTTTTTTTTTTTTTAGATTTCTAGCTCGTGCAATAGCTTTTTCAACAACATGGTCAGATTGGCTACTTGGAGGATTAAATCAGTTGCCTTTTATTAGTGCAATTCTTATTTTATCTTTAATCCCAGCAACTTGCGGGGGTTTAGCTATGCTAATTTCAGTTTTTCTGTATTTTCTGACTTTAACAAAAATGTATGAAGATTACTTAGAAGAACTATTAATGGCTTCGTTACAACATTTTAACTGGATACGACGATTCAGAAGTGCGAGAGATGATTCTGAAGGACATGAAAATACAAGACAAAAAATATTTAATCATCTTATTCTTTTCATTCTCTGGTGTTTTACTGCTATTCCAGCCGTACCTTCTGTACTTGTGTGGGCAAAAAATTTCAGGTTTGCAACTTATTATAAAAATCAAGTATTCAATTGTTAAATGTTCTTATATTTTTATAAATTTGTTTTAGTTATGATATGAAACTTTCTTCCGAAGATCCTTTATTATTACAAAGCTGGATAGTTTTAGTGACATGCAGTACAATGGGATGGGTGCAACTCCCTTCCAATAATCGTAAGAATCAATCTCAAGTATTATCCAGTATATTATGTTTCTCAGGTTGGATTATACTTTTAATGGGAGCAGCACCTTATCCAGCTTTTTATCAATATTATATGCCACCTGCTGTAGCTGGAGTTACTATTATTATTGCATTAAATGTAATTTTTTTTTGAATTTTTTAAATTTTTTTAATATTGTTCACTTGAAAAAGAAATAACATACATCAATTTCATGACATGTCATGTCCATCTATTGTATTTGTGTGTAAATATATTTATTTTTAGAGAATGTGTAATATACTAAACTAAATGTATTTAAGATTGTGTGAAATATATTAATTGTAAGATATATGTTATATATTAATGTAAGTAAACAGTTAAAATTACAAAATCAATAATATTTTTTATTTAATTGATTGGGAAATATTAAAATATTCCATTATACATCAAACAATAAATTTATTATTTATCAGAAAAAGATATACAGTTTTAACACTCTTATATGACCTATATTATTTAACATCCTATTTAAGAGTACTGAGTGTGCTATTTTTAATATTTCATATAAATACACAAAATCGTCAACTGAAGAAATATTTGTTTGTTATTAAAATTTTTATTTATCAACCTTATTTAATTAATCAATGTGACTGTTCAAGTAATAAACTAAATACATTCAATCAAGATAGAAAAAAGTTCAATTTAATTTCATATATAAATACATGATCTATTTACTGTTCACGAGGCAATGATATACACATTTGTGTAAATTAATAGGACCCAAAAGTAATCATGACATACGTAATCATTGATCATAAAAGTATGGCAGTAACCTAATTTTACGTATTAATAATACAATGCCCACTCATTTTCTTGCAAAAATGTATCTACTACTTCCTTCATTGCTAAGTTAGGAATTAATTGATCCTGAGTTAAACGAACTCTAGTAACTGGATCAAAATGGCCTACCCTTTGTAAGTGTTCTTCAATGTCTTTCCGTTCATATGTAATTCCGCTTGGTGTAATCACTGGTTCTTGTAAAATTTCAAAACTAATTTTTCCACATAAATAATCAGGTACTTCTCTTTTCTGTTTCATATATTTATAAAAATTGCAAATAATATATTATACTTACTTTAATTTATACGAAATTAAATACGATTAAAAAATATACACTCACCCTTCTTCTCTCATCTACCTTTGCAAACAGATCATTAAGGTGAGCCATACACATATCTCTTTTTTCTTCTATTTCTTCTTTCTTTCTTGTGAACTCGATAGATGAGGTTTCTGCTTCACTTTTACCATCTGCATCTTTAACTGTTTCTTGTTCCTTTAAAGCAGCTAATCTTCTTTCAGCGTCTTCTACTATCAATTGATTGAGATATGATTGTAATTCAATATCTTGTGCAATTCTCTGTTCTTCTCTCAATTGGAAACAACGTTTTCGCGCTTGCCTTAAAATGCTGGTCATATCATCTCCATAATTTAACTTTTGCTCCTTGGCCAAATCCACAGCTATGTTGTTGTAGTTGTTTGAGATGTGTAACCATGTGAATGACAAGTTTCACATTGCCATAAAAACCATGAATACCATAAAAAAGAATATTCACAAAATATTTCTATACAGTTATATTATGTATGATGTACGTATATAATGAATATAATATACAGCACTAAAAATATAACATGTAATGACAAAATAAAATCTCTGAAAGTAAGTACACAAATACAATCTTGAAACTATATTATTACGTGTAATAAAATCTTTTTTTAAACATTTTACGCAAAACATTTTACATTTACTTTTATAATCACATGAAATAAATGTTTAAATCGTGAAAATTAATCAAATACAGATGTTATTGTTATAAGAACTATGAGAACAAAATATTTAATTACAATGATATCTTCGCAACGAACATATAAAAAAAAAACCTAGTGAAATTTTTGAACAAAAACATAGGTATGTACCTCTTTGTAAATGTTTAACTGCCTCATCCACCAGTTCCATTTCGAGAAGAGCTAGACCCAAGAAAAAATGACCTTTCACCAGACATGGGTCGATATCAAGAGCACGTCTGCAGTCTAGACAGGACGATTCCCATCGTTTCAATTTCAGGTTACACAGCGCTCGGTTCGTAAAGTATAGTGCTTGGGTTGGATTTTTAATCTGCAGGAATGAGATGCAATGTCGTAACTTGCCTGCATAGATTCATAGTGGCACTCACAATTGCTTTGGTGTAGCAGTGTGCAGCATCCTCGTATTTGTGAAGATTGAAAAGACGGTTCCCTTCTTCCTTTAATTCTTTGTCAGAAAGGTTGGCGGTTGTATACATTTTACTCATCTTGGCAACAAATCTTGTGCTTTATCGAACGCTTCTCTACATATGAATTCTCGTTGAGTTATTCGCTTAATACTTCTTGTAGGAAAAATTAGTTGAATCGTAAACAAACTAACAAAATAATATTGTATAACCTTAACCTTAACGAAATATGTAATTCCCCATTTTCCTTGCGCACTTGTCAATCATTAACTAAGGTAAGACGAAGACGTACATAAACAAAACTGAAGGAAGATATCTTCTAACATAAAGCCAGGTTTCCAAAGAACGTTTATTCTAAATGTCCATTTTCAAATATTTAATAACATTTCTACAAAATCTTTTTTTTTTCTCCCCCAAGTTTAATTACAAGCTTCATTTCATTTTTTTCGCAATTTTGGAAAAGTATCAATAACTAGCAATATGGAAGCTAAAATTTAAATGTGTAATACACAATATGTCAATTTTATTATACGTAGAATTATTACATTATTTAAACAATATATACAACTAATTCAAAAATATATGTTTAACATAATAATACAATGTCTAATGACATTAATAAATTTCATTTATCCTATACGAGTTAGAATTGTGTATTTACATACGCAATGTAAATTAATTTAAAAAAATTTTGATTGATTTACTCTAAAATAAAATCAATATTTTAATTTTTTTATTTAAAAAAAAATATATCTAAAACATTAAACTTTAATTTAATTTTTTCAATTTCCAATTGTTATTTTAGGTCACTTTATACTTTAAATTATAAAATGAATTGGTCGTATTTTAACTAATTTGTGTGCTGCTATGCATCATTGATTTTAGATATGCTATATACAAAAATAGGTTTGTTTGTTGCAAAATGTATTTCTTGGTTCACAACAATTCCCATTCTATGTTTGAAAAATTCTAGTATTTTCTTTGCTATTTGTTTATTATTTTCAGATACCTCTGAATGCTCTAAATAATCATTTATCTAAAACAATAAAAGCCAGTTACAATGCTAAATTAAACTTTAAATTAGAGTAAGATTAAAGAATAGATAATAAAAATTACCTTCATCCATCTGCATTCAGAAATTTCTCTTTCACACTTTTTGATATTACAATTAACAGGAGATAAATAAGCTACCATATATATATCAGAACAGCCAAACGAATAACCATGAACATGCCTAAAACCTAATATACATTTGAAAGTAGTTTGGACACCAGTTTCTTCTAGAACTTCCCTTTTTACAGCATCTGCTAAATTTTCACCTACCACAAGAAAAAATTAATTAATTGTTATCAAATATAAAAGTTATTATAAACTGTTATTATATATGTAAATTATATACATAAATTATATACATAAATTGTCAAAACATATATTTATAAATTTGATTTCTTTACAACAACAAGTTTAAGTTTTTAAATTACTAATTCTCTTGTGCTAATTCATTAATTTGTAAGAAAATGATGTACCTGGTTCTACATAACCACCTGGCAATTTCCATATGCGTGCATGATTTGTATATTTTTCTTTAATAACTAAAATCTCTTCAGTCTCCTCATTATAAACAAATCCTCCAATTCCTAAATTTGTGTGTGCATAATGTGGTATATTAGATTCTTCATCTGTAACTAACCATCGATAAAGCATAACATATTCTTGTTTTGCATGATGAAATTTAAATCCTTCCTTTACAAGTAATGGTATCCATTCTGATTGCGGTAAATGTACACGGAACCATATTGTGCGTTTTTTATTTTCTATCCATTGTTGTAAAGATGCTGCAAAAATTACAATAAACAAATATTAATTCCTAGCAAAAATTTTTGCCAAGTCCTTCAATTTTGATAAAATAAGTAATAATTTATGAATGTACTCAATAATAAAATTTTATAACTATTGCCACTATCATATTACGTTATATACCTGTAAGACGACTAGCGAACACTTCAGGTGTACAAGATTCTTCGTTTGAATCAATGGTTAAGCCATTGTAGTGATCATGATGTCCATTAAAGCATTTTGAAGCCATGATTATAGAGGGATTAATACAATTTATTTTACAGCGCAATATAGGATAAAAAACTCCACGGTATTTTGTTAAAAATTGTTGTTTTAGCACCGTGGTAACGAAACAGAATTTTGAAGTTGCGATACTGTACATTGGAATATCCACAAATCTATATGAATGACATTTTGAAAAATTTATTACTTTAATGTTTTATTATTGTATAAATATTTACATATATATTGTTAAAAAAAATTTTTACACAACATGCTTGAATCTGTTTTATCGTACAACGCTAATATTAAAATAATTAAATATTCTAACCTAATTATATTTTCTATTTATTTATTTCAGTGCCAAATGCAGTTCTAATACTTTCAAGATAAAATGTTTTGCATCGGAATGTTATATAATTCCTACGACTAGTTAGATATTTTGTTTATATGTGTTATACGTAATAATTACACTTAATACATACATACATTTTCTATTTGTTTAAATACAATTTATAAAACATAAATTGTAATCAACATTATATAATTTTAATTTTTTTGTTTGTAGTAAGTTAATATAAAAAATAGATTCTGTAACGTATTTAATGTTTTTATTCAATTCATTTACAATAAATATTTTACAATAATCAAACAAAACAACTATAAACAAAAAATAACAAATTCTCTTTATAAATTAAAACTTTGATTCAGTAACTCAACTAATGATATAATATACAGTATAAATTATATGATATAACAATACAGTATAAATTAAACTTGAAAATGTTAGATCTCGTTTATGTTACAATCTCGTTTTTTGTTCCAAAACGATTTCATATTCTCGTATACTTTAACGGCAGGAGAATTATAATGAAGAGCTTCGCAAACGCGGCAATAATGTCGTGACATACTGCCGAAATAACCATGTTCATTAATTACTTTATAATATTTACGCCACTCGTGATACTCGAAATATTTTTCATTGTGTTTATTAAGATACTGAATGTAATTTGCTAGAGCTGCTGGATCAGCAAAATCGCTAACATGAAGAAACGAATGTGGCGGTAATAATTGCTCGCAATCTTTCTTTGGCGCACCCATTATCACTGGAATCGCTAATTTGTGATAACCATGCCAAAATACTTTCTCTGTTAAGTATTCTCTACAATTTGAATTTTCGAAGGCTAAATAAAACTTGTAGTTATTTAAAACAGAACAATCTTTATCAAAATGACCGGGACATGCGGTCGTATTACCATTTAAACATCTTCCGTATATGTCAAGATCATTACCGAAGATCAATTTCAGTTGACTAATATATTTCCATCGACCATTCGTGCCCCCGCAATTACTACCCATAACAGTGACTAGTTTAGTTTTTGATTTCTTTATCAAATCGCTTGAGAAATTTATATTCGGCGAATTTATAAACGATGTAGAAATCGTTCTACCGTAAGGTACCGGCACATCGCTGTTCATTCGATAAGTCATCGACCAATTGAATAAACCATTATATCTAGATAATTCTTGATTTCCGTAGAGAAAAGTGTGTATCGGTGATTCGTCAGTCAAAAAAATCCACCTTTGATTCCATCGTGTTCTAATCGGCAATTCCAATACATCACGTGTCAGATGTAAATGAAACACAACAGCATCTGCTATATCTAAATCTTCCGATTGATAACTCAGTATACACTTCACTGTACAATTTTCCCAAGGTGAAAATCTAATGTGAAAAGATTATATTTAAATTCAAAGTTAAACAAAATTATAATTTAGAATATACTATTGTATTATTGCAATAATGCTCGTTTAAATTTCAATAGAATTGTTTTCCACTCAATATCTCAAGCATAATCCGAATCTGTTTACAAAGAAAATATTAAGCAAGCAACAATGATCGAGCACACTTATAAGTAAATTGGAGATATTTATGTAATTTAATTTTTCTATGAATATAATTAAAGAAATAGTAATTTCTTTCTGATATTAAATATTATAACAGATATGCTATTTTCAATATTTTATATATTTTTGTATGTTGTATATATTCTGCATATCTTTGCATAAATTTTTGATAAATACATTAAAATTCGCAATATTTATAAGAAATATTATTTCTGTGCGTAAATCTGCGATTTGATTTCAATTTAATCTGCAGATATAGTTTCAATTTATAACATGTTTATTCTTGAAATGAACGAATGATAAAAGACTTAAATAAGTAAATCTATCTAATTTTGTTATTACATTAGGTACTTCATCTATATCTTATCAATACCAATAATGTAATAAAAATTATAGGAATTAAAAAAATAAGATAAAAATTAATAAAAATTGAAATTTGTATAATTGAATTAGGTATTTATCACAACGTACGCAACATTCTTTAAAAGTGTTGAATCTCACCATTATTTAATATTTTTATTTATATCATAATCATATCTAATTTATTTCATATCTTGTTCTCTCTACTTTTATATTGCAAAAATTATATAATTTAAAAACCTGATTTATTGCAATTTTACCGAGCACTATTGCGAATAATTATCTACATATTTATATCTTGTAAAAAATATTTCTAATAACTTATTATTCGTAAAACGTCTGATGTGTCTACGTTCCAAAAATTTCCCATGTTTCCAAATTAAAATCAAATACAGTCTTTTTTTCTTATTTATTATCGGTGGTAGTAAACTTCCTTCAGAAGACAAGAGCCATCTTCCAAGTACAGACGTCGTACTAATCTGATATGAATAAAGGCGCGAATTAGCAATACTATATACATAAGTGCTAATAGAGACTCTATGGAGTTTACTAACGTTTTCTATTCAACAGTGCAAACAACATATAAACTATTCCAATTTTACAATAATTTAATTAAAAAAAAAAAAAAAATTAATATAATCAAACACGGACTTACCCGTTCATTTCTTAATAATTCCTTGTTTATTCGTTGTTCATGTTTCGTTTTTTCCTGAAGTACTTCTTTATTATCCTTTTTACCAAGAAAGATGAAAAAAGTAACAAGAATCATACAGAAAATCGTGAAACCAACGCACAAAAGTAACAATCGTTTCGAATATCGTAGAAGTCCGCGCATTATATTTCCGGCTGTTCTGATAATAGAATGTGGATAATAGAAATATTAACCATATCAGCCTTTTATCGTCATCGTTCGTGAATCTTTTCATCACGATCCTTCTGGGGTCACTTCCGTTTTCAAATTACGAACTGTTTAACTAAAGCGAAATTGATAATTAGCGAGACGCATTATTCAAACGCTGTTACGATAACGTTGAAACAATACAGATTTTTACTGATGGTATGAAGATTAATAAAATGTAACCAGGTGAAGGATGAAACGATATTTAGAAGAAAGAAACAGGTCTGACCAATAGCCGAGGCTACCTTTGACGTATGTTGCACAAGTAATCGTTGATCTCGATTGTCTTGGTTAACCAAGTGTAACGGTCCGGTGTAGTAAGTTACAAACGTTATCCTCAGCGGTGACAAAACATCGTGTCCCTTGCTACTGTCTCAAGAAAAATTTGAATCTATTAATAAATTCATATTTCATTTAAATAAAAATCAACAAATGAAATCTAAGTATATATAATTTATATTTATTTAAGAACTCTTACTATACTTTGATTTGGCTTTATACTAGTGTGTACACATTAAAGAATACACGTTGTCTTTGCATTTCAAATTTCGCGGTTATTGTTTATTTCACAAATATTCGTAACGAAAACACAATTTAAGTTTTTATTACATATTTTTACATTATTATACTATATTCTAAATAGAATATAGTATACTATATTCTAAATAAAAATATATTCAGTATATTTTCATAAAATATTTATTTGCACACACACACATATATGTCATTAAATAGAATTATTTAAAAATAATTTTAATTATATAATAAAAATATATAAATCAGTAATAAACAAATTTAATTTATTACGTTAATATTTTGGCAGATATATAGAAATTCTAATACATTTCACATGTACAATGATATGAAAGTTTAATTTAATTTATTAGAAATATATATCTGTTTTTATAAATCAAAATTTTGATATTCAATCCTAAAATTACTTACATACTTATACATATATCAGTTAAACTTCTTTACAATACTTACAATACTTTTTTTTTATTTTAATTCAAGTAAATTGATTTGTTAGTAAAGATAATATTTAGCGTAAGTAGTTTGAATTTCTTTGAGTTTTTATATCTTTTCATTTTCTTCTTCTATTTAAAACTGTGATAACTTCTTAACCAATATATTTATTTCTTTTAATAGAAACTTAGTCATACTTAAGCGATACGTAATTGTTCTATTAATTATGCATGAATACATAAATACCTTTTTTATTTTATAGGCATAAATGCAATTTGTAATAATTTGTAATTACTAAATATGTATGAATACTAGAATAATTTATTTTTATTATTAAGAGATTAAAAAATATATTTCTATTACTCTGGATGAGAAATTAAAAATGAATGAACTTTCTTTACTCGCATGTGATCTATGGTTAACGCAAGTTGGTGCAAGAAAATTGTCAATAAAGTTGTTTCCGCTTCCGTTTTCAGATTCGGAGAAGGTAATATAATTTTTATTAGTGCAACATGGTAACTACCCGTAAAATTATTAAAAAGCACGTAAGATCATCAAAATTGAGAAGTGCACAGAGTACAAAAAAAGTTAAGAACCACATAAACAATAATAAAAAATTGCAAGATGAAAAAAATAAAATTAACCAAACCAGTGAAGCATTGAAACGTACATTAAAATCTTCTGGGAAAGATAAAGTACAAAATAAGAGAAAAATTACTTCACATGCAAAAGCAATTTCTAAAATTACAGAATCACGAAAGCGAAAAAGAGAAGATAACATTAATAATGAAGAAAATTTGGATTATATAGATTTGAATGACTTGTCAAAGGAACATATATTACAATGCATTAGTGTAATCAATCATTTGACTGAAGAACAATTGAAAAATAACAATGCATTATTTGATGATGAAAATCAACCAATATTTGTGCAAGTAACATGTATTAGAGTACCTAAAACTCCAAAAAGATGTATGAGAATGTAAGTTTAAGTTTATATATTATTGTTTATTTAGATAGATAAAATATTATTTTTAAATCTTGAACATATTATATGTATACACATATAGGATATAGAATGACAAATGATTACATACATATATATATTTAATCTCCAATCGGTCCTCATGAGGAACTATGATTATGATGTCACAAATGATGTATATTTTTTATAATCAATATAATTAGTCTTATTAAAAAGTCCCTCATTAATCAACTTATTTTATAGATTATTACCACATTCAATAGTGTCATCAAGTGACGAAGTAGCACTTTTTGTTGGTGATCTTCAGAAAGGTAGAAGAAAGGATTATGAACCAACAATAGAACATTATGCAGACTTGTTACGTAATTGCAATTGTACAAAAATAAAGACTATAATACCAATGAATCAAGTGAAAACTGAATATGATCAATATGAATTAAAGAGAAAGCTTGTTGGTAGCTATGATCATTTCCTTGTAGATGGAAAAATAGCTGGTCATTTATCTCATTTATTAGGAAAAGAATTTTACAAGAAAAGGAAATTACCGACATCCATCAGAATGCACAGTAAAGATTTAAAACATGAAATAGATTATGCTTTGAGGAAAACTGCTATGCAGATACATTCTTGTGGTGATACTCATATAGTTCAAATTGGACATACCTCTATGGAAAGGAAACAAATTCTAGAAAATATACTAGCAACATGCAGTTATTTATCTAAAAATTATCCAGGAGGTTGGGTTAATATTCGTTCTATTCGTATTAAGACATCTTCTAGTCTCAGTCTTCCTATATATACAACATTAAGTAAGTTGTTATTAAGTACATTCAACTTTAATTTTTGTTGGAAAATTCTCATAAAAATATTTTTACATACACATATATGTAACATGAGTTTTTTGTTTCTTTTAGAAAATAAATGTTTGGTTAAAGTGCCAATAGTCCAACCTAAGAGACCAAAAGCATATCGTAATGTGTCAGGAGAACTTACTACTATAAAGAATGTTGCTAACGTAACTGTTACTCCTGAAGGAGACGTACATATTGAAAATGAAGAGATTCTTCCTTAGAAGAGAAATTAACAAAACAAATAAAAATTGTAATTATTTTTTTATTACTTCATTAAATCTAGTAAACAAAGTTAAAAAATTATCTTCTACTTATTATTACCTTAAACGTTATATTTAAAATTTTCAATTATTGCACTTCAAATTTTATATACTTAATGTATATATATTGTATTGTGTTTAAATATTTGTTTTCTTCATTTAATTACATACGAAGAGAAGAAAAACAATGTATAACGTCAATAATTAGTATAAAATAGTTTGATCTTTCTTAGAAATACTTTGGTACCCATTTGCAGGATTTGCTATTATTCCTGAATGTCCCATTGTTGGAATACCATTTGTATTTTGCATATATTTATATGTGTTTGCAGCATTTGTAATAACTTCTATTTCTTGAAAGTTTTGAAGTCGTTGAATATCCTCATCTTTCCTCAACCTAGTGTTGGGCAGTTTTCTTAATTTTACAATTTGATTGGGATCAACATTTAATTCTTGGCAACATATCCGAATCAATGCTTGGTATGTTAAGTCATTTTGTGGGAGTTCAATTTCTATGAAATCTGGGTCAGGGGCATCAGCAATGCGAATTTTTAATACTAATTCTAAAATATAAAGATAGAATTAATGTTTAGTTCCTTTATGTTGATCTACCCATATATAAAAATTACTAAGTTCTTACCATCTTGGTATAAACCATTATTTCTTATTCTAGGAATTCCTGAATCTACACTTCCATGCACATAATCACTTTTTATATATTTAGGCATAACATTATGTATTGCTGGCTCATTTAACACTCTTGGAGAATCATTTGGTATAGCTAGAGGCATGTCTAGAAGTTGCAAGATTTGTGGATTGTTACACAGAAATGCTGGAGTTTCTCCAATATCAGATCGTATATTCTTGTCTGCACCATTCTTTAAAAGCAAGGCAGCTACATCTAAGTATCCTTTTTTACATGCCCAATGTAAAGCAGTCCTTGAGAAAGAAATATTAATTATGTTATTATTTTGACATTTTTGATATAGTCTATTACACATATACAAGAAAAGGCATTGCATAGTTTTAGTCTTATTATACTTTTTGCAACAAACGCAAAAAATATGGATAATACATAATAAATCAAGGAAAAAATACCATCCATTATAAGACTGTCGTGCATTAACATCGACGCCTAAATTTAGTAATTCCTGAACAACGTCTGTATCACCAACACAGGCTGCTTTTCTCAGTCGCTCCTCCAATACCGTCTTATTTTCCATGTTATCATAACTTCGAAATAAATCTATGGATTTCACATTTTTTTTCATTTCGGGTTTATCTAGGACATTTTGAAATATACAAGGAGTAGCTTTACTTAATACGAGTCTTCGAGCAATTCAAACTGAATCGCTATCTAAGCGCCACGAGTGGTGATTTAGAAGAATTTTACAGCGACGTTATAAATATTTCACATTTTGTATTTTTTCTACAAAGATTAGGATATTTAAATTTAAAAATACTAAAATATAAATGGAATTTTTCTTTTGTAGCAAACAGCGATTATTTAAAAGAAAGATAAAAACAAGAAAAAAAGAAAGACAAGAGAAATAATTGGTAACATAGTGTAATATATTACATAAAATATAATTTTTTATAATGCTTGAAAAAAAGAATTTTATTCTCTGTTTTTATTCAATAGTTTATTATATCTTGTTAGAAATTTTGAATTTTTTATTAATAAAATTATCAATAGAAATTCTAGCAATTTTTTATCAAATTGTCAAGCCTTTTTTAAATTTATCTAGTTATTTATTTGATTTGATTCCATTGGCTAACATGAAATTAAGTATTAGTTTAGCGTTCAATTTTTTAACTGACAATGAGATAGTACTAGATAATATTTGTTATATATTTATCCTCATAAAAAATAGAAATTTTTTTCAATTGACAGCTTTTTTAGTGATGTTTTAACATAGGAAAATTTCATATTGTCAATTTATGTACATTATTTGGTGATTAATATTTAAGTCTGAACGTTGCTATAATGCACCAGAGAAATCAATTCCAATTGAACTTTACGCCACCTGGAAACAGATATTGTATCAAGATAATTATCCACTAGCTACATCTACATAGTCTATCGCCATTTTAGAATCAAAATTTGGTTTCACAGTAATTGACATTTGTTAGCTTCGTTGTTATTTATATCATTATTTTTTTAAAGATAAAATCACGTTCTAAGTAATAAATCAGAAAAATGGGCGAAGATTATAATGGAGGTGAGTGCTATGAAAGTCTTTTTAGAGATCCTCGTTAAGCATACTGTGCTTTCGTCATTGTTCCCGCGTTACAGTCAGGTAAATAAGTCGGTTGGTCGTAATGGCCGGAGAACTCGCAAGATAGTAAACATATCTTGAAGCGTTTTCATTCAATATTCCGCTTAAAAGAACTTCAACTATCAAACGTTTACTTAATTTCATTGTGTATAAAATAACAATTAAGTATTTTTTGCAAGATCGTGTGAATTTATTGGTAACCTGAAAATAAGCATCCACGAAGTCATTCTTATGGGTACATTTTTCATTATATGTAACATCGTGTTACTTTAATAATTATTTCGTTTAACTTTAATAATTATACATTGCTTTTTTTTGCATTAGGAAAATAATTAATTTTTAGAATTGTAATTTTGATCATTAAGACGTAGTTATTAATCATATATAACATATATACGTATATTACACGTTAGATATGCAGATAATAATTCATATACAGAATATTTTCTACTTTTCGGATAATCTGCAAGTGAATTTGCAAGAAAAAAATGCTATATAAAGTTTGTTTATAACTGCTTTGTTATAGGTAAATATTGAATGTATATGAATATGTCTGTACATACAAAATATTCCTTAATGTGTTAGAATTGTTGAAAATCTGTAAATCTTTTCAAAATGACCACTTTTTGCATTGATGCAAACTGGTCAATATGGAATTTATTTCATTCTGAACTTCTTGATGAATTTTGATCCATCTTATCAATTGAATTGTTAATTTCTTGAATTAATTCTTCATGTATACTTACATCTATATACTGTTTAGTTTTTGTTTTTTATTCCTTGTAAGTAAAAATCAAATATAAAACTTCAAATCTGCTGTTAAAGGACAGATTATGATCAATATTTGTCTATAAAATATTAAATAAAATACATTAAAAAATTTATATTTATATTTATACATTAATGATTATATAAATAGCTTTTACTATTAATAATGACAATTTAAAATCAATCTTTATATACATTTATATGTATCTACAATTTTAATAGATCGAGACCGCCAAGACCGTGAGAAAGATAGGGACAGGGATAGAGATCGTGATAGAAGACACAGATCTCGTAGTAGAGATCGTAGAAAACGTTCTCGCTCACGTTCTAAAGATAGAAGAGATAGAAAAAGAAGTAGCTCACCTAAAAAAAGTCGCAGTTCTAGAAGGAGGAAGCCATCTCTTTATTGGGATGTTCCACCACCTGGATTTGAACATATTACTCCTTTGCAGGTAATATATGAAATTTGATTTAATTTGGTAAAGGTAAATTAGATTTTCTACTGATTTCTATTTAATTGTAATTTAAATTATAACAGTATAAAGCTATGCAAGCTGCAGGACAAATACCTGCAAATATTGTGGCAGACACACCACAGGCTGCTGTACCAGTTGTTGGTAGTACAATAACCCGCCAAGCAAGGAGATTATATGTAGGGAACATTCCATTTGGTGTGACTGAAGAAGAAATGATGGAGTTCTTTAACCAACAAATGCATCTATCTGGTCTTGCTCAAGCTGCTGGAAATCCAGTATTAGCGTGTCAGATCAATTTAGATAAAAACTTTGCTTTCTTAGAGGTACAACAAACTTTACTTGAAAATACGGTTTTGTAATTTATAATTTTTATAATTTTACGACAAAACATTCACAAAATTTCTTTTAGTTCCGTTCGATAGATGAAACAACGCAGGCTATGGCATTTGATGGTATTAATTTCAAAGGGCAAAGTTTAAAAATAAGAAGACCACATGATTATCAACCAATGCCAGGAATGACTGATAATCCAAGTATGAACGTGCCAGGTACGGTTCCCGGTATGTTTTATACATACTCCTCATATTTCTATGTGTGCTTTACATAAAAATTTATTTTTAATATTATATATAAAGCATATAATGTAATTTTTGGTTTTTTAGATTCTCCTCACAAGATCTTCATTGGTGGTTTACCCAATTACTTGAATGAGGAACAGGTATGCAAACAAGTCTATGACACAGTTTTGTTAATTGCACACCTTTGGAAGCAGTTCTTATTCACTGATGTCTACATATACATTAAAATCTATTTTATATTAATTCAATATTTTTTACAAAAGCCGTAGTAAATATTATTAAGTATACATTCAAATGGCATCAGAGATTAAAACAACTGCCTCGCTGTATAACAATGCTGCAGAATTACTTTGCTAATTCTCAGCATTGTGAGTTATACCAAAGGATTAAATTATTACATAGGTATTTAGCTATTTAGCGGAGATCAAACTTACGAAGATGTGTCATCTACTCAAATGCCATAGAGGTATGTATGTGTATCCATTGGATTCCAGCGTCGATTAGGTTTTATTTAGCTAGGTGGCTTGGATCTTAATTCCAATTGTGTGTTTGGTTAAGTCTAAAAGGGCAATGTAGAATTTCGTCTTTCGTATTTCTTCTCGAAGCGTCATAATTAGATAGTGGATAGGAAATTGGTTAGAGGCGTTGCAGCATTCAGATGGCATGCAGTCGCAGCAGTCGCATTTCTTTTACAGTCCTTTTAGGAACATCGTGGACCCAGCCAAGGGAATACGAAATTTTTCAATAAGTGACTGAAAAAGGGGTAGGAGGGGAGAAGAGGAATAGTTGTACTCAAAACAATCATGCAAAATTGTTAGGTGATAAACTCTTCGAAAGTAAAGATTCTTCATATTTTTACATCTGAAACCTCTTACAGAATGAATCTGTTTTCATGCAGTGGTGTTACATACAAAAAGATTTTTTAGGACTACAACAGACAAACCAATCAATTTTATCTAGTACATCAGCTTTTTTTGTTTTTTGTCTTGATGGGATTACAGGGTCAACACATAATCTTATGTGCATCTGGTAACAGCTCCAAGTCTTTTGGCACCTATTCTTTTCAGGAGTATCTTTTCTCTTGCAGCTGTTTTCTTTACAGGCTTTTACAGGCTTTACAGCTCTTCGTCCTTGTGCCTTGTCACGTTTACAGGTTACGCGAATGAACTTATGTGTTCAAGTATCAGTAATGTGCATTAATACAAAGACAAAGTGCAAAGAGAAAGTAAGAAAAATAAAAGTCGGTACATGTGAACTTTAAACGCCGGAAAAAGTTAATACTGTGTTATTAAAGTGGTACATTGTTGGAATAATACAATCAAAAAAATATAACCATTTGGTTATTATATAGTAACTGTGGACTGATACCAGTGCCCTTTCTCCCCATTTCTTAGCTTAGGGTTGCGCCGATCAAAAGCATTTGCTTACCACTACCACTACTTCTACCACTACTTCTACCACTACTACTACTACTGAACATGACAAAATACCACACTGCCTGGAGAGAGGCTAGCCCAGTCCCTCGAGGCAAGTACTTATATCATTTTCATGCCTTCGTATTGGGCTTATGCGATTTTTGCAGCCCTTTCAGAAGATCTCGGTTCTTCTAAACAAATGGTGCGTTTTCTAATTGGATAGTTTTTTTTATTGATAATAGCGTGTTGCTTACTCACGAAAGGATTAATAATATAATAGGTAACACTGACTGATACATAATATTCCTCAAGGATTTTTAATAGGAAATTTTCTTCTCATTATTTCTATCCTTACTTAAAATAATAGTAATTTAACCTTCTGAATAATAAGAATATCCAAATATATGCATCTGATAGTTAATACCATATAGTACTAGAATGATTATGGTATAATATCACATAACATCTCAGACAACATACATATGTGAGATTACATTTATATATTTTGATGACATGAGTTGAAGAGTTTATAAACATAAAGTTGTGTACATCACAATTACTTTGGAGTTTTGGCTCCTAAAAATGAAGATAAACAAGATTTCATTAAATGCAACATGCTGTTATCTTTGCCTCAGAGTTTTCAGTTACTTCTTGGGAATGGAAAGATGTAAGTAACTTTAAGGTACATGTTTTTTTGAAGAGAAAATTAAAATAAACGTGTGGGAAATCCACGTTTGAAGAGCAAGAGTGTTCTGATCAAAACGTTGACAAAGATCTGTTCCAGACTGGAGTAAAACTTTTGTATGTAAGAAAGACATTAAGTGAAGATATTGTACGGAATTCGAGTAGGCGAGATATAATACATATGCAATTATAGTAAATTTATTATTTTTGGATTATGCAACTTTCATATTAGTTTCACGTTAAAATTCGGAACTTACTTTCATATTTCAAAATCATTTTGAAGTTTCAGATCAGACATAATATTCATGATTTTTTAATTTGATTATAAATGAATTATTGATATAAATAAATTTTATACTTTAATCTTAAAAAATAAAACAAAGTATGTAGTGATATTTAACACGTTCGCCTGTGTATCGTCTAGTTGTATTCGAAATCTTATAAAATGTGTACAAGTTGCATGTTAGGAATCTATCGCAACATTTCGATTATACTAGCCTGATTGCAGAAATTATTGTATTATTGTTGACTTACAATCAAGTGACATAATTTTTTATTTTCCTTTTATTCATATTTTATTTTATACCTATTCATATTATGTATATCATATTTTTATTTACAACTGCAAAATCTTATTCCTGAAAATATAGATGTGACACTAATAAGAAGCACAACAATACTGATGATGATGATTATTATAGTCTTACATTTTTATGAACAATTAATCTAGTACAGTTTCTGATCGAAATATGTTTAAAATTCACTGGATCCTACATTTTCGATATGCAGTGAACGTGTTCAATTGTTATATTTTACATTGTTGTGATAATTAGAAATATTTGTATTTATTATGTCGAGAAGTGTAATAGAATTAAAAGTTGCATAGTCTATATGAATTTGAATTATGTTGATATTGCATGACTAAATAAATAATGTCATTTTTACAATACAGGTGAAGGAGTTACTGATGAGCTTTGGACAATTGAGAGCATTCAATCTAGTAAAGGATTCAGCTACAGGCCTATCCAAGGGTTATGCATTCTGCGAGTATGTCGACGTGTCAATGACTGATCAAGCGATTGCTGGATTAAATGGAATGCAGTTGGGAGACAAGAAACTAATCGTTCAACGGGCTAGCGTTGGTGCCAAGAATCCTATGATTGGTGCACAAGCTCCTGTTCAAATTCAGGTGCCAGGATTGTCAATGGTGGGCACAAGTGGACCAGCTACTGAGGTAGAATCATTTGAGTTATGGTTTCTTATTTTTATTATTTTTTTATTATATTTGCATTATATTTAATTAAAATATATTATTATACATACATAGGTTCTCTGCTTGCTAAATATGGTAACTCCTGAAGAATTAATGGAAGAGGAGGAATATGAAGATATTTTGGAAGACATCAAAGAAGAGTGTAATAAATATGGTGTGGTTCGATCTGTGGAAATACCCAGACCTATAGAAGGTGTCGACGTACCCGGATGCGGGAAAGTATGTTTTTTTAATAGATTAAAATATTAATTTATTTTAATTAACTAAAAATATATTAATAAATTTTTTAATATTCCAGGTATTTGTCGAATTTAATAGTGTGATTGATTGTCAAAAAGCGCAGCAGACTCTTACAGGACGGAAATTTAATAATCGGGTTGTTGTAACATCATATTTTGATCCTGATAAGTATCATCGCAGAGAATTTTAAAATATAGATTTTTTTTTTCTTACCGATTAATAATTGACTCCACTGTATAATAATCGAATATGAATAATCTTGTCAACAAATCCAAAAATTATCAATTCTCTTCTATTAAAATGTACAAAATAACATGCAATTGATTTTCAATTATACTGTGCATTAAATGATAACTGTTGTAATTTCGATAACATAACCATATATAAATAAATTATAATTTATAAAATTGCTAATAAGAAAAAAAAATGGTATGAAGGTAATCATTGTACAAATAGGGACATCATTTTTTCGTTAATCAGTAGTATGGTTAAAGTAATAAACCATTGTTAAAGGCAGAATTATATAAAAATAAATAATAAATTGTCACACTATATGTGCGTTCATATAAAATTTTCTTTATAAAAGTATTTGATGAATGTGATTTATATTTATAATAAATTCTGATTTAAACTGAAGTTTTGATATCTAAACTAGCTTCAGTTTGCAATGCAGGTTGATACGATGCATGACTTTCTCCAGTATCAGCATTATCAACTACAAATTTTTGTAATAAAGCATAGAGTCCACCGCCAGCAAGTAGCATACTAATTCCTATCAAAACTACTATGGACCATGCTGGTATTGCGGTACCCCCTAAAAATTTGATATATTTAATTACTGTACATGTTATCTTTTTTTTATTTTTATATTTTTTACTTACAGTAATAACGTCTAGTAATTGTTTTTCGACCTTTCAAAATTTTACGTCTCGCTTCAACTCCATCCATGAAAACTCCCATGATTACTATATTTAAAATTTTAAATAAATTATAAAAAATCGTGATACGTGATTATTTTTGATATTTATAAAAGTACGTTTTCAATAATATACGAATTTAATTTATACCTTTCATTTATTTCAATTTTGCATTTTTTATATACATTGATTTAAAATTAAAAATTTCACACATTTTGTAAATATGTATACACTGTTAGTAATAATATTTTATCAAGACACAATTTTTGGAATTGATATAATTTACAGAATTTAATTAAGATTTTAGGAATCGCTATTACTCTTGTACAAATTCTCTTTCTTCAATCAGTAATAAAGAGATAATAGTTGACGCTATAATTGATATATATTTCAATGTATACTTACGCAGGCCAATAGCAATATAACACAATAACTTTTTGGAACACATTTTTTATTTTACCAGAGTTATACACGTTGGAGAGTATATAATTAGAAAACACCTGTAGATGAAATAAGTAGGTGAATAATGCTCGAATAGACGTGAGGATATGGCAACGAACGTGTGAATCAGCGCCTTGATAAGATATTTGATAACAAATGGAAACTCATCTTATCTTATTTTTTCAAAAGATAAAAAAAAAGTCTTTTATATGAACACATATAAAAGTACTAAACAAATTATCTTTGTTAATCGGTATTTTCATTTTATTAATTATTTGTTCGTGAGCAGTGTATGAAGTATCGTACACTGAGCAAGTATTAAACAAGTAATTTAATTATTCCAATATTAAATATTTAGTATCTCTTTATATCCACTTAAAATTTATTTAATTCCTTTCTGTGAACGTAGGTAAAAAAATTAAGAAAAGTAAATCATACATAATTATTTAAATAAGTATAAAAAACAACCTGGTTTAGATAATATAAATTTATCTAAGCATAATAACGTATGTACAAGTTTGTATAAAATACTTCATCCGAATTGTACACTACTGATTTAAGACGATTTAATATTAAAATTCAATTTTTTGCGTACTTGGCATTGAATAATCGCCTAAAAAAATGTGGAAATCCAGAATGTAGTTGGAATTTTACGGTTCGGAAATATAAAGCAAATTATCGGGAGTGCAGGTCGAAGATTCAGGTGAGTATGGGTAGGATCTATATGAAACAGAAAAGATTTATAGTCAGTTAATATTTTTTAATCGCACATGCTGATTTTTTATTAAATGAAAATCAAGGAAACCAAGTTACAAGTGACAACTCATTACATAATCGTTGTAATATTAGATCGGTCGATACCAACGAGAAAATATCCTCAATTAAGTATCAAATGAAATATCCTTTTCCTAATACACGAAAAAAATATAATTATTTCATTAAAAAAAATTTAATTATATAATATTTTATTTTAATTGGTCACTAATCCTTTGAAATATTTTTATTCGAATTAAATATATAAATATATTTTAAGTAACTTTTAAAATAGCTGCTACGTAAACTTACAAACTAATATCGTAAAATAAATCGATGGTTCAGTATGCTTTAATTAATGTTTCAAAGGATTATGCGAATCAATTAAAAAAGCAGCATTTAAAATGTTGGTATCGATATTTTGTATGCTGACTCAAATAATTAAATATATTGCATCTGTTTTTTTTCTCTTTTTTTCATATAACAGTTAAAGTAATTTACGGCGAAAATAAAGCTCTATGCAACTTACGAATATAATTACCATCATAATGTAAATAGAAATAGCTGGCACATATGCAAGGCTTTCCAAAACATCACGTTTCACGATAACAAGCTCTTCTCTGCCTTAAACGGCAATACTCGTATTGTTTCTTTCCCTCTTCGTCTAGTTTAACTATCATTTTTATTTAATACATTCTCTCTCTCTCTCTCTCTCTCTCTCTTTCTCTCCCTTTCTTTTTTTCCTAGAAACTGTAGTTTCCCTGGTATAATTGCGATTTTTTCCCTTTCATTTTTTTGTTTATGTATTCAGCACCATATGATTTCGAGGAAACCTTCGCGCAAGCACACGCTCTCTCTTTTTTTTTTTTTTTTACTTTTCTATCTCTGTACCCGCGTCGTGTGCACCCTGTTGGCGCAAGAATTCCAAAGTCGCCGCATTTTATGGCAATTGCTTGACGACACTGCAATATGGTCGAAGAATATCAAATCTGCTGATTTACCGCAGAAGAGATACACTTCGACATGTACAGTATTACGTGATCTTACGTCCATCATTAACACGCAAATTCTGTGCTACTATATGTATACTTGATACATATTCAACGAAAAGAACAAATCGTCCGATAATGGAAGGAACATGCAGATAAAACGTATATGATGTATACACGTTAAGTTGTTAATTTTTTTTCCAAAGCTGGCTACATTTCGGCGCGAGTGTGGAACATGAATTTGTGCATTAATGTTTTTCAAATCGCGCACATACTGTACATATCCGGTACCGTAAAAATTTCACAAATAATAAAAGAATAAGAGACGATCAATGCAATCTTAATTTGCATTTATATTCACAGATAATTAATAGGATTAGATATCATCTAGTAACACAAATTTTCACATTGTTTATTAACATATAAATATAAGGATATAAATAAAAGAAAAAATGCAATGTATAAATGTAACTTAGAAATGTATAAATGTTATAGAAAATAAGCTGTTTTTGAAAAGAAGTTTTAATGGAATTCTATTCTTTCAACAAAATAATATGACTATTATTATGCAAATGATTGTACATATATTTCCAAATTCTAATTTGAAAAAATAAGTAAAATGTAATAATACATAACAGTAAAACGAGCATATAATATATCAAGTAAAAAAAAAATAAAGACAGATGTTCTTAATATCGTTAATCGTTCTTCGATTATTTCGTTGCATGCAAATACACTTCTTCAGAATGCATAATCCAATTTCACATGTATTAAGTTTCATACTCTTAGTTGTACGCATTCATTTTATAATTTACAGAAACATTACTCTCCCGTAGTAAACAAGTACATCCTATACATTATACCGGAGAAGTGTAGAATTAAACAAAAAAAGAAAAATAAATACAAATAATACTGTAAAACGCTTGTGTTGCATTATAAGTACCCCGCAACTGTTCGTGATAATACTAAGTACTTATGACATGTCAAAACAAAAATGAAGAATATACAAAGATAATTTTTCTCTATAAATATAAATAATAATCATCGAGAATCAATGAGAATTGAAATGACTATAGATAATAGAATGTCTAATAATTTTCTATAATTTATATGCTACATTAGAAGGTCTATAACATTGGATATTAATTGTCATAGGTTTTTCATCTATGAATTCTTGTGCCTAAACTACAACCTATTTGCAATCAAAATCATGTCGTAATTTCATTTGAAATATTGTATTATTGGATGGCATAATGATTTTTAAGATACTTGGAGAATAATGAGAATTTTTATAAGGTCAGTGGCGTTATTACTCGAAGTGTACTCATTGAAATGCGTTTAGAATTAATAACTATTATTATCGTGTTCCTTAAACTCTATTGCGAAGTGTTTTCATGTTGGCTCAACGTATTGCTACCAGTTATTTTATTTCTTCATTTCAATTTTTATCACCTTTTATAAAGTGACAATATTTTCTCGATGATACAATATCGAGATTAGTTTCACCCTTCTTATTTCTTTCTTTTAATAATTCAGTCAAGTTATTACTGCGTCATCTATTTTCATTATAGAATTACAGAACTAAATGCATATATGGTATCCAGTGGCCAAATATTAATTTTATATCAGTAAATATTATAATATTATATATTATATATAATATATATATTTGTTTATTATTATATATTCTATATAACATCATAAATTAAGTCGTGTAATATGTCTCAGAAATTTACGAAATTGTATACAAGAACAAGATCTTATTTGCTCGTACGTGCCTATATGATCGTATTTATTACGTTACTATGTGGTTACTCTATAGTAACAAATATCTCTAGCTGCGGAGCAATGACAGCGGCGTTTCTGTTAAAAGTTATCGCTTGTTAGTAGTGGTGTTCATATTAATAAATAGATACCGCGAACATCATTGAACATATCTTTAATATATTGATAATAAATTAATTGAATGTATTACCGAATAATCGTGTATTTTTTACGAACTAAATTTTTAGGTTTAAACTTAGGTTTACCTTGTGGCTAGCTGATAGTATGATCCAATGTAGTTTTCTTCGTTTCACTCAGCGACGCAGAAGAAATACTCGAGGAAGATGAAACACGGTCTTTCGATAGACTATTTTTTGGAGTTAATTTGCAACTTCCTTCACTGTTCTTTTTTTTACTGTCGTATTCCACTGCATCACTGTCAGCAGTTTTACTTATTTCATGAGCTTCACTTTTCGTTTGTTCTTTGCTATTTTCCCAAGCATGTGCATCGTTGTTCCTTTCTATAATACCTTCTTTGATCAGTACTTCTTTGAATGTGGCTAAAGTTTTACGGAGTGTTATACAGAAACCTCTAGATGCTGGTATCAATGGAAATTCTGGTAAAATTTTATTATCTAGATAAAGGAAAAATTATAAAAATTATTAAGTTCATATTTTTACAGATTAATGAAAAGAAAAATTATAACATACCGACATCGGATATCTGTTTAAAAGTAGTAGGTGTTACTGGAGATAACGGATGTTGATTATTATGCTGTTCAGAAATTTCCATCCATAACTCTAAACGTTGTAATAATTTTTTTGCATGCCTCTTGAAATGTTCAATAATAATATCTTTAAATACAGGCGGTGGATGTTGTAATAATTTAGTTTGTGCTTGAACTAATTTCAGTACGACCATTTCATTGTACATTCTTGAATTTTCTTTTCCTTGTTGAGAACCCTTTTGTTTATCAAAACCAGCTTCATTAAAATATGGTTCGGGTACAAGAATAAGGCCTTGGATTGAGACTATAACTTGCAACAGAGTTGAAGAACTTGTCCATACTTCCGTTCCTCGACCAGACCACGTTCCGAGTAAACTTACACATACTTTACCATCCTCGTATAGATTCGGATTCAACCTATCATTACAGTAAGAAATATAATGGCAAAGTGGCGGAGCAGCAGGATAATCGGCAGACAATTGAAAATCAAAAAGAAAAAGACCATCTTCGTATGGTGTTTTCTCAGGTCCACGAAACATTACGGAATATAAATCTATTCTATCTTCAAATCCTTTTACCCATATACCGGGTGGAAGTGAACTCTTCAAGAGTTTTAATTCCTTGGAAACAGTTCTGAAAAAGTTTGTAGGATCTGTAGGTTGAAACATTGTTAATTTAAATTTATGACTATCTGGAGCTGTCTCTTCTATAGAAAATCCTTCTCCTTCTGCGTATATTGGCGGTGGAATTTCTATAGAATATTCTGATGGTTCCTGTAATAATTCTATACGTTTTTCTTCTTCTTTCTTTTGTTTTTTCAAAGGTGACGATCCTTTCTCGGCATCAGACAATGACATCTTCGATAATCCAAATCGTCTAGAAACTTCTGCATGCGCCAGTACAAGTTGCGCTTTTATTAAAGTACACAATTTAACGCAAACTTGAGAACTAGCTACGTGAGAACTTGTTATGTGCATCTGAGTTTTGGAAGTTTTATTCATTTCTGGTTTTTCTATTGAACGATCAGGTACGTTATTCACATCTTCGCTAAGCAGAAATTCCCCGCTTGACTCGCTAGAACCAGATTCTTTTTTCGAATTTTCTGCAGAATACAATCCAGAATCTTCAGGATTAGGATTAACATTAATAAATAAACGATCAATTGATTCTTCACCTTTTACGTTTTGTTTATTGGCAACTTCGTCGTTTTTATCATCAACGGGTTCTGTCATATCTGTCACAGTGGTAATGATCTTTTCACAAGGATTACTTCCTGATTGTACGTTGCTGGAATTTTCTATATTGTTCTTTTCTACATTTTCTTCTGATCCATCGGATTTTTGTGTAAACAATCTTGTTACTTGATCTGCCATACGTTGTGCTACGTTTGCACGGCCACGTTCTCGGACTCTTTCCAAAAGTCCTTGAAAATGACACTCATGGAAGAAAGAGGTACCCATAAGTTTATCCATGTATCGACAATCTTTATAAACTTCTAATAATTTTCTCATAACTTCGGTTGTCTGAAGTGAGGGATTTTGAGTGAAAATCTCTTCGAGTCTAGACATTGCAATACGAGCTTTCTCAATGTGTGCGGCTAGTTTTGGCTTTATATTTTCTAATTCTGTTTGTTCTGTACCATCGGTATCAGCGATAAACCAGTCTTCCAATTCCGTTTCCCATGACGCGTCAGAGGATACATCGTCCCAGAGTTCGCCTTCATCACTATCATATTCACCTACTTTATACAAATCTTGAGGCCAACACATACTTACATGTCCATCAACCCACCACACTTTAACTCGTCCTTCTGGATAATTATCTAACACTTGACCAGCAGTACAACCAGAGTCTTCTCCTTCAAAATTAGCTATTCGAATTACCAATGTACCTGGTCTATATTGAAAGTCTGGATGATCTTTTAAATCGTATACACTGACTTCACGTTCTTCTAGCAAAGTTGGTCTAACAAATATTTATCGAGTTTAATATATTCTTTTAATAGACATCATTGGTTACGACTAAAAATATAAACATACTTACTGTGGACTTTGACTAGAAGTATACGTTTTAAACCACTTTATTTTAGCTGTTCTACCTTGGTGATCAACACTTTGAACTACACCATACATTCTAGATTCTTCCTTTTGATCAACTACAAAATCACCTGGGAAGAATTCTTTATCGTCTAAGTGATGAATTGGATAAAGTTGCGTAGATGGAATACCTTAAAATAGAAATAGAAATTATACAAATTTCACGTTACAGAAACGTAATATATAAAAGCTAAAATAATTATTTATAAAATTTACCAAATTCTACCGAACCATCTTGCCATACAACATTAGCTTTTGTACTCGTAGATAATGTTTCTACAACAATTTTAGTTCCTGGAATTAACGGAACTGGTGGAACTTTTTTCTTTGCTTTGCATAACTTTTTCTTCTTCAGTACCTTTGTCATTAAAGCTGGGCTTTTTTTCTTTTTACCCATAGATGACATACTGGAACATCCACTAGATATCTGCAAATATAATAAAATGAAATATTACTGTCTTACGGTTATCATTAATTGGATAATAATTTAAAATTTCAATAGAAAATCTTACTGAAGCACTATCACTCTGTGATCCAGTATCTTCTGTATCCCAATCATCTGAACTCTCAGTATTTTGGTTTTGTACTGGAGGCATTAGAGTATTATTGCTTGTCATATTTTGTAAATTGTTAATGTTATTATGAGCATTCTCCTCTAATGTTTGGTGTTCATTAACCTTATCTTTGTCCTTCTCCTTTTTCTTATCTTCAGCTGGTTTCGTTACACTGATATTTGGACGTGTTTTCTTTGGGCTATGCTTAGGAACTTGAAAAATATCTCTTTGTTGTTTTCTCCATTGTTCTCGTGTAATGACATTTTCATCACTTTTAATTACATAGAAATTTCGATCTCCCACTTGTACAGTAGATGGTTCAAAAACATTCAATAATTTTAATTTCTTTAAATTCTCTCCTTCAACTACGAATTTTGGTTGAGCTTGATCTGACCAAGCGCCATCCTTTGAATATGCTCTACACTGCCAATGCACACCCACCCAATCCGTTTCTACCTTTTCTACAATTACTTTCGTTAGTTTCTGTGGTTTAGATTTCCTCTTTGCTTTCATTTCTTTTGTACATGTAATCCATTGTGCATCTTCTAGGCAGTGAACTGGTCCCCACAAACTTTGACCAGGATAAAATTCAGAAGAATGAGGAAAATCATTATCCTAAAAAACGTTCATTGTAGTTTCAATCAAATAATTATTCTGGCTTTAACTCTTACATTGTCACGTCTCTCTTCTAATTGCCCTACGACACGAGAATCCGTTTCATTTATAACACAACGAGATCCATCGGGTGTAGTGAGCCACAACTTAAAATTTGCCATTTTTATACCACCGACCCATGAATCCATGCAAACAGCTATGTCCGTTGCAAATTCCTATAAACATAAACTATTAATCATCGTATATAAGTTAGCTTGACAAGCACAACAATCATAAACATATAATTACATACTTCCAAAGGAACTAAATCTTCACTCCTAATATTCGTAAGCACTTGCTTAGTACCAATCACTTGAACACAAGCAGTAAGCTCAATATCCCTACAGTATCCTCTCTGGGTATCCTTCCCTTTGATCATTCGACGTACAACATCCCCTGGCATAAGCGTTCTGTCTGCTAAATGTACCTACAAGTAAAGAAATAAATTTTCAAAAAAAAAAAACTTGCTCATCCTCGCAGTGGTAAACGGTAACAGTCATTCACGTCGGACGTGAATTCAAATTTAAATTTAACATTCAGTTGCAGATATCGTTGAGATGACAGGTGTCGCTTTTCGCGAAATTAAAAACAAATACAACAAAAGGGAAAAAAGTAACGTGATAAAACGTTAAGAATCAGCGTTAACGTGCGGCCTGCTACTTTTAAGGCGATGTCCTATCGTGTTATCAGACGAATTAAATACCTTCTTCGAGCTGACCAGTTCCTCGACACCGGAGGGATGCCAGACCACGCGAATTTCGCCCTTTTTCCTTTTCGGACTCTCCTCGCTGTCAGAACTCTCGTCGGACAAATCCTGATCGTCATTTTCCATAACGATCCCGAACACAATGTTGCCTTTCTTGTCCACGCGATAGACGACATCCTCGTAAAAGTACTGACACTCTACGCCAAAGTTCGTAGCCATCTTTCCTCTAATCCACTGAATAACTCGCTCCCTGCCGACGACGGCTGACAGAAGGTTACACGGCGCAACGGTTACGGCGCACGTCGCAAGCAAGGAACTTGGCTCCGACCCCGAATCCGACCCCAACCCCGACACTTAAAAACTACCGATTTTAGATGCCTCTTAACTGTTCTCGCCGATTCGAGATGCTATCGACTCCCTTCAAATCGAGACTTGCCCCCAATCGTTCTCACAATCGTCATTTCGAAGCATCTGTCAAAATGCACGATCTTTCATCCGCTATATGCTTTGCGAAAGTATAACATATTCGGAGAGTACAAGTTACAGTGTGGCTACAAGTACGAAATATGTGTACGTATGACATGTATGCGCATATATGTTTAGTTAGTAAATTTATCTTGTTTGAAAACGCTTCATACGCGATTTAAAACATGTATATATATGTATATATCATTTGAAATAAGAAAGAGCAGTAGTACCTCCGACACGTGTAAAAAAAAAAAATTCGGTACATAACGGTATCTATACCAAATTAAAATGTGCATAGATTTTTTCGATGAATTTATTCGATTTTTAATATATGTACAGGATTGATTGTTAGATAAATGTGTATATTTATCGTCTATGGTTTTTAAATATCTAAACTATGGTAAAGAGCAACTTATTTAATTGAATAAATATAATTGCATTATATGCACGCGAGTCATTTTATTTTAGCAAATAAAACAATCAACCTTATTTACTTTATTTATTTTTTAAGGAAACTATTTTGTTTTAACGTGATTGGATCAACTTTTATTAAGAATGTTCTAAGGAATAAAACAAATAAAGAGTACAAATAATTCGCTTGGAGCTGACTAGATATGTGAATAGAAATGTTTTAGGAACATATTACATAAAATTCGTTTTCATTGTCATGGAATAATTTTATAGAAAATTAAACTGCGAAATGAGTGCGTTGGAATCCTTGACCCAAACTTTGCAATATCGTTTGTACTTCGCTCTCATTCTCGTGATAAAAGATGTATGCATCAAATTTTGTAGCTACATTGCAATTAGTATCTCTGTAAAATAAATTAAAAGCATATTGTTATTGTTAATTATTGTTACTTATACATATTAGCACAAAAATATATGTAAGATATTGTCTTACCCTGCAATAAATGCAAAATAATTTGGAATGTTTCCAGTACGACCACAAGATGAGATTTCCATGTAACTCTGTTTACATATTACCTAAATATTTAAATCGAATGTATTGTTATGGCATTATAATCTTGTGTATAATGAAAATTTGTATTTACATACTGTATCATCTAAGTCCTGAGTCACTCTAATTCCTAGTTCTAAACATTCAAATTTCACAGGCACTGATTTCATTTCTTCTGATTTTAGTATTTGCAAAATTGCCCTTTCTATTTGTTTAACATCGCCTTTTGTACCAACATATATTGAACCACAATATTTCACAGAAAATCCAGCATTTAGTTGATTTTCTGGCTTGATCATTTCAATTTTTTCATCATCCATTTCGGAATTGAATCTTTTTAAGATTTTTTTCAACCCCTCAATGCCTGAGCTTTTTATAAGATGAACAATTGGTGCATATAACTCGCAGGTCTTTTTATTGCGATGCTGAAAACGCATAATGCGCTGGTATTGTGTTCTTTAATATTATACTATTTTAATGAACTTACTTTGATTACATATAAAGACACAGGCAGACCCATAGTTTTTCTCATAAATTTACGTAACTGTCCTTTGGTATTTGATGTTATAGCATTTCCATTTATTTCATCTAATATATCTCCAATTTCAACTTTATCCTAATAAAAGTAAAAATCAAAAGACAATTAGAATCTTCAATGAATTTGCTATATATTTATGCAGAAATTAAAAAAATATATATATGTATTACATCCTCTGCAGCTACAGAGTTTTTATCCAAATTAATAATTAAAGCCCTTCCTTTGGTAAAACTGTAACGATACAAAATGTTATTCGTAATCAATATCTATCTTTGCCAATGCAAATTTCTTACCATACAGAAATACCTAAATTTTTACATGGTACTAATTCTAAGGCCAAACATTCTGGTAATTGCCAAGTCTCATCCAAAAAACTACAATTTCGTAAATCTAATTTAAAATTTAATTTACTGCTTTGCAATAATACTGATAAAAATATCTCTCCAAGAATATTATCTCCCAGAATACTGTTTCTATCATAATAATCAGTAGCCATTAATGGTGTTCTGACCTGCAAAGTACCACAAAAAATTAAAAATTAACACATGTTATTTTAAGATATAAAATACAATTTATACATACTAGCATTTCAACTGGCATATGAAGGCACTTTCGCATCAAACATGTTTTAATTAAAAGCCTAAGACGTCCAGTAGGTGTATATACTTTTGAATTTTGTTTGACTTGTTCAACTACCAAAGAGTAAGTACAAGAGGAACTAAAATATTATTAATGTTTTAACATAATAAAATATTAAAACAGTAAGACATTAAAGATTTATGAATGTAAATAATTTTGCTTTCTTAAAGTATAATAATAAGAAGAGAATTAAGCAATTTATAAGAAGTTATACGTTCTTTGCAAACCTAAAATGTTTTTCTGCGATTTCTTCCATCCAATACCAAGCATCAGGTAATTTTGGAAAACTTATAGGATTTAAACGCATCAGTATACCTTTTTGAAAACATTTTTCTAAACTTTTGAAAAAGAAAAGCAGATCTTCATTTTCTTCATCAATCCCGATGTTACTTTCAGTTAATTTTCTTGTCCACCCTGAAATTATTTTCGTTTCTTAATGTTTTATTTATCATGTAATATCATGTTGTCTTGTTCAGTGATATACAAAATCTATAATATAAGGATAAAAATATGGTATATTTTTTATGATTTATTAAGCTTTTATTAAGTTTTTACATTTTATTTAAATTTCATTCATACTTTTATTTATTAAAATAGAAAATAATAACAATGTTCTTTGAAAATTAATTCAATAATTTTATAAATTTCGTAAATGTTTAAAAATTTTAAAACGAGGATATGAAATTTGGATAAATGACAAGATTTGTACAAAAATACATTGTACAATAATCCTGTTACTAAAGTGATTTTCTAACCTATAAAAATGTTACTTGAATGTTGCTCAATTACCTTTCAATTCTTTAATGAGAGGATTTGAGACCGTCATTGCATTATTAATTCAGATTATTGTCAAATATCGGCAATTAGTTTACTACGTAAACTTAGATGTAAATTAGAAATTCTTAACGATCAAAAGAAATGTCATTTTGATCGTATATTATTGTTTTAACAATATGAAAGCATGCTTCTCATACATACATCAAACGTCACTTTACTGATTCTACTGCATTTGTGATGCGCATGTTGTATGCACATACACGTGAAATGATAGCATTGCATTGACGATAAAACGTGCGTTCACACGTACATGACTGCACACATAAAGAACGCTGATTGATAACGTGTATTAATATCAATTTTATTCATTCGAAGTATATCAAGTACGTTCGTATCTTTACTGAGCTGCGGATTACATGAATTGAAATTTTTTACTGCTAGTTTTTAGAGTTCATTGTATCTATTTTTTTACAATTTTTATACATTTTGTACGTGTGTTAAGTGACATTGTATAACTGGAAAAAATGGCTACAATTGTGCTCAATGTGAATGAAATTAAATCGAAAGCTTTAGATGCTTTTGTGAATAAATTTGGAGAGAATGCGAATATTTGTGTATGCGCACCCGGTCGCGTGAATTTAATCGGGGAGCATACTGATTACAACGAAGGTTTCGTTTTACCGATGGTAAAATTTTGGACGTTTTTATATTTCGTAATACAACTGAATTATTATCAATAAAATTATCAATTTCAGATTAAACCGGGTTATTATACGAATATTCATATTTAGTATAATAAGAATAATTAAATCCTAATGAAAATAATTCTAATTACAAATTATTTAAGTCCATTTTTTGTTAACGTATTACATTTAAAAATTTAGTCAGCATCAGCAACAAAAAATTTGTACTTGTTTTAATAAATAAATTTAATAAAAAAAGAAAATAAACTTTTCAATAGGATAAATTTTTGAAATTTGCAACAGATTTATTTTGTGAATTGTCGAGGAAAATTTTTAATTACAACGATACATTAATCATTCTTATCTCGTTAATTCTTATCATATTATTATCGTATAATCTTTTGTAACTTTGTACTGATACGAGTTACCGAATTTTTTACGAAATACATTCCGTTATAATACATGTGTGTATAATTTTCACAATAACTGAATATGAGAAATAAATTATTAAAAATTATTAATTTTAATAATTTTCATATAGAATTTATTAATTTTATAATATACATTAGTTTGAATTTTCGAAATTTATTTATATATAATTTTTCAAAATTTTTTTATTTTCATTTAAAATCACGTTTAAAATTGTTATATTGAAAGTTTAATTTATTACTAAATAAAATATGTAATTATTAAATTATTTAAAATATTATTATGAATACTGTTGATTCAGTACATAACATTTTTAAAATTTTTAGGCATTACCTATGATTACACTCATTGTTGGAAAGCGTAATAATTTGGAAAAATGTAATATTGTATCTCTCAGTGAGGTAGTTAATTCTGAAAATTATGTTGAATTTGAAGTTAGCTCTCGTAAGAATATAAAACCAGGAGAACCAAAATGGGCTAATTATGTTAAAGGATGTATCGCAAATTTTACTTGTTAGTTTACTTATTATTTGAATTTTTAGCAAATGTAATAAAACATGTATATTGTATAGTTTATTTAAAATGTTAATTTTAGGTGATGTGCCATCTTTTAATGCTGTGATTGTATCCTCTGTACCAGTTGGTGCTGGTTTAAGTAGTTCAGCTGCATTAGAAGTTGCTACTTACACATTTTTGGAAGCGTTAACTGGTGTAAAATCAGAAAAACCAGAGGATAAAGTATAATGACATGATATATTGTATTAATTTCAATTTTATTAAAGTAGAAAGGTATAAAGGACATATTTTTCAGGCTTTAGCATGTCAACGTGCTGAACATGATTTTGCTGGAGTTCCATGTGGTATTATGGATCAATTTATTTCTGTAATGGGCAAAGAAGGCCATGCTCTTCTTCTCGATTGCAGAGATCTTAGTATTAAACAAATACCTATATCACAAATAAACGATTATGTTTTTTTAATTACTAATTCTAATGCTCCTCACAAATTAAGTTCAAGTGCATATTGTAAACGTAGAGACTGTTGCTATGAAGCTGCAAAAAGATTAAATAAAGGAAGTTTACGTGAAGTATCTATGAGTGATATTCAAGGTAGGAAAAGAAACACAACTACATTAAAAAGCAAAATTATTTATGTAATAATTACTTTTTACAATGTACTTTATTTCTAGTTTTAAAATCACAAAATGTACCTGAAGAAATGATAAAACGAACTCGTCATGTAATCACAGAAATTCAAAGAACAATCGAAGCTGTAGATGCTCTTCAAAAAGGAGATTTTAATAAATTTGGACAGTTAATGAACGAAAGTCACGATTCTTTGAAAAATGATTATGAAGTTTCTTCTATTGAGTTAGATACTTTGGTAGCAGCAGCAAGAGAGATAAATGGTGTCTTAGGAAGTCGTTTAACTGGTGCTGGTTTTGGAGGATGTACAGTAACCTTATTGAAAAAAGATGTAATTGATGAAACAATTAATCACATAAAAGCCAAGTTAGATCTTTTCTTAAATGTTTCTATAACTCTTTTTAGTTTGATAACAATGTTTATGAACATTGTTTTATTACAGGTATTCTGGAAATGCAACATTTTATATAGCAACTCCTGCAATGGGTGCAAGAATTTTGGATATAAATTAAGTAATGTAATAACGGAAAGTAAATTATCTAATTTTAATCATATTATTAAAATAATTAAACAAAATTTATAATTTACTTTCATAGCTATATTAAAGAAATTTGTTTAATTTTTTAAAAATGTTATATTGTTAGAGAAATATATATATCTATTAGTAACATTTCATTGAAATTTTAATTTTTATGATATATATATATATATATCTGAGACTTAAAATAACGAGCTTGAAATATTTAGAGAAAGAGTTTAAAGCTAAGACTTTTTGAAATACTATGAAATATGCGTATTAAATATAATAAGATGTTATTTTTAAATAGCACATACAATAATACGTTTGTATAAAAAGTCATGTAAAATACTATTGACAGTGTACATGGATTGATGTCAATATATTCATTTATCTTTTTATATACATATATAATCCTATTTATATATTTATAATCCTAGTATATGTAACGAAATAGTGTAATGTTTCATATATTCACATATTCCTATAATATTTAGCATTTACACGTCGAATTTGTCGAGTTTTACCAAACATATAAATACGCTTTTCGCAAGTATTAAAGTTATTTTACATGTGTATCATACACATCTTTAATAACAGAGAATTTTTATTTTATTATACACACGTGAAACATCGTCGTATAATTCAATATTGTATTGAAAGAGTTAATTTTCATTTATAACAGTGACTAAAATATATTGCTGCTCTTTATCATAATGTTACTTATATTATTATTCACTTTCGTGTTAATACAATACTAATACTCAGAAAATAAAAAATAAAAATATTTCTAAGACGAAATTTACAGAGGTCTAAATATGGTCAGTACCTGTTTATAGTAGCCGACGAAACATTTGAACATTCTGAAAATAAACGAAGGTTTTATACAAATGAAATACATTTTTACATAAAATTGAACAAATCGAACATTCAATTGCTCGTTACATTATGTAAACGTAATTTTAATTACCTCTCAAACAGTCATTAAGTTCAAGTTCGCTAGAGCTACACTTTAAACCAGAAGGTTTTACACCTTTGAAAATTTCAATAATACTCGGTTTCAAATTATGGAAAATTAAAGGTTGTCCACGTTTAGAAAAATCTTCCGTCAAACTTTTAATTCCCTAAATAATAAATATGTAATTATAGTACATATAATAACGTCACGATAGTTAATTTGGTAATTTTGCAACTTGAATTTTGTTACAGCGAATTTACAAATATTTTATAATGTACCTTTGCGGCGGTAAAGTCCGCTGCTTGAATATGCGTAGAATCTATGACAACAGGTACTGCGGTTCCTTGTTTCGTACCCTGTTTACTAATTATAGCTCGCACATATTCAACGCTTGGGAAAACGAGGCTTCTGTCCGGCGTTATGACAAGATATTCACAACCATTAATACTCTGAAACGAAAAATATCATATTATTAAACAAATGGCTAGAAATATTAAAAGTGAAACAAAAATCAAAATATTTTCATATCTTTTTTTATTTGTATTGAGATTTTACTACTTTACTAGATAGAGAAAATATGTCAACAAGTATGTTGTAATACGAAAACGTTCTTACAGTATCTTTATGAACTCTTAACGACGGTCTCGCTGAAGCGTAAAGTAGGAACAGAACATTTATACCGATACCAATCACTATACCTAGCTCAAGTCTTATAAAAAGACAGCATAAAAATGTAACCACTGCTGGTATGAGATCAATCTCTGAAAAAGAAGCGATGTGTTACGTTAATTTGATCTTTACACAGCACGGTATTTTTATATCTTATAAAATATTAAAACTATTTACAATATTTGTTCGTATTGATAATTACTTATTAAAATTCTATTTCAATTAATATAAGGACGTACTTTTTGTTCGCCATATGGGCTTGATCACGTGTAATTCCACCATAAAGACGACCGCAACGATGATGATTGCAGCAAGGGCGGCGTTAGGAACAAAGTATAAATACGGGGTGAGGAACTGAAGCGATACGAGTACTAAGAGACCGGTATAAACACCGCCGAGAGTTGTCTTTACTCCGGACGAGTGGTTTACTGCACCTCGGCTGAGTCCACCGCTGACGGGAATCGAAGAAACGAAAGCCGAAACAACGTTGCACACGCCCAAAGCTAACATTTCTTGAGTTGCATCGATTGGTTTACCTTCGTCTATAAAAAAAAAAAAACACAATTTTTCGTTGATATCAAAGAATAAAATTGAGAGATCGAAATTTATGAATTGTATTACATTAAGTTTGTGATTATGATCATTGGAAAACAAATCCTGTGCTCTTGGCAAGTAACAAATCTGAGTAATGAGTCATTTTTAAAAATAGCCTCCATATATCCACACTTAAAATTCAAATATTTTGCACACGTACAGAGAAAGTCTACTCAAACTTGTGATATAATAAGATTCATAAAATAAAAAAGAAGAAGAGATTTAATTTCCACCGTATTAAGATAAGATTTGGTCTGATTAAATTTTCTACTTTTTTCTAAATTTTCTCCCTGAATTTACTTATTAAGAAAAATTTTATTTAGAGAAAAATGATGAACTGCGTGGCGTGATGAGAATGGTGTGAGACTTACTGAAGACTTTGGCAATAGAGATGGTCTCCAAGAGACTCAACAGAGGAATGACTAGACATCCAGAGCCAAGGGCTGAAACCATGTCGACGAAGTTGTAAGTTTCGTTCTTGTGATAGGTTTGAAACGGTGGCAATTGAAATTCCGGAAGTCCTTGTTTAACGTGGCCAGTCAGTTTGACAGGTGAGGAACCCAAGTGACTTTCGAGAAGCCAACAGATAACACCGGAAACGAGGACCACGAGAATGTTGCGTCCCGTCGACAACAACCAAAATGTTTTTTGCATAATTACATGTGCCCTTGACGATATTTTCGCAGCCTTTTGCATAAACGGTATGTCTTTGATTTTCTGAAACAAATCGTACCCTTGCTCACTCGATTTTAAATTGCAAATTGTTAAAGAGACAAGATTTCAGTAATCAAAATTCGTGAATAATTTTAATTCGAATCGTGCGTATAAATTTTTGCGTACAAATGTGTATGCGCGTGAAGACACGTTTTCGATTAACGTTATTCAAGAAATGTCGAGCGTTCATTTATTTATTGAATATTGTGTATCTATATATAAACTATACATATAATCGCAAGGAATTAATTTATGAATAAAATGATTCGAGCTACTGCAATATATATGTATGTATGTATGTATGTATGTATAAACAGATAGGCAGAAAATGCAAAGAAAAATGAATCTACTTTGGTGCTCACTTGAAGAATTACTTTTACGAAGATTAACTTGTGTTACTTTCCACTGAATAATCAGATGACACTAACTCTGAGAAGAAGAAGGACGATTATACAAGTGATGCCCAGCACAGTGTCCCAGAGTTTCGTCTCCCCAATTTTCTCGATTATATTGTGCCATACTTCGAGGAATTTACTGCCGTTGATACTAATGCCTAGAATATCTTTCACTTGGCTAGTAGCTATGATGATTGCTGCCGCTGATGTGAAACCAACAGAAACTGGTCCCGAGATAAAGTCCAAGAGAAAACCTAATGAACGTGAGAAGATGTGTAAAAATATATTTAAAATAAGATATAATTGGCAAGTTTTGTCAGATATTATTTATAATATATTATATATAATATATATTATATATATATATTTAATATTTATATTATAAATAAAATACATATATATAATAATATTTTATTTATAATATTATATAAAACATATAAAAATTTAATATTTTTTATAATTAAGGTAAGGTATTAAATATATAATTTTATATATATATATATAATATATTATATATAATTATATTTAATACTTATATTATAAATAAAATATACATATATAATAATATTTTATTTATAATATTATATAAAACATGCTTAACGTATCAAAAGGCTTCCAAGAGTTTGTCGCGTTTCAATTGAAAAAATGATGGATAATTGAGCTACCTAAATGTAAGATCCCCATCAAGAAACAGATACAGCCAGAGATGAGGGTTAAAAGGACCGCAAAGTCAGGTCCTAAATTAGATTTTTGTAATGTTTCTCTTATTAATATCGCGATGATCGCAGTCGGTCCAACTGGAACGTCTTTACAGGATCCAAAGATTGTATATATGAAGGATGCCATGAAAGATGAATATAGACCATACTGTAAGAGAAGAAAATCATAATGCAATTAGATATACATACTTCAATACAGTTTCATTCAACTTATTCATTATGCTATTATAGAAAAAGAATTTTTAATTCTTACAGAGTAATAAAATTTTTTATTTCTCTATCCTTTTTTAAATTTACTTTAACGTAATTTAAAGAGATATTTTACATATCACAAAAAAATATATATATATTAAGAAGTAGCAATACGATATCAAGTTGTAATTAAATTTATTTAAAGAAGACTTCTCAAGAAAGTGAACGAGTAAACTTTCTTACCTGTAAAGGAAGTCCTGCGACATTCGCATAAGCTATTGCCTGCGGTATAACGGTAAGGCCTACGGTAATACCGGCAACGAGATCACATACTATATAGTCTTTGCGATACTTTGGCAACCACGCTGCTATAGGTACCCTTTTGTAAAATAATTTTTTCGTGCAAGATCTTTTGATTCGTTGATACAACCACTTCCTCTCCATAGAGCATAACAGATTCTTTTCACGATTCTGTGAAACTGAAACAAATGTATGTTAAATCTTTCTAAATTTTTTTACAATCAGCGCAGAATGAAGCAATGAAGATGTAAAATATAAATAATATATATGTAATTTTATATATTTATAAAATATATAAGTATATAAATATAAATATATATAAATATATAAATATATAAAGATAAATATATATAAATATATAAATATATAAAGATAAATATATATAAATATATAAATATACAAAGATAAATATATATATAAATATATAAAATACATAAATAATAATCTTTTATAAAATTTTTCTTTTATAGATATCTTTCGTAAAAATTTCACAGGAAGATTATATTGTTCAATGCGAAATTTTTCAAACAGAGCCGATGATCTCTACAAATCGAGTAGCGAGATTATCGCGCAATTAGCTACAACATGTTAATCGTGAGCGTATTGAAAAGAAATCGTTGATACGTGCACGGAATTTCGGATGGACGTACCGATTCCTCAAGTCGCGTGACCAAACGTGTTCAAACAGCGAGTTTAGAAAGTAACCACGGCCGGAATCAAAGCAAAATAAGGAAACGGTGAAGTAAAAATCGTCAGTCACGAGGCATCCACGTGTTAAGATTACTATAATGCATGCACGAGCGTACAAGTTGCCGCGATTACCGGATAACTGATGGTCAGTGCATCCAAAAGTGAAGTTAGGTTTAACTGGTTTAACTGGTTTCGCAATAGCAGCACGTGATGCTGGCTAGAAATAAATAGTTTTAAAAATTGATTCCCATTCAAATGACGTTAAATTTCACCGGACTGACAGCTTTCGGTCTGTTTCCGTTCTTTGAAGGTAACTTGTAACGAGCTTTTTCCTCTTCCTAAAGAAGTTCGAACGAATAAAAAAAAAGTACGAATCTCTTCATTATCGTGCAACAGGTGGGAAAGTAGGGATGCTATTTTATTTTCGAAAATCAAGTGTCAACATTCGGACGTTTCTGAAAACATTGAAAAAAATTTCTCCACCACGATCTTGAAGATTGAAGCAATGACCTCTCAAAGCTCTGAAAAATTCAACAAATTTCGTCGTCCAATCCTAACGATCAAAGTTGAATAAAATGATGATGAAAAAAAAAAAATCTATGGGATATTGTAAAGGAAACATTTCGAAAAATCTTCAGAAATGATGAATCAAAAATTTGCCAATGTTTTCACAGACGTTTGAATTTCGATAACTTTTTGAGAATGAAACTATTCTCACTGCACGATGTAAAAATATTTTTAGAGAACAAAAAGAAAAAAAAAAAAAAAACGAACTCTGGACTGTCGAAATAGAGGCTTTATACTTTAAAGTGAAACCAACTTTCGGCTTGTTATATAATTTTTTGTTTACTGAAATTGTAACAGTTCAAAGCGTCGTTCAGTTCCTCGCTGGTCATCACGCTCTGTACCTTTCATTTCTAATTATTATCAACGTTTGTAATCTTTCTTACTTGCAGAATAAAAACGTGAAAATAGAAAAAATTCTATTTCAAATCCTACTTTCAATTGTTGTAACATCGACTTTATTTTTCTTTCTTTTACTAGAACGCATCGTTTCACGCGCTTTCACGAGACGGTAAATTTTAATTCTAGAATAGTCCTCGAATAGTAAATAAAATAGATTCTAAATTCACCAGAGAAGCAACAACTTTTCGTGAACCGATTGCTAGCTACAATTTATGGAATGCGGTGACGTGATGATCTCTGAATTTATGGACATCATCTTCGAATATAGATACACATACGTCCTCTTTCGTGACGAGATAACTGGTACGTGAGTTGTTATTATGTCTTTACAAGAGTCAACGTGAATTTCCTAATGCGAAAGTACAGTTTAATAAATTCCCAATGACGAATAAATTAAGACAAAATACTGGCACCGATAACGATCAATCTGATAAATTATCTGCGGTAACAATCACTTTGCGTTTTAATATGCAAATCTGATACTGACAATGCTGCAGCGAAACTATAATTTTTCTTTTTTTTCATCAGACACATATATACGTAAATCTTGCTTTATCTATCACTGATCTAGCAGTGATTTTTTTCTCTTTTTTAAGAAATTTACTAGATTTGTCATTACTGAATAAATGTAAAATATCGAGAGAAGGGTAGATAATTTCACAATAATTTGTCTGAGCTTCTTCAGGAAATGTCTCGTGAGAAATTTTAAAAAAAAACAGTAAAATCATTGTTGATTAGTCGACCTTTAGCATCACCATACAATAATATGGAAATAAAACACGTATGGAATTGTAAAACTAATAGCCCTGTAACATTTAACCCGTGTGACTTTAATTCAGCAGGGAGAATTGAAAAATGAACGTGCAACTCCATCATTGAGAAATGAGGCACAATAAGATGGTGAGCTTGGAAAAAAACGCAGATCTCAGTTGATTCAACCGAATCAATAATCCCAGACATACGTGTATATACGCATGAAATAGTGTCTGGAACTTTGCAAATAATTGGTCTTGTACACGTCATTCTTTCACAAATGGCAGCAAGATGAGTCAGAAATATTCAAAGAATCCCCGTGCCTTGAGATAATTTCTCATTTTAATTTATACGTACATGATACAATACATCCGATTGAATATATAACGCAAGAACATATATAAGAAATGTTTGAACACGAAATAAAATTATATGCAGCGTGTACGCGTTGAGTTTTTATGAGCATTTCCAATAGTGTAATTAAAAAAATGTTTCGAACAAAATTTTTTTAGTATTCGGTGAGCTACATGTTTCCATGTTCCTTGAAAAAGAATCAAGGTCACCGTGACCTTTTTTCAAACAGCACCATACGTTTTTGATATCACAGGATTGTTGCTGATGTCGAGACGAATTTTCAACAGTATGTATTATACTGTGACTCGGGGAATTTTTGTCGACAAACGTAATTTTAACGAAGAATGATCATGGGAATACATAATACGGGAAGCGACGAAAGTAAACAGAGACGGCGTAATTATAGCGACAACGAAAAGTCTAATGCACAGAAGAACGGAGCTCTGTATCATAGTTTAAGGTCATTTCATAGTCACGGTATAATACATACTGTTGAAGTTCGTCTCGACATCAGCAACAATGATATCAAAATCCTATGATATCAAACACGTATGGTGTCATTTAAAAAAAAGGCAAGGTGACCTTGACTTTTTTTTTTTTTTACGTAAAAAGCATTCTTTTGAGACTTGAGAATATGTGGCCCACGAAATACTAAAAAAGTTTTTTATACAGTGCCTAAAAACTGGCACTGTATATGTTCTCCTTTCGTCTCTTCAATCTCTTTCCTAGGAATTCCCCTTTAACGACGTATTTCCCCACGTATTACATGTACATTTCCTGTTCCAAGTTTTTCAAGTATCGTCTAGAGTTTTACGGGGAACCACCATAGAGATTACATCGTTCTCGCAGTTTCTGCAGATCGCAGCATCATTCAATACCTGTGTTTTCTTCGTCGAAATGACGATAAGATTCGTAACCGCAGCCGTCATATCAAAAAAGAAACGAATTTCAACAGCTGGCGATGTTACGTTATATCATTTACACGTATTATACTGTGCGGGATCGTTATTGATATTTTTGCAGTTAATAACGAGTAACTTTATTTTTTCCCCATTACGTGCGTATGTCGTTCGGTCGATTGGAATATTTAAACCTTTATACAGGATGTACCAATATTTAACAATTCAATTTTGTCAGTTTTTGTCAAAGTTTTAATCCCCCGACGTAGGGATGTTTCCAAACTGCTGTAACTTCGATAAAAATTATGTGACAAGCTACATAATTGGCCTCGTTTAAAAGTGTAGAAACCAAAGTTGGTTTTTTTCAAAGTTTTCACACACTGTAGCGAGTAGGGAAGTAAGAAAATTGTCAAAATTCAGCATTTCTAAAAACAGTGGAAAATTTCTTTTTCGCAACTAGATCTACTACTTGAAGATTGAAGTTTTCTCTTTGCAAAGACCCCTTAAAATTTGCTGTGAAACTTTCTTTTCGTCATTCAAACTTCGAAACGTCAGTGTTAAATAATGAAATGTTAGGATTCATGTTCATCTTCTGTTCAAAGTTCAATAAATTGGCGAAAAGAAATCGTACAGCAAGTTTTGAAAGTTTGTTGCAAGATTTCAATCTTCGAAATGACGATAGATTTAGTCAGGGAACGGATTTTTCAATGTTCATAAAGACAACGTTTGAAGTTTGACAATTCTTCAAGAATAAAAATAATCCTAAAAATCTCGAAATCATCGGAGAAAGCTGTTATACAGCTTTGTACATTCGCGGTGAATATGTTCAAGGTTGGATATAATTTTATATTGATTGTGGAATATACCGATAAAGTTGTCAGCTGTCAAATAATTCCAGGACACCTTGTACATACCGCGTACACATTTCGAAATAATCTGTCGTTGACAATTCGACTACTCTGACGAAGATTTACGATCGTCCCGTCGATTGGCAATTTGTCGTATTATTTATTCACATCTCTCATTAAGTAGAATTTTTCTTTGATAAAATCGAGATTACCGGGGACAACAGGTTTGTAATATTCAGTTTGATATTGAATCCTGATTAAAATCGATCGACTCTGAGTATTAAAAGTTACTAAATAGTCTATTAATGAGAAAATATTAGCACGTTTATTTTCGAAAGAAAGGGACAAATATCTCAGAAACAATAAAATGTGGCATTTTTTCCAGAAATTTAAAGTTATAAAAGTTATAAAGAATAGGAAGAAGCGTATCATCATATAATAGTAAAGATGATAAATCAAAGTAAAAAAAAAAAAAAGAAGTGAAACAAAAACACTGTTGTAACAAAGTATTATTAATGATGTTACATTTTACAGCACTTAGAAATATCGAGGATAATGACAGTGATGTTATATTTATAGTTTCAGTAACTAATTTTAGCCCAGTCGTTTCTCAAGTAACAAATAACGAGAAAATCCGGTAATTTTGGCGAACGAATAATTGGTTTCATTTTGCACAATTTCAAGATTATTCAAGACTCAAATGCACTTGCAAATTGTATTTCCATTCAAATTGGACAACATTAAATTCAATGCCGAGCTTAATCAGGCAACATTAATTTGAATGCCTCAAGCCAATATTTGCAAATGTAAAAACGTAAAATATCTAGTGAAATAACGATATCTTAATAGTATTTTCATGTTAAAAATCCTAGATAAAAATCCATATTTATTATCGTGTTGATGAATAATTTTAGGATTATAAATATTTATCAAATAATTGCTCAACGCGTGAATAATTCGAGGATCATACGTCATACCTAACAGGGGGGGATTGCACACGTGACGATTAATTTTAATTTTTCTGATACGTTTCATATTTTCAATGTCATCACGTTTCATCACAATTTTATTCTAACTTTATAGTAATCTTTTTTTATTAAGTTTTTCACATTAAAATTTTTTCATACTGTGTTTCATACTTTTTCCATTTTGAGGATTATAATTGCAGGAAAAGAAATTCACATAATCGTGAAATATGTGCCTTTCTGAATATTTAGGTAAAAGTAATAAAATAATTTGTAAAGTCAGTAGAGTAATTTAATGGGCATATTATCATTAAAATAATTAATATGAACTTGTTGTTGCAAAAGTATAAATTTAACAGTAATATAATATAGCAGTTATTGATCATTTGGATAAAGCTCTGCTAGATAAAGAGAAAAATAAATAAAGTATTAAACGTGATGAGCCTTGACATATACGAAAGAAGAGTGAACAAATCCAAATTAAGAATTTTCATGTGATCGAATTATCGATTATCATCAACGACTTAGTGCCCAGATAAAAAGTTTAGAGGTAATATCGTGGGAACACGGTTTAAACAGCGATCCAATGTTTTTTAAATTTTAAGGTGAATTTTGTTTCATGTAAACCAATAATAAAAAGTGGAGTTGTTTCTTGATTGCAGGAACCTTTGTAATTCCATTTTCCTTATTTCTATGTGAAATAATCAATACGATTCTTTTAAAAGAATACAAACGAAACTACTTAGAAACGAAATTTAAAATAAGAATTTTTATCGATCATCAACGAATTAGTGTCTAGATAACCGAAAGTCCTGATGAATTTAAATGTAATACCGCGAATAAACGTAATATTGTTTTAAAGAGTTTACCCAATTTCATTTTTTTAATTTCGAGAATAAATTGAATTTATTAATTTATTAATTTATATATTAATTATATAATATATTATTTTATATTTTATATTTTATATTTTTATTTATTAATTTATATATTAATTATATAATATATTATTTTATATTTTATATTATATAATATATTATTTTATATTATATTACAATTATAATTTAATTTTATACTATCATATTATTTTATATTACAATTATATTATTTTCATTAATACAAATTAATGAAAAGCGAAGCTTTTTCACTATACTAGTCTTTTCAATTCTATATATATTATATAGTTTATGTATATTTTATATATATATATATTATATATCACACATTTTATGTATATTTTATATATATTATATCATTATATTTTTATTTCATATATATTTTATATATATTACATTATTATATTTTTATTTTATATATATATCTTATATATAAAATAATTACTTTAGTCCCTTAAAGATACTCACAAACTGAGCTCAGACTTTTGATGCGTGAATACAATTAATTAACAAATAACATTGATCACTATGATCAACACGTGCAATATAATATTTTCCTCGCAAACTTACCACCGTTGTTCATAGTTTTGTCGTCCTGAGAGGAGACGCGAACATTGCTGAGCCTGTTGCCCAGTTCACTGGTTTGATCGAAGTCATTGTTGTTGCCTCGAAGTGGATCTTCGAAGGCAGCGTTGCTGTATCCGGTTAATCGGACTTGTTTCCCAGTCTCCAGATCGTACTCTTGGACGCTGTACCTCGACATGTTTGCAGGCAGCTTTTTTCTTATACAGAGAAGAGCCCGCCAATTTCACGATTCCAACGTGAGACGCCGATGTTTAAGGGAAGTGAAGTTGCGACGCTCAATGAGCCTTCATTGTTCAGTTCGCACGCGTCGCGACCCTGAAAGACACAGATAATAATTAATTCACAACTCCAGCTGTTGTACCGTTAGATTTTCTTTCTATTCTACTTGCTTTCTAAAGCATCGCTTCGTTTTGTCGGTAGTTTTTCCGTCTCACCTTCTCTTTTTCCTTCGTCATCACCGTTCTTTCGTTTCTTCGGCCTTTTTCTTGAATTTCAGTTTCTTAATGATTTCTTTTTTCAGAACAATTGCCAGTAATGAAATGGTTTTCATTTTTAATATAAAACGAACTAATGTCTCCTCGAATTTAATTAAGGATATTATGACGAAAAAAAGAAAAAAACAAAAAAATAAGAAACATAGTTTGTTTTTTTATATTTGAAATTTTTAATTCGCTCAATGTAAAATATTAATATTCTGATATTTTCGTCTATTTCGGTCCTTAACTGGATTTTATTGATATCGTTCACTCAATTAATTGACTTTGTTACAAAGACAGGAATAAAAATGCGCGGGATTGTCAAAATTTTGTAATTTTAACAAAAAAACAATTGTGTCAGATTTACGGGCGGGTAAGCTGGAATTCCTCAAGGGTATAAAAAATTCGCCGGCCGCGTAAAATTTCGCTGGCTCGCACGAACATTTCGCAACGTGTTTTATGAAAATAAATGTGAATACAACTTTCGTAGTAACAATTCCACGAAATATCGCGCACGTGCGACGCGATTTTTGCGACCTGCTCGGTGATTTACTTTTTTTTTTATCGAAAATTGAAAATTTCCATTCACGTTTCATTTCTTTCCTTTTTTTTTTTTTTATGTTTCTGTATCAGACAGGCGTGGTGCAATACTAAAAGCACGATACTAAAATCAGTGTACCGGCAATAATATCTTCCAGTTGCATTTGTAATTCCTCGTATAATTCACATTTTGCTACTGGTCGTTATTACTAATCATTAGAATTTAAAATAAATCTAAAAACGTAAAAGATTTTAAACGTAAAAAAATTTTAAACAAAAACGTTTAAAAATTTAATAAAAAAAGTTTGACTTTAGTAAAAGATTTAAAAAAATTTAAATAAAAAACGTAAAAATTTAATTTAAAAAGTTTAACTTTAGTAGAAGGTTTAAAAAAATTTAAAATAAAAACGTGAAAATTTAATAAAAAAAAGTTTGACTTTACTAAAAGATTTAAAAAAGTTTAAATAAAAAACGTGAAAATTTAATTTAAAAAGTTTAACTTTAGTAGAAGGTTTAAAAAAATTTAAAATAAAAACGTGAAAACTTAATAAAAAAAAGTTTGACTTTACTAAAAGATTTAAAAAAGTTTAAATAAAAACGTGAAAATTTAATTTAAAAAGTTTAACTTTAGTAGGAGGTTTAAAAAAATTTAAAATAAAAACGTAAAAACTTAATAAAAAAAAGTTTGACTTTAGTAAAAGATTTAAAAAAATTTAAAATAAAAACGTAAATTTAAAAATTTAATAAAAAAAATTGTAAAAAATTTAAGTTAAATCTAGAACCTTTTTTTATAGCGCAATACGTTCCTGCCGTGTATTTTATTTCTATATTGTAGCATTAGAATACCACAGTATCGTATACACGAGGTTGTACACACGTACATGGCTACATATGCCTATAAATCAACAGATCAGCAGTATCAATGTCAAAACGATCAACCAAGGATACTGATACGATGTTACAACGTTTCCCAAGCGGCGAGTTTCATTCATCGAAGGATTGATTGCGCAACCAAGCCATTTAAACGCTAATTTTACCTTCGTTGGATGTAAAACATCCAACGGAGAGAAAACAGAAGACAACATAAACATTCTCGTTCAAGTTAATTTACATGCTTGCTACATTAAAAATGCAGCAAAAAGAGCGTATTAAGAACGTTGGAAATATTTTTAGAGACATTAGATGCTGCATTTGCCAGCAAGCTTTACACGTGGTATCGAGTGATATACTTTTTGCAATACCAGAAATGTTCTTAGCGATACTTGAAACGTATCGCGTGCATAAATAACACGTGATGCATTTTTTCCTATTCTGCAGTTACAACATTGTATATTGTAAGCGTGGCTGATTAACCGTAATAAATTAACATCTATTCCTTTTGATTAGCGTATCCTTAGGTGAGACATAATACTTGTCGGAGAAGCAGAAATTTGTTTTTATAATTCATTTATTTTTAAATATACTACATATTGGTTTAAAATATTATTTTTATAAAATTTTTATTTATAAATTTTATATAACAACTACATAATACATAAATATAATTTAAGTATATCTTATATCGTGGATTGTCAGATTAAATAACAAATTTCCCTACAAAGATTAAAAGGCCGCCTTTTATCACTTTATTTTAATGATTTAACTATAAAAATTTATCTTAAATTAATGTAACAGGGTATCTAATCCTAGTTTATTATTCAATTTTAATATATTTAAATATAAAAATTAATATTGTTAATATTAATTTAAATCACACCTAAAATTAATAAATTTAATATAATAATTATTTTTACTATAATAAAATTATGAATTATTAACCTATAATATAAGTTTAATAAGCTATTACTGGCACTTTAATTTATCATTATTGATTTTAATTTCCTTATCTAATTTTTATTAAATTATATAGAATATTTTATTAATTTTATTATACATATATGTATAAATATTTGTATTTAATATTAATAAATTATATATAAAATATTAATTTAATTAATAATTTAACCATAGTTATACTTTTATTTATATTATTAATATTAATAATTCATTTAAAATCAAAATTTAATGTGCAACTTACGTTAAATATTATATAATATTATTTAAATTATTTTATTTTTATTTATATAATTTAATAATTTATAATATTTAATAAAATTATTACAACAGACATAACATTCTAGAATATTTAATTAAATTAAGCATTGTTTGAAATTCAAATTGGAGCCGATATAAATAAAGATAAAATTCATCGGAATTTAAATAAATGCTTTCTCAATTATCACTTATTATTATCTTTTTAAGCATATATTATCCGTCGTTTTCGCGTTGGCTTTTCTGGTCGTTAAAAATGATCGATGTCGTCAAATAACTTTGATCGATGCTCCGCAATGAGCATTTTGTTACTTCAAACAAGTAAATCTATGTGACACGATTATAAATTTTGACGCGTAATAATCACAAAACAGCTGCGAATATCGCATGTTTGGAATATTAAACAATAACTATCCTTTATTTATAACAATATAAAAATATCGATCGACGCCAAAAGTATCAATACCTAAAGAAAAACACTTGCTTTCTACGTGCGTCCATTCGATTATCCGAAATTTTTTCTAACAAGTGGTTAGGTTCTTTGCCTCAAATATTTTTCAAAATTTTCATTCAGTATGTGCTAGTTCATGGTCGCAGATAAAGAGAAAAGGAAACCATGTGACTCTGCTTCGCAACAAACTCGCTTCACTCGTCGTCCTTTTCGATAATTTTAGTCACTTCAATAACGAGCTGTTATTAGACCCACAATTTGAATAGTTATCGCAACAGTTTCTGTTTGAAAACTAGAAGTCGAAGGTCTAGAGTGTCAAGCATCAATCAACAAAGTGCAAAATGATGGTTCTTCGAGGCGAGGTATCTCTTCATTACGTTCCTCCACTATAAATCCCATCAGACAGCTGAAACGACATTTGTTCTGTCCAATAAGTATACGTAAAGTGGATGAAAAAAGTCGGCACGACTAGTTTTTTCGGCGACGTCTGATGTTAATCTACATTAACAAAGTCCGTTTTCATAAGTGGTTCACAACACACACACGAAAATTGATTTGCGCAATACGTAGTAATTTCCAACAACAATCGTCGGGCGGAATAAACGGACAGATTACGGAGCGATTAGCCGGTTGTATAAGAGTTTGTGTTTTTTTTTTTTTTCTTCTCCCATTCGTCAGGATTTTTAACATAAGGGGACGCTCATTCATATGAAACGATTTGTTGCTTCAACGGAACTGTGTCAACGTCGCAATTAGATACCGTTAGTGTTACTACACTGCCTCCTCGTGATCGAAGAGTTACGTTCGATCGATCGGATTCAGCAATATCGTGCACGACGAGTGATGAATATGTATACTACGATCTACGCTGAGAAATAATATATATACATTCTTGAATAAATCAATGCTCGTTGGATGACAATTATACAAGGCGATAATAAATCGAGATTTCTTTTTTTTTCTTTTCGAACAATCCAAGGTAGAATAAATTGCAATCAATTTTTAATCGTGCGTAATTGAGGCGTCGTATAATTTTTCAAGAAAGAATGTTCTATACGCGTTTTTTTCAAGAAAGAATATTGTAAGTAATTGTGAGTAAGCTGTAAGAGTATTGTAAGTAACTGTAATATAGTAAAAATAATATTGCAAGTAATTGTAAGAGTATTGTAAGTAATTTTTCAAGAAAGAATATTCTAGACGCGTTTTTTTCAAGAAAGAATATTGCAAGTAATTGTGAGTAAGCTGTAAGAGTATTGTAAGTAACTGTAATATAGTAAAAATAATATTGCAAGTATTGTAAGTAATTTTTTAAGAAAGAATATTCTATACGCGTTTTTTTCAAGAGAGAATATTGTAAGTAATTGTGAGTAATTGTAAGAGTAAGTAATTGTAATATAGTCAAAGTAATATTGTAAGTAATTGTAAGTAATGTAACAGTATTGTAAGTAATTTTAATACAGTAAATATTATAAGTAATTGTAAGTAATTTTTCAAGAACGAATATTGTAAGTAGTTGTGAGTAATTGTAAGAGCATTGTAAGTAACTGTAATATAGTAAAAGTAATTGTAAGAGTATTGTAAGTAATTTTTCAAAAAAGAATATTCTAGACGCGTTTTTCTCAAGAAAGAATATTGTAAGTAATTGTGAGTAATTGTAAGAGTATTGTAAGTAATTATAATATAGTAAAAATAATATTGCAAGTAATTGTAAGAGTATTGTAAGTAATTTTTCAAGAAAGAATATTCTATACGCGTTTTTTTCAAGAGAGAATATTGTAAGTAATTGTAAGAGTATTGTAAGTAATTTTTCAAGAAAGAATATTCTATACGCGTTTTTTTCAAGAAAAAATATTGTAAGTAATTGTGAGTAATTGTAAGAGTAAGTAATTGTAATATAGTCAAAGTAATATTGTAAGTAATTGTAAGTAATTGTAAGAGTAATTGTAAGTAATTTTAATATAGTAAAAGCAATATTGTAAGTAATTTTTCAAGAAAGAATATTATAAGTAATTATAAGTATATTGTGAGTAATTGTAAGAGTATTGTAAGTAATTTTTCAAGAAAGAATATTCTAGACGCGTTTTTAGTAAACGGCGGACTTGCGATAATTTTTATTTCTGTAAAAAATATTGAAATGAGCAGGTAATTTGCTTTGCCTGTATTTTGGATATCGCATATATTTTCGTGTATTTATGCATTCTTGTATCTTCAAATCTCTCGTAAACGCATAAAAATCTGTGTGATTATGAAATTCTTTCTGCAATGCTGAAATGTCGAAGAACAGTAATCGTAAGAAATCACAAATATGGATGAACGACCAGGGATCTTTCAGACTGATGTCTGATATTAGCGAATTGACAAATCGCAAATTGTTGATTGCAAATTTCTATTATTCAAACAATCTTTACAATCGTGCAATTTATTTTGTTTATAGAATTTCTCTTAATTTTTGTTGGAAATTTTTACTACTACTGAAGGCAAAGAAAGATCGCTTGTGAATTATTTTTAAATCACGGGCAAAAAAATTTGGTGTGTACACTGTATTGGAGGTACTATGTCAACGTTAATCACGATTTTAATTGTCCATCGAACCTTGAGCAGCTTATGGGTCATCGGCACACATTTCTCGCGTATGCGCATAAATGATGAAGCCACACATCGGATAAGTAATAATTTCGCGCGTGAAAGTGTTAAATAATTCATTTATTTATTGCCCAAAGTTCGGATTAGTTTCCTAACCAGTTTAGCGATAAACTAACACGCATTCTCTGCGTTTATCATTACAATTTCCATACTTTCTTCCCAGTCCTGATGCATGCATTATCAAAATTTCTCTTTTTAGAAGACACAGGAAGTTTACTTTTGCCACTTGCGTTCTTTTAGCCGTTCATGAAAATTGAACGATGTTCCAAAGTCTGTCTTGAGTTCGAGCGGAAATAAAAACGAACTTTACACTGAATTCTCTCCTCGAACGTCGAAAGATTGGAACACGAAGACGAGAACGAGGAAGTCGTGAGTCTATTCTTTATATCTTTTTTTTTTTTTTTTTGGCAAGACAGTAGTTACAAAAGTTCATCACGTCGTCGCATTTAGTTTTATCTCTTCAATTTATGCAACCGCGTCGTTCGTTTATCGAGACCTGAATATGAATTGCTCGCGTAATGGAGTTAACGGATTAATTAATAAATGAAGCTGATGCCAGACTTTTAAGACTCAAAAGATGTATAAAAGGTCAAGAACTTTCTTTGACGTTTTTTTTTTTTAAACGACAGCAAGATTCGAGGATCAGAACAACTTGAAGATCGCGGCAGCGTTGAACAGTTGTCTTGTCGCTCTCGAGAAAGAAAAGAGCGTGAAATCGTTTTAAATATCCCGGCTGTGAATCGGCCACGGTATGAATGTTATTTTTTTCGATATCTCCGCCGCGAGTAGACGGTGAGCAATTTGCGATAACGAACATCCGGGATTCATCGTAATTCTCGAAATTGAGTTTGAAAAAAAAACCGGGAGTTCCGGAGGAATCGTTGGATTTTCGTGTATTTGCCTTGAGCTCGTCTTAAAAGAAAAAAAGCAAGGGTTTTCCACGTTGCGTAAACTGTGTCGTTTCGAGGAACAGTTGTACCTATGTCGATTTTTCTTTCAATTTTACGACAGTAAGATTAATTAGATACAGCAACAAAGTCTCGCTGTTACGTCTTCGCGGTTTTAGAATTTTTTTTTTACGTCCGATTTTCGTCTCATGGTCATGGATTATTGACCATTGTTCGCGCATCGACAATGGTTTTTTTTTTTTTCACTGTCACCGCTTCTTGAAGTGGCAAATATTTATGTTAATCCGTGTTTCGTAAACGTTTTATCTCGTTTTTCCTTGAAACGTTTGCTTCACCAATTTTTCAAACTTCTGAACCAAAGGCTGGGTCCTCCGATCGTGTGTATCGTATATATTTTTATATATATATATATATATATATTATATATTTTAATTTGTCAGCGTGTTTGCAAAAATAAAAAAAGAAACGCGACATTTCGTTCGATTGTTTTTCAATAACGTGGTTATGAAATGTGGGGATTCCACGGATTTGCTTAATATGTTTTTCACGCCGCTTTTTCCTCTATCGAGAATAATTTTATAAAGGCCGTAAAAATTGATAGTATTTACAGAATTGTGACAGACTATTATCCTATAAATTACAGAAAATGATTTTCGTAATTCTAATATTTCTTCTGCATAGGTCGTCACTTTGTAGAATATCTACCCCATTATGTTGCGAGTGTAACTTCTGGCTACTAAGGAGTAAAAAAAATTTGATACAGGTCGTTTTTGTCATTTCTGTAAAATAAACCGGTTCTTAGATACGAAGGATACGTCACGCTTGTGGCACGGTGATACCTTGATTAGGATTCTCTCTTTTTGTCATCGTAAATGGCTTAATCTTGTTTTCTATTGGCTAAATTTCGAGTTTCTTTTCTGAAACTCCTGAACGTTTAGCATACACGTTAGCATGTTGGAACGTTTGCTGTATAAATTGATGATTCAATTGTTTTAAACAGAATCACGCTACATGCTGTGCCTCGCGAAAGTATTTAAACATTTACACATTCGCAATAGCCAATTTTTTTGGATTCCATTAACATTCTAACGAGATCGTTATGATCAAATTTGAGACCAATCTAAAAACGTGCATATTTAAAAATTATTAGACATTTATTCGAAATGCAGATTTCGTAAGAAATTAGATGATAAACAGACATTTTAAATAAATGTTAGCGCCGATCCCAGGGGATATTGAGACATGTACATTTTCAAAAATACAATTATATAAGATAGTCGAGTCTCGTCAGAGTGTTAAACGTGAAATTTCATATTTCATATTTCAATATATTAATTTCATATACGTGTGTTAAAGATTACCATACTTCGAGCAGTTTCGTAAGATTTTCTTATTAAATTCCAAGTACCGAGCGAAATTGTTCCGTTTTCGTTAACGTGTGCGAAAGTTTATTAGAAGGCCTATAATCCTACATAAAGGCGGATGATGCTTTCTCTGGGCGATTTCAACGAATATAATCAAGTGATCAACTGATACGTCTCATTTATTGCACTCATCGACGTCTAAAATGAAAATCGTTCGGGCACGTATGCAACAACCGCGATAAAGGATTACGAGGAAAAGTAAATGATCGATTCATTTCTTTATGGACATTTCGATTTGAAACAATGTTTCACAATGTGCGAATCTCCTCAACTGTATCTATATCGTTGAGGACGAACACTGTGTTAACACTAGAATTATCAGTCGAAATGAATTATCAGTTGGTAATTTTTTATAGAAATTTCACAATGCAATGCATTTTTAGACATTGAGAACATGCATTTTAGAGATTATCTAAATAATTTTTCGTCACGTATATTTAGATAGAAAGTTTCTGCTCTTTATTGGATGAAAAACTTTTCCATATCTCACGCAATTTAATTTTTATGATTAGTACATTAGTCATTGCTGGTTCTTGCGGTAGCGTAATATTTTATTAAGATATCTTGAATTTTTCCATCATTAAATTCTCAATTCTGTGTCTTTCTGAAAGGAAACTTATCATATCCATTATCTCGTTTGAAAGAATTGAATTATTAATTTTTTTCCTTCAACATGGAAGTTTTTCTTTATGCTTTCGTTCCTTGCGAATGGTTTTAAATGTAGATAACGTATACACGTATTATTCTAATACATACATAGTTTTTGTACCTTGACAAATAGAGAATAAGCTGTTTCATCTGTGTCTTTTAATAATCGTTGTGTTTATGTAACTTTTAGATATTATTTTTCTTCTTGTGCCTTAGTGGGTTACAATACTGTCAATATTCCTTTAATATGAATTTGTATGAATCATAACATATACAATAATCTATGAAAAAATAACTTATATAAGTCATTGATATGGAAATTAATATATATATATATATTAATATATATTAATACACATATGGATATTGTGTAAACATTCTGTGGATATTATATAAATATCCGAAACGTAGCATCTATCTGATTTATATGTGTTCTAAGAAAACAATCAGCGAGAAAATGTAATTTAAATCGATTCATTTTCTGACAAAGGAATAATAGTTAAATTTAGTTCTCTAAAGAGACTAGAATATTCAATTAACTTAAAAAAAACGATACATATGTACGTAGTATTTGCAGCTTTTTTTCATCATTTATATTCGCTCCAAATTTAAATTGAGCAATTTCGTACGCCATTTCTACGATTTACAGCCAAGAGTTCAAATCTGGATTTAATTAAAATTTTCTTCTTTGAAAGACAAAGAATAATTTCGATTGAAACATTCCAGAGTCTAAAGGTTTTTTTTTTTCCCCGTTACTCTATTACACGTACAGTCTATCGATTTCTTTTCGGAGTTAGCATCGATTCTACTTTCACGTAGATTTTCGACGCTGATGATACGCGGCGGAAATAGAAACACCAATGTTAATCATGCATGCGTGAGTACCTTTTATCAGCGTCGCCAGTAGTGAGCCGTGGTAATTGTAGTTCCTAAAGCCATCGTGGCCAGTAGCGTGCCCGCTGGTGCGTTGTTCTCCCTACGTACGCCAGGATCGTTTCTATATTTTCTCTCCTTTTCCCGGAAAAAAAAAACACTCGCAAGGAGTTCACTGGTTACAAGTTCCCTCCCCCCTCCCCCAAAGAAACCAAAAATTTTTCACCGACTACAATCCGCGAAAAAACCACGTTTCACCACGTGCGATCACCACCGCGCGAAAGAGTAAGCTTCGCGAAAAGATTCGCTCCGTGTTGTTAACTGTAGACAGAGAAACAGTGGCTTCGCGTCGCGCGAAAAATATAGGTTAACGTTTCGGTCGAGAAAGCCGAATACACTCGTGCGTTGTGCTTTCGCTGAAAGTTCCGGTCGCCGCTGAAAGTTCGATTCGAATCGGACAGACAAAGCTCTTCGCGTTTATAAACGTTCGAAACGTTGTAAACGTCACTGTGCCCCTCTGAGGGGAACGCTCACCTGAGTTGAAACTTGACAACCGAGAATTCGCCTTTGCGCGGTGCGCCGACGCGTCTGCGCATTAATACCCATCTCTCCTGAAGCGTCGTCACGTGCTTCTGAGTCAGTCCACGCTACACGTTGGTCACTGTGCTGGACAGCACCGTGTGTCGAAATGCGACGGAAGTTAACGGCCAGCGTGTATCTCCGGGGAATCCACCGATATCCTTTCGAAGAGGCTCGAATAACTCGAACCGAACACTTTCGTTAGAAAATTTCTTCGGTGAGTATATGTCCGTCCCTCTAACGTAACGTAATGCGATAAAACCTGTTCTTCCCGCTTCGAGTATTTGTTTCGTAGAACTTTTTTTAAATATTTTTTTTAATATTTAATTTAATATTTTTAATGTATATGCATATCTTTGTTTTTTTCGACGAATTTCTGCTTTCAATTAATGATAATGGTTTCGCATTTGCGAACGTTTGCGATTTATATTTGTATTTTAAGCAATTTCGAATGAAGGAAATAAACAGGAAGAAATCAAGAATTTTTGAATTTAAGAAATATAATAAATTTTCAAATTTAAGAAATTTAATCAATTTTCAAATTTAAGAAATTTAATAAATTTTTATTCCATACGATAGAACTCTTAGATCTATTATACAATATAGGCAATATCTTTATAGAATTTTCATTTGTGTCAATGTATTAAGATTTTCTTTGTTAAAAGTAGATCTATCGCGCGAATATTATTTATATTAAATGTACATTGAAACTTTGGAATTATTTGTATACATTACAGTGTATGCATTATAATTTAATTATGTACATTGAATGTAGATATTAATATCAATTTGGAAGGTTTCAATTTATTTTTTATCAGAAATAGAAAAACATATTGATGGAATTTGCTATGTTCTACCTGTATGTTACGTATCTTTTTAGTTTTGAAATTAGTATCAATCATCCAATCATCTCTGCTTGTTAAGGATAAACAAGATTCTTTAATACAATTTCTAACAATTTTAAAATCATTGTTGCAACAGAAAGAAAACGAAAACAAATGAGAAATGCAATCTGATGATGTCTCCTGATCAGCAGGTTGAAAATATGATGTTCAAATTTCGTAAACAAGAATCAGATACTTGAATAAATGGTGGCTTGTTCTTAAGTATCATTAATGCAACATCTACAAGATATTGTAGATTTGATACATTATAGGAAGGTAAATGGAAAAATACAAAACTAAAAATTATAGAAAATTTAACAAATTCATCTTTGTTTTTTTTTTTTTAGCAAATTTAGATTTTTCAATTCCATTGCTCCAAACTTGTATTCAAATTTGCATTAAAAAAATATGTAAAAATATGCAACTGTATGTGTTGTATTTGAAGTAGAAAATATATAAAAGAGAATTTAAAGATCTGTATACTGAATTAAAATCTGTGTTTATCCTACGACGTAGTTTCTACGATTTACACATTATAATAATAAGCATTTCTTATTTCTGTTTCCTTTAGAAAGGAAAAAAAGAGTCTGTTCAAGCTAATGAAATATATAGGTATAGAATTTGTTTACTTGTAGAAATGATTCGTTGCATCATCCATTATTATGCAAATAACTAAGAGATTGCCCACCCAATCTGTATGATGCAATCAATAATTTGGTTGCTCACACCTTTTGATATTGAGTAATACCTGGTATTCCCTCCATTAGATCTACTGCTTAATATATTCAGTTTCAACAATTAATATTTATAAGTTCAGTACACAATCCACTACGAAATTATTATTGATAATTAATGAATTATTATTATTGACAATAAATGAACAAGTTTTGAAGGAGTTGAAAAAAACAAACAATAAAAACGAGGAACTTTAATTCCAACTTATTAAGAATTCGTTAACATTAAGAGATCTAAATTAACATGGACGTACAAAGATCAACCAGAGACATAAGTCGGATTTCTTTTTCGAAAATTTCTTTACTGCGATAATAGTAATTAATGTTTACCAGATACAACCAGTTGCATAACGTGGTCAGTAGTCGCGTTGATTGTTAAGGATAAGCTCGGTTGCCTCCTTTATGACTTCGAGAAATCTTTCCTACGTGTCTGCCTGCTATCTTGCATTTTGTTTCCGTTCTCTTACATCACAGCCAAGCATACTGGCGCATATTTGCCACGAATGGAATTCATGTGAATTCATACCTATTGTTAGCGTAATCAAGCCAGAAAATAATATCGTCATTCGAAGCACGTTGTAAATCGGTTCGGACGGGAGAGGGGAAAAAAAAAAAGAAATCATTTACGATTTACCAGCTGCATTAGATTCGGTTGCCTGGGAGTTGACATCCGGTTTCATTGTGCATGACACCGTTTTCTGTAGAGAGAAACTTTTTGTTTCGATGGAACACGTGATCTACGATGGACCTTCGATGAGTCCGAAATAAAAAGTTTGAGGAAAAAAGGAAACTGTTATAATACCAATAATTCTCTTTTGCGTCACCTGTGCATCATCCTGAAGATGACGTATAGAATATCTTTCATCGTGTATATTGGAATTACCCTAAAGTTAAGGCAATCGGCAAACTATAGTACATTTTGAAATTCCAGATAGAGTTTCTCCGACAGAACAATGAAAATGTTCGTAGAATTGGTTTGCTTTAATTATTTATGTACAATTATCATCTTCGATGATTGCATCGTCTGAAATGTTGTCAAATTTCGAGTTATGTGATCTACTTCTTGCCCTATTGTCCCAGTAGTTTTAAAGCCGCTATAAATTTCGCTTTATCGGGTATTTCTCGTCTGAATTTTATGTCCACAATCAATATGCTATCGTAATCAGTTTCTTTTCAGTGTTTAAAATTAAATAATTCGACGATAAGGGAATTTTATTAAATTTAATTTCTAAGGTCACGATGTAAATGTAAATTTGAACATAAATAAAACAAGATACGATAATTAAACTAAACATTTCAAATTTAGCTCTAAAAATAATTTTATACATTTTGCCTCTGTATATTTTAAACGCAATTTCAACGAACAAGACAATAAAATAATTATCAAAGTTTCTCTTATTATAACAATAGCATAAATTAAATAAATCAAAGAACAAACATTAGTCCGAGTTAGTAACAAATTTATGTTAGTAATCTCACTTCCCGTTTATAAATATCTGCAATAAGCGAAAAAGGGGAAGAAAATGAAAGTCTTTAATTACGGGAAAGAGTTATTTTAAAAACGTGTTCAACTGTACTAACTGAATAATTTAACTGGTCGTGAATACTTATAACGAACGAGCAATAGAATTTGTTCACGTTGCATAGATTTCATTATAATTACCAGTTCCTGCAATTTTAATTTACCACCGCCGAGGACGTCAAGATTACAGTGTCAGCATACATTTCCTTTGAATTGCGTTCAGTTTTGCCGTTTCTCATTTAGTTAACTGATACTTAGATCGCGACAACGTGTATCCCAGTTAAAATATATCTTTTCTATTAGCCATTCCTTCTGTTGTGTACGATACTTGTTTCACATAATGAGAAACTACATGAAATGTGTGAAGAAAAACTGTAGCGTTATTTGACACGCTGAAACGTGTTAGCTTTGGAAAAACAATTCAGTCTAACGTTTCCTCCCAAGGACGGAAATAATATTGTTGGAAGACTGATTAGAAAGTGTTCTGTTGAAACATAAAGTTCAGGGGAAATGGAGTACGTTGGCTATAATTACACGATTTGAAGTGAAATACACGAAATACTGTTGTCTTTTTTCTTCTTTTATTGAGAATGTGAAAATCAACGGTATATGAAAATTAAATACATGATTCGTTAACCTTTATCAAATATTATTTATCAACTAACTTTGAGCGTTTAATCCGTACTGGAGAATCTTGAGATACTTAAAATAATTAATTTATTTATTAGAAATTGAGAATATATTTAAGGAGTAATTATTATTTGTGTTAAACTTTTGATAATTTTAATGAGCGCCCAAAGGATTAATCATAATATTTTGTTTATCAATTTGGAAGAAATTTTATCTCTCTCTTCAGTTTGGTGATCAAACTCCTTGTACAATGAATTCCTTTCTATTTACAATTCCGTAAAGTAAATTGCATTCTATTAAAAATAACTGTTCACGTACTTTTGAATGGTAATGAGGATGAATAGATTCAGCGCACGTGATACTTCGTTATCTGTGATCAAACGTGCATTGTCTCCGGTTGACAATTATTTGCATTCCTTGTAAATCCTTGCAAAGCACGTTAATTTCCAACTCCGTTATTTCAGAACTATTTTCCGCGTGTCTGGCTACTTGTTTCCCTTTCTTTCCATTCTTTTTTTCCCAAACTGCTAAAGTTATGTAACACATCTTCCGTTCTATATCCGTGTTTCTGATCGAGAATAACAAGCAATTTGGTTTTTCTATTTTGAACATATTATAATGCTGCGGAAACTTGATTATTCCAATGAGTTATATTGTTCGAGTAATTTTGAACAAAAAGTGAAAATCCATGAATTTTACATTAACTAACATTACATTCCAGTACCGAAGGAACTGATTGTTTCTTTAATTGATCTTATAATCGAGGTTCTACCTTAATTCTATGTTTGTAAAAGCGTAGGAAGCAAATACTGTGCATTCTGTTCTAGCATGTATAATAAATTCTATCAGACAATTTGCATTCATTATGTAATTGGCAGATTATGTACCAGATTCCTGTAATGCTAGGTAAAATGATATACATGCATAATGCTAGACCTGTTCGATCGCTCGGAACATTCTTGTTGATTGAGTCGGTTGTGTGGTCGTGAATCATACAAATATTGTAAATGGATGTTAATTGTTATCGTCTGAATTTAAAAAAGAAAAAATATTTGGAACGTTTGGAACGACGTTTGTGGAATAATGTGTAAATTGTATGAAATAATACGTGTTTAATTTATTTCAGGAATAAACGTGGTGAAATACATTCAGTAGAGCACCGGTTGTCATCGGACGAGGTGGCCGAGTGGTTAAGGCGTTGGACTGCTAATCCAATGTGCTCTGCACGCGTGGGTTCGAATCCCATCCTCGTCGAATTCGCTTTTTGTTACTTTGCGAAAACATTCTCTAGTTCATAAGGTACGTATGATGGTGTATATATGTATGTACATCTAGAGAAAGTTGCTAAAAAAAAAAAAAAAATTGATAATGATGATTCTCTTTATCTTTCCGAGAGTCAGAGGTTCCTTGAACTCGAGGCAATAAAAAAAGAAAATCGCAGGTGTAGAAATTTCGAATATATAAATTTAAGATAAGCTTACACCGGAATAAATTAAATTTTTATCATGTTCGATGGTGAATCCAATTTTATTTGTTTAGTTTCCAAATACATATTCAAGGTATTTTTGATTCAAGGTATTGTCGATAGTTTCTCGACGTTGCACAACCAGTTACGTAATTGCAGAACATGCTTCATATTCGATCATGAATTTTTTGTGGAGTCGTCCCGACACGCTTTAACATTTGAATAGACCGTCGTGACTTGACGTTGAAAGAATTAGAAATAGAGTGAGATAGTGAACGTGTGTAAAATTTATACTGCAAATTGGACGATTACCACGTGATTAAGGGACATCCCCCCCCTCATGCATTATTTATTAGGTCTTCATATTATGAGAAATAATGAAATCGAATGAATTTTCCTTAATATCGCAATGCATTCGCGGTACATATCGATTGCAAAATATCTAGGGAGGATAATCTGCTTGTTTGATGAAGCATGACATTAGTAATTCATAGACACGTTAAATAATAATACCATTTTTCAGTAGTAAATAATAATAAATGTTAGTAAATGAATATCGTTATAATTATAATCATTAATCAATATTAATAAATAATATTATTAGAGTATGATTTTAAAAATGTATTCATGTGAATTATATATTAATCTACTGGGCCAATTTTTTTTATTTATATCATTTTATACAGAAAGTTTAAATGTTGAGTTATAATGCAAATTGTTTAAATCTTTTAATAAAATGTTCGTCAGAATGAAATTCATTGTTTTCTCAGAAAGCAATCGCTTTTGATACAGAATGCAAACACATGCATATATGAATGAGTAATTGTATCAGCATTTAGTCATTCAATAAGAATTATTCAATTTAGAGTATGTTGCAGATAAAATTCCATAAGAGAAAGAATAATCTCTTATTCTTCTACAAAAACATTATATTATTTAATTACTCAGTCAAAATGTTTAATGCACATATTCTTTATTTTCAATGAATTTATTCATATCAGAATTTAATAAATACACTTTGAATTTTCAAACATAGAACAAGTGAACGTATTATAATGGTATTCCAAGGTTAAAATACGTGCTTTAGTGTGTGTTTGTTGAAAAATCTCTCGAGACAATTATTTTGCAAATTGTTACAAGCAAAGATATCGCATTGATCAAGGCTATCGAATCGATAAACACTAGGAAGTGCGATCATTTGTAGCTCCTTGTCAAGATTAGATTTATTTAAATAATTGATAGTGCGTTACAACAGTTGTATGTATAAAAATAGTTGTCCATGGTCATTAATTCAAATTGTTTCTATTTTTAATTTACGCGATGGGAAATAATATTTCTTTTTTCTTTGTGTTTATAATTGTGTTTTGTTTATCAATTGATTTCGTGTTTATTAATTTATTTCTGTAATTTGGAAAATACTCTCTCTGTCTATTGTATCATGTAGTACTAAAAATTATAGTTGAGGTATTGTATGAAGTTATATTGAAATCATGGAATTATGTGTCGCTTCAGAAGAAACGAAGCAATTCTATTACATGTAATGTTCGTGACATTGCACATTTGTTTTCCAAGTGATAATGCTCTATGAAGTATTGTGTTTAACAATCGTGTTCTGTTTTATCGACGTTACCAGTTTTCATAGATGACACATAATAGCAGAATATGTGATACTTTCCTGTCGAAGCTCTTTGTTTTGATATAGTATTGATATAGATCATGTAAAAATGTCGTACAATAGAAGAAGCATCGACGAAAGAACACCATTGTTGAGTAAGTTCTATTTCTTACGTTCCAATATATCAACAACATTGTGCATTGCAAATTGCAGCTTGCTTTACTCATTGTTTCTAACGTTTTTCACACTTACCTTCCGTATTTAGATCTTTTCAATCATGTAGAACTCATGAATCATTTCGACGTATTTTCGTGCGTTTATATAATAGTTTAGTATGAAATTTTATAGAATTTCCAATTAGAATAAATATACATTTATTATAAAAGTAGTAGCATATAATTTTTTTTAATTTTAAAATCATATTACACATATATATAATCATGCTTCCAACATACGACTGTAGCAGTCGTGGCCGAGTGGTTAAGGCGTCTGACTAGAAATCAGATTCCCTCTGGGAGCGTAGGTTCGAGTCCTACCGACTGCGGTTGTGGATAAAGAGATAACTATATTTTTTATCTTTTCCATTTTTTAAATTTCGTATATTTTTTGCAATTTCAATACATCTCCTTTGAATCAATTATTTGCAAATTATTGAGAAATAATTTCTGAGAAAATAAATTTATTGTTTTATAAATTTAAAATTATATTTTAGATAAATGTAACTTGTTTTTTAAAAATTACGTATTAAAAGCGAAATGTGAAGTAATACAGCAAGTAATACAATATTTATTATTAAACAGTGAGGTGTTAAATTTTAAGAAAAAAGACTGTAAAATATTACCTGGAATATACAGAAAATTATGTATGTATAGTCGTATATATCATTCATATAGGATGACAAACAATATAAAGATAAAGAATTGCAAGGACGTTTGCTTTATTTTTAGACTACTGTTTTGTTCTATTTGAAAAATAGAAATTACAAAAAAATTAATGATGAACTTTATCTAAATTTATTTATTTTTTTTAAGTTACTTTATGTTTTATAATATAGTTTATGTAACTATACTTATTATTATATATTATTATTGTTATTTAAATCTTCAACTATATATATATTACATGTTTCTTCTCTGTTCTAAAAATACACGATATATAAAATAAGTGAATCATTACAGTGCAGTTTTTTAAAGATAAGAATTGCTATTTTTTTTGATAATTTACTATCTTTTAATTATAGTTGTTTGTTCGTTCATAAGAAAATGATTGTGTCCAAAAATATAATCTCAAATTGAAGAATATACACAATCAAATATAGACTTTTAAGGACAGTATTTAAAATACGATTTTATGTGTCATATGCTTCTTATTACATAGTATTACATGGCTTACATTTTATTACAGTTATATGTACAAAGTCATCAAGTTTTATCACGTTTTATGACGTTGATTTAACATCTTACAAAATTATAATGTTCTCTGTTGTTACCAATTTTTTTTTTAGATAATAATATAATTATATCTTTTTTATAATAATATTTTTTATATAATAATTGACATTCATTTGTAATAAAAATTCCATTTTATGTTTAATTGCATTAAATTCAATTTACTGATTCGTTTATTCTTCATTTAAAATTTTTGCCATTTAAATTTAAATTTTTCTCTTTGCTAATTTTTAGTCTTTATATGACAAGCTGCTGTTATTACTTTGTCATTCAAATTACTCAGAACAAATACATCTTTCAATCTTATGGAATCATATATTTATTCTTCAGATATTATTCTCGGAATACATTTTTTAGTACCGCGAGAATTTTATATTTTTATTATGCTTTTGAATTCTTATAATGGACATATTTATTATGCATCAATAAATTGGGATATCTGATAAGTTCCATCGTTTTTATGTAGATTCTATCTCTTATGGATCAGACGCTAAGAAGCAATATTTAATAATAATTACAAGACCGTGAATTTTTATTCGTTTATGGGAAATTGAAAGCTTCCAAAATAGAGTGCGTATAACATAAAAAGTTGCGTTCAGTATAAAAAATATAACGCTCGTTATAATATTCAATGATTGAAACAAATCTCTGTTTCTTCGATTGCGTTGTTAAAAAATCTTAAATTACACAAACATTCGCGAGCGTGATAATTAACGTAAAAATACAAACTATCTTCTTCCATAGTTTTTTTTTCATATCGTTACATTAAACATTCTCCCCTTGTTAAACATTTAAATCTTCAATGGCAAACTTATCTACATGTTTTAGGACCTCTCAAAGATTAATCCTCGATGATTTGTTAAGTATCTTGTCTACGTGTGCTTAAATATCATTGAGAAGCAAATGGGGGATTTTTTTTTCGCACCGAAATGCAGTTTCACTGTTATTATTAATCATGTGATCCGTTATCAAGTGGAATTAGCTCGCTCGATAAAACCTCTCATCCAGACCGGTCTCTATCTCGGCGAATAAAGAAAGTCCCTCCTCGAGTTTCAGTACATGTGTTGGTTCAATACATTCGTCGGTTCGAAACGTTTGTTATCTATCGAGCTTGATAATTGCAAATTAAACGTTTTATCTGAACGTTGATCTTGCAGCTGAAAATTTATTTCTCCGTGTCTCGGTTTGAATTGCAATTGTGGCGTGCCAGTGCGAGAAACGTGAACGAGAACAGTGAAAAAAGAACACGAATTTTTATTTTACCGAAAAGGATTGTGTATTTCGTGATTCTAAATCGATTTAGAATCGCTTTATCGATCAAGAGAGGATTTAAGCGCGTTTAAATCATGGTGCTGTGTAGGTACACGTGTGAGATCAATATGGGAAATAAATTGTCGAGTTACGATCGTTTAACAAAAATATCGGAGCAACAATTTGGATAATTCAAGATCGGAATTCATACAAAATGTGTTATCGTTATCTGAAAAAATTGTTTAGCCTGAAAGTTGATCCTTTAATTTATTCTACGTTTGTTGACCTTTTTTTTGAATTTATTCCTGCGATGTTCCGAAAATATGAAAAATAAGAGTCAGATTGTTTATTAATATTTTATTTCATCCGTTCGACGTGTCATTTATTATTACTTATTGGAAACTTCTTTACGCACGTTTTTGTTAATACATAGACGTAGTAAATTTCCCTGTTTTTCGCGTGATTTTAACAAGGGAAATGTGCAGGTCGTTTTGTCTTCTCAGAATGGCTGTTCAGAAGTTTATGCGCGTGTCATTTGAAAAACGAGCGAGAAGTTTTATATAAATGTAAAGGTTGGAAATATAACTCATAATATTTTCTCCGGTACAATTTGACACATGTATGCAAACATGTTATCTCGAATATCGGATCCTCGAGAAGAGTAAACGAGGATAGTATCTCAATCTCTTTTACATGCGCACGGTGACCTAAATTGACATCTAAATTTAATGATGATCCTTAAAATGTGAAAAATAGATCTCGTCAACACATCTTTCATTTCGACACTGAAAATATTTTTAACTAAATTCCGAATAATTTTATGCTTCGATTATCATTGAACTTTGCCTCACACTTTTTGAAAAGGAAAGAACGATATTTCTCATTTTTAAAAATTCACGGAAATACATACTTGGATTTTACAATTTACTTTACAATTTATTTCACAATCGTAAATACATATTTAGATTTTACAATTTACTTTACAATTTATTTCATAATCGTAAATACATATTTAAATTTTACAATTTACTTTACAATTTATTTCATAATCGTAAATGCATATTTAGATTTTACAATTTATTTTACAATTTATTTCATAATCGTAAATACATATTTAGATTTTACAATTTATTTTATAAATTATTTCATAATCGTAAATACATACTTAGATTTTACAATTTACTTTATAATTTATTTCACAATCGTAAATGCATATTTAGATTTTACAATTTACTTTACAATTTATTTCATGATCGTAAATATATACTTGGATTTTACAATTAACTTTACAATTTATTTCATAGTCGGAAATACATATTTAGATTTTACAATTCACTTTACAATTTATTTCATAATCGTCAATACATACTTATATTTTACAATTTATTTCATAATCGTAACATTTCAAATATCGCCGCTCTTTTTTACGTCGAAACGGCGTCGCGTTCCCATAATAGATTTTAGTTAAATTTAATCTACGAAATATTTATCTAACGGTGTTTTACATAAGCAGCCAGTATACGGGACATTGTGTATTTCCTGTTTCATTGGACATGTAACGTTATATCTGCCAGCGTTTTATTATAAACGTAGTTTTTGCAAAAATACGCTGACATCATGAATAATGTAAAGGTTGCAATCAGTGTAACGAACAGGTAATGCTTCCTTATCGAGGACTTAATTTCCCGTCCACTTATACTTGTCGTTTATTGTGTGAGGCCGCCGAGTCTTGTTTCGCTCGGCTTGGAAATAGGTTTGTCGAGGAGTTTCTTTCGCGTGAAATTTGTTCGTATACGTAAATATTGATTCGAAGCGGGAGCCCATTGTTGTTTGCAAAGTAGAAGCAGTTGATCGTGAAATAATCGATGTCGGGGACGATGTACATTCCGGTTTCAACCAGTAAGAAACATTTTAATCACCAAGTCAGCGAGAGCGTCGTGCAGTAACATTTCTAGTTTGAAATTCATATTTTTCTAAAGATATTGGCTTGCAATTAAATATATGTTCCAATTTCCTTAATTTTAATTTAACTTTATTCCTTAATTTTAATTTAAAAGACAACGACGCATCGTTACACGAATTTTAATTACGTAGACGGATTCAATGAAATTATTTTATGCTAAATATGAGTATACAAATTGTGAGACACGTTCCATGAACAATTAGCAGAAAGCTACGTTCAGGTCATTTTTGCAATTTATTTTACTACAGTATCAACGAGGTAGTATGGATCGTGCGATTATTTCAAAGGATCAGAAACATTATTAAAAGTATCCCGGATCCCGGTTTAACGCACACACAATGCGCGAGATTCAGATTTTTTCCCCTATAACGCGATACATCACGTAAGTTTCATCGTTTAATATTGATTTATCTGCTACATTAATTTTTCATTAAACGAGACTGGACAGTGTGTGTGTGTGTGTGTGTGTGTGTGTGTGTATATAAAACACAAGATTTATCCTGATGACATTCCCCTCGTGCGCGAATAAAAATTAAGAGCTTAAAGCAGTGAGTTTCATTAATCTCAACATATTTTCAGCGGGGCGGTTTAAATCGTACTTATCGGAGTGAGGACATCGTGGCCCATATATTATTTTCACGGATAAATTAACCGTTTATCCGTTGCGATTATCGATTTATTCCCTAATATGTGTACCGATTACCGTTTAACAGAGTACAGTGTTTGTCAATGTACGGTCGTTTGTTTCACAATTTATCGAATTAACGAGAATGCCAGTTTCTCTCTCTCTCTCTCTCTTTTTTTTACAAGAAAAATTACGTCAAACGCGAGTCGAATTTTTCATTGATTCGACGATTCCGGACGCAGTGTGACGGGTTCAAAAATTACGTATACTTTGGGGGGCTAGTAAAAAAAAGAAACTGCATATTTGATTGACATGGGCTTTTGTGATTTATTTTAATACATTACGAACTATAAAAAGAACATTAAAAGGGAAAAAAAAAAGGGCGTCCTTTTACGTAACTTTTTTTTACATTGCCTATCAGTATGCACGATTCCAGACAAACAGGATCAGTTGCATACAAAAAGGCAAGAAAAGTTCAAAAGTAAACAACATTCTCTAGGGATTGATGATTCAACATTTTCATTTTTATGAAAATTATGAAAATAGCAGCTATTTGTTTTTGATGTATCGAATTTATGCCAAAAGTTTCTACGCTTTTTGTTTATATTTCTCGAAATTGTTAAAAATTAGAAAATGTTCGATCGTCAATGTTACACTAAAGATACGCACCAAGTTTCACGGTAATCGGCTGGTTAGCATCGGCACATCGTTTCGAAAAACTTAGTTTCGAGAAAAACGCGTTTAAAGTTTCAGAACGTCAGTTTTCATATGTATCTTTTACTTACTATTTTTACTTATATATCGCGGCTCACAGTTCTTACAATTCACAACTAAATTGAATCCAAGTCCCCTGATATTCGATTCACCAAAGGTAATATTTGAATCACACGATTTACACTTTACAATACTGCTCAAAGTTGTAAACAGTGATACAAATTCAATTATTCTGTGTCCGCGGATTTATTATTATATTCCAAAATAAGTCGTTTTAAAGGCTAGGATCTTTTGTATCTTATTTCTAAGACTTCAAAAAACTACTATTAAAAACTACTATTAAAACAAAAAACTACTACTATAAACTACTATTAAAAACAAAAAACTATTGTTAAAAACTACTATTAAAGACAAAAAAGAAAATCGATTTTTTGAAAATTTCACACTGTTCGGCCCCCTTAAACATAAATTAAAATATAAAATATAATTAAACAAACAAAACATAAATTATACTATAAAATATAATTAAAATATATATATTAAATGTTAAATGATCTTAAATCCTCCATTCGTCCCACATTGACTCAGTCAAACTTGCAAATTCTTTTATTTTATAACGAAAGGAAAAATTCCATCCGGTCGTTCACGCTAATCCTACTCTTACGTGTTGCTTGCAGAGCTTCAGATAAATATACACACATACGGCAGAATAATGTAACTTGTTGACGTAAGGAACGAATGCAGGATTAATCTCGAGGAATTTTCATCGTGGATAACTGTTTGGAAAGTAATCGATCCTTTGGAAATAAACTGTCGAAACTTGTGATGTTTTAGGGAGGAACGTGACTTCCGGATTCGATTTGAAGCAGCTTCTTTTACGGAGGATACCGATCCTGGCATGGCTGCCTCGGTACAGTTTGTCCAAACTTTTGCAAGACGTTTTGGCAGGATTGACCGTTGGCTTGACTGCTATACCACAGGGCATAGCTTACGCAATTGTGGCCGGACTTCCAGCACAGGTGTGTACATTTGTCCGATAGTGTTAGAGTGTTCAAAATTGAAAACGGAGAATCGAGACAGGTTTTTCGTTGAAACGTACATGATAATTCTTTTATACTATCGCTTTGTTTTCTATTAATTTGCTTGTCTAAACTATTTAAATAAACTCGTATTTAAGTTGAAAATTGAATGAGTTATGTTTAAACGAAGTGTTGTAGTGCATGTAATTTTATAGTGCCGTTTCATACTACGACGATTGAATACTTTGAAGATTTGGATATATTAGGAGTTATAATTGTATTCAATATATTCAACCTCAATAATTTGCGGAATAATTTATTTGACTATTTTATTTATTTCACTATTTTATTTTTTTATTTATTTTATTTATTTTATTTATTTTACTATTTTATTTATTTTATTTATTTTATTTATTTTACTATTTTATTTATTTTATTTATTTTACTATTTTATTTTTTATTTATTTTATTTATTTTATATATTTTACTATTTTATTTTTTTATTTTATTTATTTTATTTATTTTACTATTTTATTTTTTTTATTTATTTTACTATTTTATTTTTTTTATTTATTTTACTATTTTATTTTTTTATTTATTTTATTTATTCTACTATTTTATTTATTTTATTTTTCAAACTCAAGACCAATAATTCATCATAAATGCTTCAGCTTCTTTAAATTTCGTAAAAAAATCCAGAATTCAGATGGAGGAAACAGCGAACAAAATATTGAGCGAATCTTTAGAGTTCCTTTTCGTCGTTCCTTATTAAAAAAACAAATTTGTTTCAGCGTGTATGAAACACGTCGGCGGTTTGATGTAACGTTGGTTTTCAATGGGTTAAGAAGCTTCAATAACATTTTTATATACTATAAGATAATTAGTAAAAGCTGCTACGCGGTAAATACACAGTGGAAGGTTTAGGTGGCTCTTCATGCAAATCAGTCTTTAGAAATATATTTCTTTGAACCTGTTACACGGTTTCGTAAACAAGAAATTCCTTCATAATTATTGCATGAGCCTTAAACCTCTTCGTTTTAATGATTTCAGACAACACAGTTAGTTATCACCGTGTTAATGAATATGTAAAACAGTGTTTCTTTGAAACGAATTCATCTCTTCTCGTTTCTTTCTCTTGTGGAAAGAAATTGTTTCTTTAGAAATTTTTGTTTTATTAACTAATAAAAGAATCGATATCGTTCTCGTACTAAGAAAACAAAATGCTTGCGTAATTCCTCGCCGATAAATTCACATTTACATTTCCCAATAAATTCCTAATAAAATCAAAAAGATAAATGAGAAAAAGAGATGGAACACATGTTCAATTTATCTTGCAACAACGTGTTAGTGTTTTTCGACGATCGGCGAGGAAGATAGAGAAAAACTAATAAATAACAAGCAGTTAGATCGTATAGCGGTCGGGAAAAGCGATTCTCGTTAGATGAACTTCTCGAAAACTTCAGTACGGCCTCTACAGCAGTTTCATGGGGTGCTTCGTCTACCTGGTGTTCGGTAGCTGCAAAGACATCACGGTGGGGCCCACGGCAATAATGGCTTTACTCTCGCAAAATCATGTTATAAGACTTGGAGATGATATCGCGGTAAGTGCACCTCAGCGTTTCTTTTTTTTTTTCTCGCAATTTTTCCCAAGACGAAGCTCCGTTTGCCTGTTTGAAAAATTCTACGGACAAACGAGCGAACCAAGAGCGCTTGTAACGTGAAACGAACGTTAAAATTGGCTGTCTCTGCAAATTTTTCTTTTTTTTTTTTTTTTTTTTTTTTTTTAGTAGATAACGCGACGAAGAATTTGTTGAAACGATAGGAGTTTTGTTTGCATACATTTATATGATACTCTGTTATTTAATTTTTAAAAGTAAGTGAAACGTCCTGCTTTATCTTTCTTTTTAAATTAGGATATTACGTGATCTTTTAAAAGACCTAGAAAATTTGTAATCACTCTATTTCGTGATTAGTAGTTTCAAAGAGGAAGTTTAAAAAAATATGAAAGAAAATTCTTAGACGAATAGATGTTGTAATAAATTTGATGTAGAGGTAATGAATGATAAATGTTGTGTGAAAGAGTAGTCCACGAGATAGTTGATTTAAATTTAAATTAATTTTTGAAAGTAAGTCTTCTTGATCTCTCTCTTTAAATTAGAATACATGATTTTNGAACAGATCTTTTAAAAGGCCTAGAAAATTTGTAATCACTCTATTTTTCAAAGTAATTTCAAAGCGAAAGTTTTGAAAACCATGAAAGAAAATTCGTAGAACAGATGTAATAAATTTGATGTAGAAGTAATGAATGATAAATGTTGTGTGAAAGAGTAGTTCACGAGATAGTTGATTTAAATTTAAATTAATTTTTGAAAGTAAGTGAAACGTCTCTTTTATCTTTCTCTTTAAATTAGAATATCACGTGATTTTGAACAGATCTTTTAAAAGGCCTAGAAAATTTGTAATCACTCTATTTTTCAAAGTAATTTCAAAGCGAAAGTTTTGAAAACCTTGAAAGAAAATTCGTAGAACAGATGTAATAAATTTGATGTAGAAATAATGAATGATAAATGTTGTGTCTACGAGATAGTCGATTTAAATTTAAATTAATTTTCGAAAGTAAGTCTTCTTGATCTCTCTCTTTCAATTAGAATACATGATTTTGAACAGATCTTTTAAAAGGCCTAGAAAATTTGTAATCACTCTAGTTTTCAAAGTAATTTCAAAGCGAAAGTTTTGAAAACCATGAAAGAAAATTCGTAGAACAGATGTAATAAATTTGATGTAGAAGTAATGAATGATAAAATGTTGTGTGAAAGAGTAGTCCGCGAGATAGTTGATTTAAATTTGGCAGGATCGATTGTAATCTTTGATAACAAGGAAGACGGTGTAGCGGGAAACGCCGACTTTTAAAGAAATTGTACCACTGGGTTGCGAAGTTTTTCCCCGCCCTAGATCTTCCTCTCTTAGATTGCTATCTATTTAGAAGTCTGGGCAACTTCCCCGAGGAAGAGCGTCTGATTAACCTGGAAAGTGTGGAAATTCCATTCAAAAAGTTCGTCGAAATCGAATACGAGTCTCTCCCGTAGCAAAGATTAGATACTTTGTTGTCTCTCGGAATCTTGTAACGTTCTTCTCAGGGAAAGTCGTCCCAGAACAACACGTATGTAACGTTTCGCAGTTCAGCCAAACATTAAAACAAACGAAGAAAATAGATGAAAAAAAGAAAAAAAAATTCTGAAACACGAAGATGTAAATTACAGCCTCAGAGTGGATGCTTTACTTTCCCAGGTGCTTCTCTGCTTCCTGACTGGCTGCGCGATCACGTTCATGGGACTGCTTCATTTGGGATTTCTTGTAGAATTCGTTAGCATGCCAGTGATTTCTGGATTCACTAACGCAGCTGCCTTGATAATTGGAACGTCTCAGCTGGGCACGTTGCTCGGCCTGAATGGCAGAAGCGATTCGTTTGTCGACGCGGTTGCTAAAGTTGTCGATCATATAGACAAAGTCACTCTGTGGGACCCTCTGCTAGGTGTCTGTTCGATGATCGTGCTCGTTTGTCTCAAGGTAAGGATGGTTATGTGTTTCTATATTGTTCTTGAGGTTATCAACTTTCACAATTTCGCTCAATTTAATCTATCGAAACTAGAAATTACCTGGGAAGAAAACCGGAACGCCGTTGCAAAAATTCATGTGGGTAACGTCGTTGGCTAGGAACGCTGTGGTCGTCATTGTTGGAATAGTATTGAGTTATTCGTTGTTCTCCTACGGTGTCAAGCCGTTCAAAATTACTGGAAACATAACGGAGGGTTTGCCACCGTTCTCTCCGCCGCCGTTCTCTCTTGTAAAAGGGAATCACACGTATAACTTCGAGGAGTTAATCGGTGAACTGGGAGGCACTGTCATCTTGGTCCCGTTTATCGCAATTCTGGAGAGCATTGCTATTGCCAAAGCTTTCGGTACGTTGGTCAAAGGTTAATTGAAATTCTAAATTTAACGTGGAAGTTTGTTTTTTTCACGTTGTATTTTGTATAAATCTGCATTCACAGTAACAATTGTAAAATTTAAAAGGAAGAATTTTCTAACTGTGCTCGCTTTTTAGAGACCGCGGACGACTTGAGGGCAATACCGCGAAAATTAAATTTAAATTTCGGGCTGAAATGAAAGTTAAATTAAAACGAAACAAAGCGAGGTCGTACTTTTCGTAACTCTGGAAAGTTCCCATATTAAATTATGTCGTTTCGGGAAGAAAGTTCGACAGTAAATATTTGAAAGCAAGGTTAATTATTATTTTTCTTCGCGCGTGCGGCCTCACAACGAAAGATAATTCGACGTGAATTAAAAGCAATTATACGTATTAAAATTATACGAAGTTATTGTAGTTTTTGTTTTACAGTTGTTTTTAAATTTCAACAGTTCAGTGTCCCATAATTATTTTGTAAAAATTATTCGTTTCTCAATTTTATGCAGGTAGTCTCAGACGTTTCTTCAAAAGTCTTTCAATTTTAAAAGTCGACAATTCTTTAATTGCATTTTAATATTATATGTTAATTTTATATTATTAATTTTAATATTATATATATAATTTATATTATATTATATATAATATATAATATATAGTTATATATATAATTATAATATATATTGGCACTCTAGAGATCCTCTATTGTACAAATATTTGATCTTTTTCACAAATAATAATATCTGTCGCAAAAAACTTTTGAACGCGGAGCTGTGTGCATATTATACACGTTCATCGAAATTATACGAATTAATTAGTTTTCGTGCCTGAAAAACCTGCCTTTCACAGCCAAAGGGAAGACCGTTGATGCTAATCAAGAGATGCTGGCTTTGGGACTTTGTAACATTTTCGGGAGCTTTTCTCGATCAATGCCAACCACAGGCAGCTTTACAAGGACCGCCGTAAACAACGCTTCGGGTGTAAAAACACCGATGGGCGGTGTAATTACCGGATGCCTGGTGCTTTTAGCGTGCGGCCTTCTGACCTCGACTTTCGAATTCATCCCGAAAGCAACGCTCGCTGCAGTGATTATAGTCGCCATGTACTACATGCTTGATCTTCATATTTTCACCGTGCTTTGGAGAACGAAGAGTAAGGATCCGATTAAGCTGGCAAAAAAAAAAAAAAAAAAAAAAAAAAAAAAAGAAATTACGTTCGGCGCATCGTACCTGATCTCATTCCGATCTCGTTTTCCACCTCTCCAAGAGATAGAAAAGCCTTTCAAACGTCTTTCAAATCGTGCGATACTATCGTGAAAAATCACTATTAACGTCCAAGCCGTGAAATAAAAGAGAAACGTCTCCGTGAAAGAAGAAGAAGAAAAAGAAGAAGAAGAAAAAAAAGAAATACTCTGATATATTTTAAGCGACGAACGCGTATGCATGAAATTCAACAATTCCTCGTGTTCTTTTCTCTCGCGATCCTCAGTTCGTCGTTTTCAACTTATTTCCACAAACGAGCACGTAGAACAAGTAGAATTTGGCGGGAATTGAGTCGGTCTAGTTCCTGCCAAAGTGAAATGATGTGCCGCTACGACATCGCCAGCCCCCTTGTCTACCCGTAGTTCTAACAGTTCACTTCACCACGCGGAAATTCCATTCGTACGACACAATCGACTGTGTGCCGGAGGATCGTAGTAATTTAGCGTTTGTCTCTGCTTCGTAGAAATTGACTTGATACCTTTGACGGTGACTTTGTTGAGCTGCCTGGCAATTGGTCCAGAATACGGCATGATTGCTGGGATCGCGGTAAATCTAATTCTCCTGCTCTATTTCGCGGCCAGGCCTGGCTTATTGATCGAGGAACGTGTTGTCGATGGGCTGACGATCCTGTTTGTATCGCCGAAACAATCACTGAGTTATCCAGCTGCGGAATACCTTCGTGAACGGGTGATGTCGTCGTGAGTAAAGTCGCCTATTATCGCCTTTCGCCAGCCTGGTTAATTGGACTATAAATCGGGCGGGCTCGCGGTGTCTGCTCTGTCAAAACGTTCGTTTTATTTTACCCCATGCACCACACCGGGGTAATGTGGCGTGGCGCGGTGTAACCGGACATTATTGCGTTCTCTTTGTAGGTGTGACGGCAGAACTATTCCCGTGATAGTGGAAGGTCGTCACGTGCTTAGAATCGATGCGACCGTCGCCAAGAACCTCGCTTTGCTTCTGACCGACTTGGAGGCGAGGGATCAGAAGCTGGTCTTCTGGAATTGGTGCGAGGAAGCCAAGAGAACTTTGATAAGCTACGACGCCACCCTGACGATGTCCTTCAGAAGTTCCGGCAGCATAGCACAGATATTTTCAGGTAGACTCGCGTCGACCCATGTTCCACGCGAGTGAAATTTTCTGAATCTAACGAATGCGCGGGACACTTTCCTTGGAATGTTCCCCGATCGCGTGTCCACCACGACGAAAGAGTTCTCGATCGCTTTTCGCTTTACAAACCGATTCCTCGTCCCGACGGCAGAAATCTCACGTTGGAACGTCGAACGTGTTTTATTTAAACGACGGAACACGGTGCCTCGGTCAAGATTACAGCCCTCCATGGAGCCTTGGTCGCCTTCAATTTGCCCTTCGATGCGTCAAGATCCATTGAAATTGCTCGAACACGGAGGCTGGGGGTAAGTGCTATTTCAAGTGCAGCATCTCGACCGATCGTTTTACGAGGCGATGGCTAAGAGATCGTGTGCCTTTTAATGCCTTTATGGGGAGTTTAGCGGGATAAAAACAACACGTTTTTTATGTCTGTGAAGCAAGAGGAAGAGATGAATTTACCGACACGAAACGATGATGTTTTTTTCTTTTCACGTTGTGAAACGTTCGTGCATATTGTCATATTCTTTTGTATAAAGTTTTTGTAACGAGAATCCAATTCAAAGTTTCATTCGAGGATCTGCACTGTCAATTTAGCAAGTATACAATCAACGCAACTTTTATATTCACATTGTTTTATCTAAAATCGGCTTCTTTCTTTTCTTTTTACGCCGCAATGGCACAGAATGGAAAATTACAATTCATTTTAAAATTTTAAAATTTCGAGAAAGAAGGTAATTATTCCACGAGGAGAAAAAAAAAATAGCAAAAGTTTACTCTGTGTTAGATTTTATAAAATCCTAATTTTTTAGTCATTACTTTAAATGGCACTCGTTTCAAAGATATTACACATCTTTTGTTCTTATCTTGCTAATTTAACTTAATTTTCTGCTTTAGACGGGAAAACGTGAGGTATAATCATGTTTTTTAAATTTACAAATTGATATGATCTTTTTCAATTTCCCTCCGATTATTACGGAATGAGCGTGATCGCGTGTTGTTTTGCGTTCGGCGATAAGTAATGATGGATTTGATATTCGACGTAGATTCTTTAAACTTTAACTATCATGGCTGAAAATTTATCGTCGCATGTGTTTTTTTACAATTAAACACTTGATAAAGTTGAACAAATTTAATAAAATGTTTTATTCTTATTATTCAGTTAACGATAATTAAAAAAATAGAAAATCTTATCTTGCTGCGATTATAATAACAATATTGCTATCGTAAAGCAAAATTCGCAAGGGTGAAATTTCATTTATGATAACTTTTAGGAGTTTATGTCGACTCATGTAAATATAGAATCAAGCATTGTGAACATATTGAAGGCTGTCGATTCGTTTCAGTTAATGTAGAGATTTAAGTTGTTTACAAGCCAAAGTAATTAACTTCGCTTTTTGAACTCTTTTTCTTTAATTTTAGCACTAAAATACATGATTGACGATTAACTTTTCGTAATCAAAATAAATTTCCTTAATAATTAGGAAATCGAAGATGTTTGGCCGTGGAATAATACGTAATGTGATCATTTTAAAGATATTCTATTTTTTTTTTTTTAGCTAAAAGCCACAATTAGCTGATGAACGCTAATTACAGTAGAACTTTGTTTATCTGAACACATAGGGAGACTGTTCGGATAACCATAAGAGATATCGGATAATAAAGGATTTCACTATCTTTTTCTATATCTTACTTTTATTTCTACTGTATATAAAATATACAACAACATATAAATAAAACGAAGTCCTACTGATTGAAATATGATATATCTGTAATGACTATTAAATATCGTATAATTTAATATTTTTAATTAATAAAACATAAAATGTAAACTAAAATATTGTGTAAAAGGCAAAAGTTATAATATGTTCTACAATGCTTATTTCAGTTTAAATTTTAAAAGGATTTTTAAAAACGAATACATACTATTTCTTTAATTTCTCTGTTTTTCGTTTCGCGGAGTTAATCGATTTGGCAAATGACTCATTTGTGTCACACGATGTCAATAGACAGAAATGAAACTTTATTAATTATCAGAAAGTTTCATAAGAGAAATTCTCATCATTATTATGTGACTCTGAATAGCAAGCACTTACACTGATTCTACTGTAATATTATGTATGCGCATGTGAAATTATTCTTTCGAGAGATGCATGAGATTATTCAAACGATAATACCTGATTTTATTTGATATTCAATGTATTGCTTATGTATTATTTAGGCAGGATATTTTTATTGATTCGACAAAATTTTTGCGATTTTCTGACTTAAATGTTATGAAAAATAAGCAAATATTTTTAAGTCAAACACGTTTCTAACTTTGTAATAAAATTAAAAATAGATAAAGATCTGAAATGTTGAATCATAAATATATTTTTTAGCGTTTTTTTACATTGAAATATTTCGTTTCGACGTCAAGTTTCTAAAAGATAGCTTTGTTTCTGAGTAGCACAAAGTAGTTGTCTAGTTATCAGTATAATTGAAATGACATTGTACCTGCGATAGAAATGGTATACCATAATAGTTGTTTAAAATATTTGAAAGAAACGTTAAACTTAGTCTAAAAAGTATGTGAAATATTAAATGAAACAATCCCAACTTTCTCAAGATGAAAGATTCGTTATTAGTTTCAGAACTTTTGGAATTCATTCAATGATTTTAAACTCAACATACTTTAAACATTTAAATCCTATGATATAAATCTTAATCTATAATCTCAATAAATTTGTAATTTTTCTTTGTAACAGAATTTCAGAATATTTAATCAAATTTTAAACGCACATGTAATTAAAAATGTATGGAAATTTTAAACCGACTAAATATAATATAATATAAATTTATATTTATTTTCCAGAGACAAAATATGGCTATTTTTGTACAAATCTGTAAGAATTATTATTCTAACTCTTATTGTGATAATGCAACTATCATTGTAACAAATTCGTCACGAACATACATTGTGTATTTATTTTTATTTATGTTTACGAGAATTATGCAACAGGAATATCCAGATTGTCTACGTGCTACAGTTCAAAATAGCATGTTATTTAACGTTTTTATTTAGATCCTCTATCAAAACCCACTTTATTATATAATTATATAATTATTATATAATTATATAATTATTATATAATTATATAATTATTTTTATAATTATCAGCAAAACAATAAATTAAGTGTAATTTAAAAGATGATTATTTCAATTACAGCGACAACTTATTATACTCACGCTATATCGACATTTAATAAAAAAAAAAAAAAAAATTACGCGCATAAAGTGTGACTTCAGAACACCATTTCAAACTACTAACTTCCTATTCTTATTTCTCATAAATTATCGACTCGTCTGACACGATTCGATAATATTGAAACATATAAAATGTTAAAAATATATCGCGGAGGGTGCTTCCGCGCCCTTTTTTCCCCGCGCGAGTGCGCGCGCGCATGAGAATACCCCGCGTTCGCGGGTGCGCGCGCATCGCACGCTCGACCAATAGGGAAGCCGGGTAGTAGAGGGTGCTTCGATCGATGCGCTCGCCCTGGGAGCGTGCGCCAGTGGGCGACCGTTTACAACGCGATAAGCGTCGCGGCGCCCTCAACGACAGGCAAGTTGAGAACGTCGTCCCAGTACCGTAGTCCGCTTTCGCCATTCGGTTGTGTTTCGTCGCGCGGGTTCGTTCTCGCGTCAATTCGCTCGAAAACGAAGCTCCACTCCCGCTCGCGGAATCGGAGAATCGTCGTCCGTCGGTGTTTGTTACATTTCTTTTTTTCGTTCATGACGAGGCGACCGTCAACGCGAGCGCGATGAAACAATGAGCCGAGCGACCACGAGCAACGACAACTGTCAAGAAGATGCCGGTACACCGATTGGACATTGGAAATGCGGCCCAGCTGGTGGAGAGTATCGCTGCGTAATCGTGAGTTTAACTTTTGAATATCATCGTGCCAAACGTCGGACAACCGAAACGTGACCCACCGGGACGCGATTCGAACTCGTGTCGGAGCAAGTTTCTTATAGAGGTCAGTGTACCTTGACAGTTGTTCAATTTCTGTCACGATTAACCGATATACTGGGGCCAGAGGGAGAGAGAGAGATTCGTCTCGTGGATTCGTGCATGTGTGTCACGATTCGGTTGACCGTAGTCGGTCTAACCTTCAACTTTTCCATTGTTCCGGTCTGGATTTCTAATTTCTGCAGTCTCGTTTCATATTCTATTCGTCCTATTACTCGTGTCGACTCGCGATTCTCTTTGACATTCTCGAATTGGAAATTGATCTTCGTTCGTGATTTCACTAGGTTAGGTGTAAATATCGATTCGAGGCTGTTTTAAAGATGATGCCTTCGTTGCAATTGAAAATCATTCGATGAATTTTCTTTCGAAATTGAATCGCTGGTAGTATATATAATTATTTATACTTGCAATTATTAGTAATTATACTTGCACTAATATACTTATAATTATTATACTTGTTAATATACTTATAGTTATTAATATTTAGTACATATATATTTAAATATTGGTGTACAGCTGTTGTTTTTATTTTTGTTACTACATTTATTACGCTTTGAATAGCAATGCATTCAAATAAAGGCTATACTTTAATTGAAAATAAAATGATTTAACAATCTGCATTTAATAACAGTTACTTGTATAATGTTTCATTTGTTTTAAAAACAAATCGTTCGTCGGCACAAATCAATTGAAGAGACATAACGCGGTAATGCAGATTTTCGCGTTAAATTGTAAGCGATTTATTCAAATGCGAATTTTTAATTACATCGTGACAACGGAAGTTCCGTCGACATATACATACGTATGCATGTGGAAAGAAAATGCCTAATAAGAGCATTCAGAACGAATTTTAATTTAGTCGGATGTTCTTTCTGATCTCGTGCATAATTATCATCGCGTTCATTCGCGTTTTTTAATATTCTATCCAATTTGACTAATTATTGAGAACCAAAAGTGTCTGGAGGATTAAAATAGTTCATTTTTGTTAATATTCAGTCTTTGTTATTGAAAACGTCGCAAATGAATTACAAAAATATAAACGAAAAATAAATATTTAAGTACATTGAAATACTTTTACTGAATTACTTTTTTATTTATATGTGTTTTCGCTGAAAAAAACTTTCATCTGAAATTTCGTCCGTATGAAATTAATAAATAGTAAAAATATTTGATTTTTCTCAAATCAAATAGAAAATTTTTTTTGATACATTTGCCTCGAAAGATCGCTTAGCGTAATTTTTTGAGCTTCACTGAGGGGCGAAAAATATTTTCAGCATGCGAGTTTTAAAATAGAAACACAGAAATTTCTTTAGTGGATAATTTAATGGACGAAAATTTTGTTATTTACTAAAGAAACGATGAGTAATAAGGCGCTGTAATCTGGATACAATTAGAAGTTCATTAGATTGCTAGATAATTTTGGAGAATTAATTAAATAGCGGAGATGAGGTTGATGCTTTGCATTTAATACGCTGGTATTGAATAGGGTGAAATTCATCGTTTAATGGTATAATATAAAATTATTCAAAAATTACAAGTAAGAGCGATGCTCTATAGAAACAAAATTATACTCGTCAGTCTATTAGTTTATATAGATTACATCTGTATCTATATTTTTGTAATAGTTTAATTTTTGCGTTTTCATTCAAATAATTTTAGTACGACAATAAGTAAAATAGAATTTCTAGTATTATTGGGACAAACTCGTTTATTGCTTATATCACTTTCTATTTTTTAAACACGATGCAAATTTGGATAGAAACAAGAAAAAAGCAAGTATAATGGAAAGAAAATGAGTTTGATAAGAATTTTAAATGACTGAGACATGTTAATATCTGACACGTTAATGTCATTTTTATTTTTTTAGGCAGAATAAAAATAAATAAATCTTATTTGGATCAAAGACAGAGGAAAGGGAATAGAATGGTAATATTGTTTAATCAATTATGGGAATAAACAGTACATGAGAGTATAATTTTAGAAAAAAAATGCAGTTGTATTATCCCATTGGAAAACAGATCTAATGTGTCTAAATAATTCAATTAGCTTTCAGGCAGTTTCGTCTCTGAATAATTCAGTTTCGACGTGATAGCTTAGAGACTTTGTTTGAATGTTAGGTAAGCAAGTTTTAGGATCG